CAACTATAGGCTACCCTAGGAAATAATTTCAGACTAAAATAAGCTTTTTATATTAAGATTCTAGCAGACTTTTACTATATAACTAGGAATAAAGTATAAGCTTTCTATAGTATTTTACCCTTAAACGGACAGGTAAATAGAAAAGCTTAATTAAACTTTAAAATAGTACCTATAATACTATATTAATTACAGGTAGGATAATTAGGTATTATTACTACTAATAGCCTAGTTCGCCTATAATAGCGCATTTATAGAAATAATAAAGGTATTACCCTTTTTTATAAACTATAGTTTTAATCTAGAGGCGTATTAAAAACCCTAACTTAATAGTATAAGGGCCTAAAAAGCACTGCTATTAGTTAAAAATATTAAAAAGCTATAGAAATAGCTCTTAATAGATATCTAATTCCTAATACTAAGGTTAGCAAGATATTATAATTAATACCGGAGTATTATACTAACCTTTAAGGGGGGGGATAAAGTCTACCTATTCTATAAAAATATTAAAATAAAATAACTAAGTATAAAGTTAGACTATATTAAGATTAGACTATTTAAAATATAAAATATTATTAGCCTAGTAAACTATAAGCTTAGGCTACCTAACAGGATAAAAATACACCCGGTTTTCTATATATTACTACTAGAACCCGCACTACTTAATATTAAGCTAGAAAATAATATTAAGGTTAATAATAATAATAAATATAAGGTTAAGTAAATCCTAGATTCCTAATAGTATAGTTAGTAAAAGAAGTACCTAATTAAGTAGAAAGGATACAGCACCTCTAAAAATATATAGGAACCGGTTAAAAGTTTAGTAAACTATTAGGAACTCCTATAGTAGTTTTACCGCCAAAATCCGGAATAGCCTAGAAAGACAGTAATAGCGCACTATTTAACTAGAAAGAATTAAAGAAATCCGGAAAAGAAATACTACTACTATATAATTAGAATATATAGTAATAGAACGGACGGCTAGCAGTACCTAGTATACCTAGAAAGAAAAAAGAATACCTAATAGTTTCTAAGGCAGAAGGTAAGCCTTTCTGCTCGGCACGCTTTTATTTTTTCTACTTAGCCTTTTTCTAATTATTTTCCTTAAGCTTTTCTAGAGTTTTAAAACTATAATATATTATCTCCTTACTATACTTATACAGTAACTCCTTTTAGGACTCTAGGCGTTTAATCTTTGCTATAGTAATATAAAAAGCAGCATAGGCGGCGGATTTCTCCGCGCGCAACTGCTCTTCCTTACGAGATAACTTTTGCCCTAAACAACTTAGCGGAAAAAAGGGAAAAAGCAATAGTAAAAGTAACTAGCTTATAGGCAGCTACTAAAATACCAGCGATATTATAGTTCGATTATTACGCCTAAACGCAGGCTATATAATAATCCGAGTTAGGTATAGAAACTATATATAATAAACCCTAAGACTTACACCGGGAATAAAGTATAACTTTCCAACTAAACGCGTTAATATAATTAGTAAGTATAAGATAGCTTTTTTATTTCTTAGCTTTTAAGGCGTTGGATATTATAAAAAAAAAAAATAGAGTAGTATAATAACAGCCTAGCAGATAGGGTATTACTAGCTACTTATCTAAAACCCTACTATAAAAGTACTTTCGGGCCGAAAGCCTTAGAAAGGGAAGTAAGTATTATAACCTATAATATAAACAACCTAAGTATAGAAGCACTTATAGAAATAAGTAAATAAATAAAACTAATTATATAGAACTAGGTTATAGAACTAAAAAGGTTATATATAGAATATATAAAGGATCCTAGATTTTTCTATAAACTACTAGTAGATAGAAATAATCTAAAAATAGGATATTATAAAAACAGGGCTATATAATAGCTTAAAGGGCTTAAAGGTATAAGCTAGGTAAGCGCTTAAAAGGCTTAAGGCTATAAGCTAAAAAAGTAGCTTAAGGGGCTTAAGGCTATAAGCTATATAAGTAAAAGGTTTTTTAGGACGGAGCTTTTATATAAAGGGACGCTCCTTTATATAAATAGAAACCTTATATTTAACTTAAGACTTTAATACTACCTATTAGAAGTAATAACCCTGTTTTATATTTTAATTAATTATTGCCTTACCTTTTAAAGACTATTACACCCTAATAATAACTTAACCTATACCCTGCCTTAGTATATAATACTTAGAAGGTATAGAAGAAATAACCTGTTATATCTATATACTATATATACGCACTTTTAATTGCCCTATAGTTTTTTTCCGTGCTTCTGCTAAATATAAAAATATTAGTATTATCTATAAACCTATAGGCTATTATATTACCTTTTTATAGTGCCGGCAAAAGCGTGCTTATAAAAAATAAAAAAAGGATTAGTAAAAATAAGGATTTTTATAGTATACCTATATTAACTGGAATAGTTTTAGTAATATATTTTCTAATAAAAAGTTTTATAGTTCGGTTCTATAGAAATAATTCTATAAATTAAACTATCTATTTTAGTATACGTTAGACCTATAGGTTATATATTATTTTTTTATAAAATACTCTATTAAAGGCCCCTAAAATATTAATACTATTACTAGAGCGGCTGCGTATTAAGGGTTATAATTCGCGGTATACCTACTATAATACTGCTAGTACTACTTAAAAGGCTTTAAGGCTGCGTATAATTGTTTATAGGGCCTTAAATAGCCCCTAAAGGCCCTTTTTAGGTTATATTTCTAAAATACTATAAAGTTAATTATATCGTGTTTTTTAATACTAAAGTATTATACTAACCTTTAAAAAAAGGAATAGAGTTTACCTATTCTATAAAAATATTAAAATAAAATAACTAAGTATAAAGTTAAACTATATTAAAATTAGACTATTTAAAATATAGAATATTATTAGCCTAGTAAACTATAAGCTTAGGCTATTTAATAGAATAAAAATATACCCGGTCTTTTATATATTACTACTAGAACCTATACTACCTAATACTAAGCTAGAAAATAATATTAAGGTTAATAATAATAATAATAAATATAAGGTTAAGTAAATCCTAAATTTCTAATAGTATAGTTAGTAAAAAAAGTACTTAATTAAATAGAAAAAATATAGCACTTCTAAAAATATATAGAAACTAGTTAAAAGTTTAGTAAACTATTAGGAACTCCTATAGTAGTTTTACCGCTAAAATCTAAAATAGCCTAAAATAATAGTAATATTACGCTAGCTAGCTAGAAAAAATTTAATAAATTAAAGAACCCGGCAGAACTAGATACCTTAAAAAAAGGTAAGGCTTTCCTTTTAATATACTTTTATTTTTTCTACTTAGCCTTTTTCTAATTATTTTTCTTAAGCTTTTCTAAAGTTTTAAAACTATAATATATTATTTTTTTACTATACTTATACAGCAATTTCTTTTAGAAATTTAAATAATTAAGTTTTACTATAGCCGCCTTTAAGGTTATATAAGTTTCTAACTTTTTATAATAAAGTTTATTTTTAGTATAGAATAGTTTTTACCTTAACTAGGTTAGCAGGGAAATAAGTATATATAGTATTAAACTACGCTAACTTATAGGTAGCTGCTAAAATACTAGTAATATTATAGTTTAATTATTACACCTAAACGCAGACTATATAATAATCCGAGTTAGGTATAAAAACTATATATAATAAACTCTAAAACTTATACTAGGAATAAGGTATAACTTTTAAACTAAATACTTTAATATAGTTAGTAAGCGTAAAATAGCTTTTATATTTCTTAGCTTTTAAGGCGTTAGATATTATAAAAAAAAAAATAAAGTAGTATAATAATAGCCTAGTAGATAGGGTATTACTAGCTACTTATCTAAAACCCTACTATAAAAATACTTTCGGGCTAAAAGCTTTAAAAAAAGAAGTAAGTATTATAACCTGTAATATAAACCACCTAAGCGCAGTAGTACTTATAGAAATAAATAAGTAGATAAAACTAATTATATAAAACTAAGTTACGGAACTAAAAAAGTTATATATAAAACGTATAGAAATTCTAAATTCCCCTATAAACTACTAGTAAATAGGAATAATCTAGGAATAAAATATTATAAGAATAGGGTTATATAATAGCTTAAGAAGCTTAAGGCTATAAGCTAGATAAGCGCTTAAAAAGCTTAAAGCTATAAGCTAGGTAAACGCTTAAAAGGCTTAAAACTATAAGCTATATAAGTAGAAAGGTTTTTTAGAATAGAGCTTTTATATATAAAAACGCTCCTTTATATAAATAAAAACCTTATATTTAACTTAAAACTTTAATACTACCTATTAAAAGTAATAACCCCGTTTTATACCTAAAATTAATTTTACTTTACCTTTTAAAAACTATTACACCCTAATAATAACTTAACCTATACTTTACTTTAGTATATAGCACTAGAAAAGTATAAAAAAAACGACCTATTATAGTAGTATATAAAAAAGTACTTTAGTAAAGCTTAGGTGCTTACTATAGAAAATATTTTTAAGTAGATAAAAAAAAAAAAAATAAGAAAAGAAAGGAAATAAATATAAAGGAAAAAGCTGCTGCTTTTTAAAGTAAAGGAAAATTTATAAAGTTAGCTTAGAAAAAGCTAGTAATAAGTTTTAATATATTTATATAGGAAATCTACTAGTATTTACTCTAAAACCCCCTTTATACGCTACTAATATACTAGCTAGCTAGTAGCTAGCTTAACTAGGTAGCCGGCTCGACTAGGTAGCTAAAATATTATATATTTAAGTATAATATAAGAATAGTAGATAGCGTTATAGAAGCGTTAGAAAAGGTTTTATAAACGCTTTAAAATGCTATATATACGTGTATATATATATATAAGTCCGCTGCTGTTAATATAGAATAGAACTTAAGCAATATAATTTGTTTCGCTTTATCTATAAAAAAGAGGCTGTTATGCCTAAATTAGTCGGGCCTAAGACAGTTGCAGGAGTGTTAATAAACCATGAAAATTAGGATTCACGGACACGCGCCTCTTTACAATTAACGTTGTATTCATTTGCATTCTAACTTTGGCTGCTCCTCCTTTGAGGGCTGTCTTGCTAGCTCCAGCGAGGGCTTCTCTATGTAATTAGCCACAGCCAAGCGGTATGACCAGCGTGTTCTCTACGAAATGTATGGGCTAATGCCTAAGGTTTGATCGGAACGCGGAAGGCCATCGCGTTGGCTGGATAGCAACACCGCGGCTGTTCCGTTTCTCATTGGAGAACTCCGCCTGTCTGACATCCAGGTCCTCTAAGTGGGACATCGAAAGTCTAAAGGGGCCGCAATTATTGTAGATGCTCAATCTTGACTCACCCTGAGCCTCTTCAGGTTTTACCAAATTCTGGCTTCACTTCTGTCGTGCTCTGGACAAAGGACTTCAGAGCCGACCAGCGATCTGCGATTGTAGCGGTTTTTGCGGTGTCCGGCTGGCTGAGTGTGCTGCCCATCATCTGCGCCAGGTTCTTCCCAAATCTCTCCCGCTCTAGGTGCTCAATCTTCTCCTTGCGCTTCATGGCACCCGGTCGACTCTTCAGGCTTTTGTGTCGTATTTTGGCCATTCCAATTGTCGTTGATCCGCCATCTTCAGTTTCAGCAAGATCTGGCAAAGCTTCTGCAAGCGACTCGAGATTGGCCACCAGTTTCTTGTTCGGCCTCCGACGCTTCAGGGGCTTGGTGTGCGTCTTGGTAATTTTATTGACGAAGACAGAGTGCTTGATCGTGCGCTTGTCCTTCTTCGACGAGGGAAAGACTGTGTCTGGCGATTCGAAGATTGGCCGAGGCCGGGAGGTCTTGCGCGGCTTCGTGCCCTTTCCTTTACGACTGGCTTGTGAAGGAGCCTGTTACCGAGTTAGCTGAGGCTTCATTTGTAGGAAAAGTCGCTGTGCTCACCATAATGTGTTTCCTAACGAAAATGTGCTGGTGACGGAAAGTTTATTCTAGAGGTCGGTGTTGGGAAGTGCGATTGGTCGAGGGCACATCGAGCCGCTTGGACGCCTGAACTGCCCAGAGATCCTTCTACCCCACCGTGCCCACTACCACTTCGGATGCCAGGGACAACTCCCCTGCTCCCCTCCTCGCATCAATTATTGCTACGCAACACGACATCAGTCCGCCCTTCATGCAGTCCGGACGCCCGAGGTCTTCGTCATTGCTTAATAATCATAGCTCTCGCCATCGCTCTTGATACTCTTGGTTAGGACGAAATAGTACATATGCTGTCTTCTTGGTAGTAGCAGTACACCTAGCTGAACGATGGACTATGCTAGGATATCCATCTTGAAGTGAAGAAGCTGACATAGACAATACTGACAGCGTCGGGCACCCCGCTTTCTCCGCTTGTACACTCGGTCTATCTTGGAATGATCTCATACATACCCCTTAACCCGTCGCATGTGGTCTGCTATGTGAAATTCAATACGGTGTCTCGGCGTTCCAACCTAGTTAGGTGTCTCGGTGTTGCAGAATCCTGAGTTAGAGCGTTGCGCCCTTTCTAGGGTAATATCTACGCTAATCCCGAGGTATTAATGACGTTCCATCGATATATAGATAGGGCCATTGCCAATTCACCTGCACAATCACAGCTATCATGTCTGAGCCATACACCAAGATTCCGAGTTCCGCGAAGAGACACCCTCAACCATATACCCTCGCTGTCCCAGAAGAAGATTTGACAGAGTTTAAAACTCTACTTCAGCTCTCAAGGCTAGGCCCTGAGACCTGGGAAGGGAAGCAGGGCGATCGCCCAAATGGAATCAGTCTCCTCGGTATAACTCGAGCATGGCTGTCCAATGCTAAAGACTATTGGCTTAAGTCTTTCGATTGGAGGGCTCATGAGAAACACATCAATTCCTTCCCTAACTTCAAATTGAGTGTCAAAGATAAGGATGGCGATGAATCAGACATCCATTTTGCTGCCCTCTTCTCCGAAAAGAAAGATGCCATCCCGATTGTTTTCCTCCATGGCTGGCCAGGTATGTGGTTCGAGCATTCATCTTCTTTCTCATACTGACATGTTGCTGCTCATAAGGGAGTTTTCTTGAATTCCTTCCGATGTTGTCTCTGCTCAAGAAGAAGTATTCCCCAAAAGAACTTCCATATCATGTTATTGTCCCATCACTTCCTGGCTATACCCTATCCGCAGGCCCACCACTAGACAAAGACTTCAACACAAAGGATGCTTCGTTCATCATCAATGGCTTGATGATTGAGCTTGGCTTTGGTAACGGATACGTGGCCCAGGGGGGAGATGTTGGGAGCTTCGTCGCCTCCGAATTAGCCTCACAGTACGACGAATGCAAGGCGAAACATGGTAAGTCATTTTGTAAGAACATTAAAGTTGTTCGTTGCAACTAACAGCATCAGTAAACATGATGATTATCACTGATCCACTGGAGAATGCTGAGTTGAGCGACGTGGAACGTAAGGGGCTGCAAAGGACCCAGGCTTTCCGACAACGTGGATTTGCATATGCTCAAGAGCACGGGACAAGACCTAGCACCATCGGACACGTTCTATCATCGAACCCTCTAGCACTTCTAGCATGGTAAGCTCAGTTTTCAGACGTGGGCGCGGACAAATTCCCTCCCTTACTAGCCGACCGGATTTTGACGAATAACATAGGATTGGAGAGAAGTTTCTGGACTGGACTGAGGAAGATCCGACCCTTGATACAATCCTGGAGTCGGTATCTCTGTATTGGTTCACGGACGCCTTTCCTCGCTCAATATATCCCTACAGAGGCATTACCAGCGGGCAGAAACCACCCCCTCTCACTGACAAGCCTTTCGGGTTTTCGTATTTCCCATTTGAACTATCACCTGTGCCAAAAGCTTGGGCCGCTACGGAAGGCAACTTAGTATTTCACCGAGAACACATCAAGGTATGCCGGCATGTTCTGGTTGCAAGACTCTGCTAATTATCCAAACAGGGTGGGCATTTTGCTGCTATGGAGCAACCCAGCTTGTTGCTGCAGGATATCGAAGAATTTGTGCAACAGGTCTGGCCGGGGATAAGCTCGTCGAGGCTCTAAGCTATGTTTCCATATTCACTGAGTTGGTGATGTGCTAGTTTCAATGCACCGAGGGACCTGAATCGGCTGCGCAATGATCATGTACGTAGTTCTCGGTGCAACTGCTTTTCGTACGACAACTAGGATGTATGAAAATATTGAGTCTGCCTGATGACATCCGAAAAACGTTATGTTCTGACACGTTCGAACATATCTTGCCAGCCTAATCGATGTATAATTGCGAAAGCCGTCCCAACAATGGCCGTTAAAGCGACATAAAGGCACATGTAAATTGGAACCTTAGAAATTGATTTACGTAGACCACTGGCAATCGTATTCTGCAGCAGAAACTAGATTTGTGGATCAATTAGAATAGAGCCAAGGCCTGTTCAACGTTTAACTATCTTGGACTAGAAAGGCGAAATCCTATCAGGAATGCAAAATAGGTCGTCTTCGATGTGGCTGTGCGAAGGATGAAAGACGAGCCGGCGACGATCATCGACCCTTTCTAACCTGAATTGGACTGCGCCCTTTTTGGCGCAGATGTTGCTGCCTAGGGCTGACCGCCGCAACACCAGCAGCGGGCTTTTGGAAAAAGGGCGCTCAGCGGCTCTGACGAGGGCGCAGCATCTGCCAAGTAATTCACGCCTCAGTCGAGGCTCGTTTCAAGATCCCAAAGTTGACTCATACACACAAACCTCACTTTACCAGTTCCCGTTCTCCAACTTCACTGGGAGGAAACAGCCATCGACACCTCGATTTCGCATTGCTCGGCTGCAAGCATGGATTCTCGAAATTCTTTCCATGATATCGTCGATTATTCTCCTGTCGGCCTGGACGTAATGGACAGCAATGCTGATACGCAACTATTCGGCAGCCAATTAGAGTATGGGTCTTTGTGGAATTCCGACTTCCCAACCTCTTTTGCGCCAGACTTCATGGATAGCGACATGACGATGCCATCTACTATAGATACGTCTCTGTCTGCGCCAGCAGACTCAACATTTGACTTCAATGCAGGGAGCATTGCCGGCTTCCAGCAACCGAGCGAGGAAACTGATTCGATGCTCGCCAATACGCAAGATTCATTTTATGTGCCCTCTAAGCATCAACACAACCAGAACAGAATACCGGTAAGACATTTTCGAAAATAGATAGTCGCCTCATAGATCAATACTGTTATTTCTCTGCCTTTCTTTACTCCCGTGACTCACTCGCCTTGCTTGCCACCTCCGCAGTCATTCAAGCCACAATCGCTTCCTGCTAGTGTGCAAGTCAATTCGATTCTAATCAATCAATTAAAACCTCATGCTGATCATACTAGGGTCTCTCCGGTGCGTCTGTGGCTTGGACAGCACAGGTGGTACCAGAAACAAGCCCCATTGGCCTGTCTGCCACCTCGTCAACTCCATTCGATTTCTGCGACATACAGCAAGGCAGTGTCGGAAAGAGGCCGTTTCAGGCAGACTTTCAAGACTTCCCGCGTCCAAAACGTCAAATGGCATCAGAACACCAAGGAGCTAATTATCTCACCCCAGAATCTCTTACCTTTGCGTCTTCCGACACGACCCGAATTGAAGGAGAAACACCAATCACAGGGCAATCTCATTATCAACTGAGCCAATCCGACTCAGCACTGGATGAAGATGCAGCAGACGTTTGCTCGACCTGGTTCAGCAAGAGATACTCTGTATTCCCCGGTGACAAGGACATCGCAGCCTTGAGTCATCTGACTAGGATGCCGGCCGGTGCAATAAGAAACTGGTTTGGAGAGTTTCTTGCACGGGGACTCCATTCAGAGAACGATTCGGCGTACATGTCCCAGAATTCAAACGGAGATAGTATTATGCGGTTGGACTTGCAGCAAGGCGAAAAGTCTAATGACCTCGACGGCGACTGGTGTCGGGATGCGAACACCACACCCGCCGAGGAGATTGACTGCACCGAGAATCTCACCCGAAAGAGTGGCAACAGATTCGGCAAAAAGAGCTGCACCCCTACTTCAAGTCCAGATCTACTATGCAGAGACGAAGGCCGGATATATCAATGCACCCGGAAATGTGGCAAACGGTATGTCCGCAAATGCGACTGGAAGCGAAACGAGCAAGAGGGATACCCGTCGAAGCATTGGCTGTGCAGTCTCTGTCAGACTCTAGGATTGGAACGTGCCAAACCATGTTACCGTCGTTATCACTTTACGCAGCACTTCAACAACATTCATCCAACATTCTCTGCCGTCGACTATGAGGCAGACAGTCTAGTAGAAGCGGAAACGGCTTTTCCCAGACAATGTGGGTTCTGCCCGCATGTTTTTTCCTCGCGCCAAGAACGAATAGACCATATTGCCGAGCACTTCAAGCAGGGAAAGTGCATGCTCGACTGGGACGACGGTGTCCAAGAGGGTGACTCTAGCTCCGATGACGATTCTGGTGATGATGACGCCCCAGGAGACGATGGCTCTAAAGATAAAGAAAACTTCGAAGACAACACATCCGCACGCAGTGCTCGAAGAGAAATAGGAGGCAAGCGAAATCAATTCAATGGGGAAAAAGGAGGTCCGGACACTGATGGGAGCGGTGATACTAGTGGAGGCAGTTATAGATCACTGAATTCCGGAGCATCATGGGAATCTCGTAGATGCGCGAGCATTAACTGCATCGACACTGAGAGTCAACCTGTGCTCTCATCTAGTCCATGGCAAGACGCTCAACAGAGGTCAACGATATCGACACATCCTCCCGGCCAAACCCCCGTCTGCTCTACGACAACATCGCCCGGACTGGATGAGCACGCTATCTACCGGTCCCCAACTCTGAATGATGCTTCCGTTCAGCATGAGGCTTATTCCTTAGGTGTCCACCTCACAGGCGCTACTGAGCCTTGTTCGCTCAATCCGAAATCTAAGGACCTTCCATTTCCCTGCTGTGACAGCGGGCCGTTGCTTTCTGAGCTCGAATTATGCGACTACGTCGCAAAGGCGCCCATTCAACGAAGCAGTTTGAGTGCTTGGTCTAAGGACGATCACGGTCGACATCCTGATGAAGGAATCTTGGCCTGCAGGGTCTCGGGTAAAAGTAATGATGGAGACAGTGTGCGTATCGTCTGGCAAGCTTCGCGGGATGCGATTGCAATCTTTGGGATCAGCAAGACGTGTTCTCCTCTTTCTGATCGGATCATAGCCTCTACATGGGGTAAAGGATATCCAGTGTCTACATCGCGGTCATTCCTCAGTATCAAATTCCTCGGGATGGGCGGATTCTCCACTGTTGAGGAGGTAATTCACCGCGAGACAGGACTTCGGATCTGCCGGAAAACCGTCAGACCACAGAGGAAGATGTTGCCGAATGACATCATGCAAGAAGTCGATATTCTCCAGCAACTTCGACACCCCCACATCATACGACTCCTGGAGTCGTACACGCAAGGCGACAGGTTATCGATCCTACTTTCACCCGTCGCTGATATGACATTGTCTGTCTGGTTGGAGAATTACTCTGGCAAAGCTCCCGTGGGCGGAAAAGAAACGGTCCTCCAGATGTTTGGATGCCTGACCTCTTCCGTCCGATATCTACACGAGCAACGGCCTCTTGTAGCGCATACTGATATCAAACCGCAGAACATACTAATAGTGCAGGGCAAGAACGAATTTCCACATGTCATCTTGAGCGATTTTGGAATATCTCGAGCATCCAATGACCATGTTGCGGAGCAAGACTTTGGTCCAATGACACCCCGCTACTGCGCTCCCGAAGTAGCAAGTCATACTGCGAGAGGACCAGAGGCTGACATATGGTCGCTTGGCTGTGTGTTCCTCGAGATGGCCCTCGTAGTCCGCGAGAATAAAGACGAACTCCATCAAGGTTTCCGGAAGGAATTCGCAGGAGGCAAGTTCTATTACAAGGACGTCCCTCGCGTTCATTGGTGGCTTGATCGACTCCGAGAGACGAAACCAGCATACCAGGAGCTTCTAGTTCTTGAGACCGTGAAGGCCATGCTAGATGTATTACCAGAAAGTCGCCCTGATGCAAGTTCACTTGCCTCAGTCTTTACCCCTGGATCCTGTTGCCTCGCGTGGCCGAGCACAACACAGCGCTTTCCGGGACCACTAGACGAGGCGAAGGCTTGCGCAATCCTGCTTGATCGCACAGCTATTGAAAGCCCTATTGCTGCCAGCGTGTCAAGCTTTGCCAGACACGAACTTCGATTCCATAACGCGTCAGACTGGCTACAAACTTGTGCTGCTCATCATCATTCCTGTCAGTACACAGTGCCCGAAGGAGAACATGCACGAACACTTCCAGCCCGATTTCTCGACCTCCACTCAACGGTGTCTAAAGACACTTCCGTTCATGTTGTCGCTACGAGCGCCCTTCCATCGAGCACTGCTTATGTAGCTCTGAGCTACTTGTGGAGCGCTACTGATGAGCTCCTTCTCACCTCGCGCAATACCGACGCGTTGTTCGGTTCCATATCGGTTGACGCGCTTTCGAAGCCAGTGGCAGATGCCATATCAGTTACGAAACAGTTGGGCCTCCGTTACCTATGGGTGGATGCGCTATGTGTACTTCAAGACTCTCCGGCCGATCGTCGTCAAGAATGTGCCAAAATGATGGACCTTTATCGGAATGCGATAGTCACCATCGCCGCTAAACATGGCAGCAAGAGTCCTGAGAACGGCGCCGGGTCACAGCCCAGCGCCGACATTGATGATCTCACGATCCATTTGACTCCGGACGCTTCGTGGGATACTCGGGCTTGGTCACAACAAGAGCGCATACTATCCAAGCGTACTCTCTATCTAACTGACGACCAGTTGTACTGGGAATGCCCATCGCTGAAAGCGTCTGATACTCTGCCCAGAGGACTTCCGTCTTTATTGTGGGAATCTGTTCACTGCCACGAGGAACATAGTTGTCCTGTGGGGCTGGTATGACTGTATGGAGCAGTTTGGCTTTCCTTTCGCAATTTTCTAGCGTTTTAGCATTGTATGATCTGGTCCAGACTGTTTATTTCCTTATTATCCCAATTATCTATATGATATCATAGAGAAATGAACGATATTACTTCATAACGTTAACACAAGCAATGCACCTGACCTGAGGCTGTCTGTGAATAGAGTGCATCTTCTACAATTCTAATACATGTTACACGTTAAGGACTGACTATTTTGGTTCGCCACAAGATCTAAAGCGAATTACAAACAGGTAGTTAGAGGCTTGCTATCTATGTCTTATTGCCCCGGTTTCTGATTCTACCTTCTATTTGACTCAGCTGTCCCATGATGTGGTTCTCTAGAATCTAGAAAGTCTCTGTGAAGCGTCCAGGATGGCTCCCGCCTGAGCCTTTTAGAAAGACATGGAGTAAAAATATTATAATTAAACAATGTGGCCCTATTAGGCTGTTGTAATAGTACTTAGTAGCTTTGCAATAGTTTGCTCTAAGTTTTCATTTTAATATAGCAAGTGACGCGGTGCTACTATTATTAAGTCTAGGGTATAAGTTAAGTTTTTTAATTATTTTATATATAGCAAAGATATAATAGGTTAGGCAAAAGAAAATTTACAGCAAAGCGCAGCCATATAAAGGGCCTAATATAGAGAGTATACTAATCCCCTTAATTATAGTAGCGAGGAATATACTTTTTTCTCTTAATATTATATTTTTATAAAAGGAAAATAATAAAATAGGATAGCTTAAAAGTTAGCTTCTATCTAATTTATAATCTATAACGTAGTTAATCAGCCTACAGTCTAGATTAGCCTGCGGCCCACTAAATTTTTAGTGCAATTTGGGACCTTTTAATATATAACGTAATCCACGAAGTAGTGGCCGCCACTAGGCCGCGCTAACTTTGTGGTGCGATTTAGACGTTTTAACACCCTAATAATCTTAACAACCGTAAGAGTTTTAAGCTGTAACTTAGAATAATAATATGCGGGGCTGTTTTAACGTTATTAGTCTGCTTTTTAGGTCGCTCGATGGCTCTATTTTGTCGTAGTAGAGTTTAGCCCTTAAAATTAGGTGATTTCTATAATAGAGGTAGAATTACACTTATATATTACTCTGAATTTTTTTCTAGCTATTAGATAGGGCTTTATAGGATATACATGCTTAAAATTATACTTAATCTTAAGCATTTATTAAGGTTACTAGGTTGTTAAAACGTCTAAATCGCACTAAAAAGCTAGCGCGGCCACTACCTTATAGATTACGTTAAAGAATCTCACTAACTATTAAATATTACAGGCCGCAACTTGGAACAAATTTAATAGTAACTATTTTAACATTATCTATTATTTTTTAGGGTCTCTTAAAGGCCCTATCTAGTCGTAGAAGGGTTTTAGCCCCTAAGGCTAGGTAAAATTTATAATACGATAGAATTATATATACTTATTACTTTAACTCTACCTAGCAACTATAAAAGGCTAAATAACATATATACTTATATAATTTCACTTTATATTTAGTAGTTAGTAAGATTTTTTATATATTAAAAGGTCTAAATTATACTAAAACTTTAGTAGGCTGCAGGCTAATCTAGGCTATAGGCTGATTAACTACGTTAACTATTTTGTTTAGCTTACTTTATAAGTCTTAAATAACTGTAAGGATTATAATAGCATAAGCGTTATATCCCTATATATAAAGCTCTTAAAACAACTAAAACTATACACGTTTAAACGTGATATAGTAAACGTTTTAAATAGGAAAAGTAAGATAATATTATAGAAGCGTTAGAGGACGTTTTATAATACTATACGTATATATATATATATATATGCAACTCCGCTGCCGTTAATATAAAGAAGAACTTAAGCTATATAACTCTATTCTATTTCTTTCTGCATCGACTCTATATATTTAATAATAACTATTTCCATTTTATTACTAAAAGTATAGAACTTAACTATTTTCTATATTATTTCTACTTTTCTACTTAAAGTAATCTCTGTAACGTACTCTATAAGTAAGTAGTCTACCTAAGCGAGCGGTCCAGCCTAATATACAACAAAAAACCAATTTTTTATAGCAAAATATCTTAACAACTACTAAATAATAAATTATAAAAATTTAAATATAAGCTATTCTATATATAATCTATAATATATTAAGATTTTAAAGCTATTTATTTAGTAATTACTAAGATATTAGAAAGTAGGGGCTAAAACTAAGTAAAACTACTAGATCTTTATAACTACTAAATAAATGGCTTTAAAATCTTAACATAATATAAGTTATTATTTAATAGCTATTAAGATATTTTGCTATAAAATATTGATTTTTTAATATATATTAGGCTGGACCGCTTGCTTAGGTAGACTACTTGCTTATATAGTATATTATTAATTATTATTCTTACTTTAATTTTATATACTAGCTATTACTATATATAGATATTATAGTATTCTAATAGATTAATAGATTAATAGATTGATTAATTAATTAATAGATAGATAGATAGATAGATAGATGTATAGATGCAAGCATTATATATAGTTAAATCTCCTGCTACCTTAGATAAGTATATACAGACTGTTATATTACACAGAGGGGTAAGATTAATAGCGCCCATAAAGGGTTTAATTAAAAACTTAATTAAGTATAAGCTTGCAAATCTTTATATTCCTAGAATTGCCTGCACTGTTTTCTTCTTAGACTTTGCTTCTGATTAGATTACCAACTACGTATTAGGCGTACGGGAGGCGAAAGGTAAGCCCTGGCAGAGTATTTCGTTTAATGATGTAGTTCACACCTGACACTGCAGAAGTGTAGGTTACGAGAGTCATTCATTCTCATCTATGCTACTATGGTACATGAAAATCATATTATCTCGTCATCAAACGGTACTTTAACTGCTCGGGTATTGAACTGAAGTCAACTTCTCTGAAAGATCGGAGAGCCCCTGGTCCTAGGTCGCACGGCTAGCGTGTCGAATCAAGCGGTATCCAAGGTACGACGTCAGATCCATCTAACAACCGAAATTATCCAACAATGCTACACTACGGACAGCGTGGTTAGTGGCCCTTCATCTAGCTGCGTCATGTCCTCGATCTCAGGAAACCACAGAGTGAGCAAAGCTTCGGCGTCTTGTGACTCGCTGTCGTCCGTTTGCCCTTCCTGATCGCATTCGTAGCATTCGAAACGGCCCACACGGCGGTATGCCTGCGGCTGCGACTTTGTAGCTTTGAGAACTAGCCCAATGATGGATGACCGCCACGTCATGCTAGCTAAAACGCAGATGAGAGTGTCCTCTGATGCTAACGCATCGTCACCTCGAGGTACGCCGACGTCTGGCGTGAACTCAACACCGACGTTGTTCTTCATAAGAGCATAATTACTTTCCTCGTCGATTTTCAAGACGACCTCTGTGAGCATAGCTGCACTAAGTTCTATGGCCTGGCCAGATGTTGGAGACCAGGCTCCTGGGCTGGAAGTACTCCGCTCGCTGTTTGAGGGAAATACAGCTCTACAGCCGAGATCCATTGCTGTAGAATTGTCGAACTCAATTGACGATCCTTCTATAGATGCCCAAGACCAAGATGGAACAGGCGTTGAACTGGGGTGTGGTCTCCTACAAAGAGAAGGATTACTGGGATACCACAGAAGGTTCAGTGTGCTTGATGTCCATTGTCCAGCAATGTAGCCGCCTAGTACTGGCGCAAACTGCTTGGCGACTCCAGTAATTGCCAGCAACCTATCTCGATCGAAAGTCAGGTTCCGAGACGAGTACTCGGTGACAATGTAGCTCCAGAGCTGTATGGCCTCCTCCTTTGATGGGGTATTATTGGGAATGGAGTCGGTCAGAGCAGCACTAGCTAGCTGGTGTACAACACCCTCCATAGCGTCCTCCGAAGAGCCTTTGGCGTCAAGCACCTCCGGCGCGTGATTTTCTGTGAAGTTGGCAAATTCACGTTTGATAGTGTCCGTAGTCCGCGGATCGTATGTTGGATCATCAACCCTACCGCATTCGCACTGAATAGCCTCCCTACACTCCAGAATCATTTCACTCCAGGTGAAATGCAGGACTCGTGGTGAGAGCAGACGCTCCTGAAATCCCCAGGCTCTTTTCAGGAGAGGCGTTTCCTTGTTGGCCTCATCCGAACAGTTGAATGGAATGACCCAATCATTCATGTGGTCATCTTCGTTAAACTGACCTTTGAAGCTGTAGTGGGAAGGTTGTTCGCGAACGTATATCTTGTAAAGCGAGCCTATGCTATCGGTCGCTTGGACCTTGAAGGGCTGTTTCTTAGGCAGAATGCAGCCGTAAGTGCTATCAGGGGATGAAGTAGCCGCCACCGTCAGGAAGGAGTTGCTGTATATTTCAGCCATCTGTAAAGACTGTTCTGCATAATCTGTTGCGTCGTCATGGACGATGCAGAGGGCATCTATCCAAAGGTAACGAAAGCCTAGAGCCCTGGTAACGGCGACTGCTTCTTGGAAGGTCTTCGGCAAGGAGGACCAAGGAATGCTACTTTGGTGTGCTTTGAGGTTTGACGTGGTCGTTCTCAGGATGTTCTGACCAACGCCCCAGCAATGAGACAACGTTACGTACTCTCCGGGCTCAGAGAACGTTCCATTAGCACAAATGGCAGATTCATGGAGCTTGATACAGTTGGAGCCGTCGTGGTGATGGACGTCCAAGACTCTGCGTGGTGAAAAGGACGGGGTTCGCCTCTGGCATTTTGAGTGATGCAAAACACATCTTTCAATCATGGCTTTGGCATTTTCCAGCCCAGCGTCCTGGAAAAAATTGTCTGAAATGCGCACACCACGCCCAATGGCAGAGAAAGGGGATTGGCCATCTACTCGAGTCAGCCGGGAACAGTGTTTCAGAAGCTGACCCCAGCCGAGCAGCCAAAGCTGGAAAGAAAAACATGACTCGTACCTTGGTCAGTATAAAATTCCAGCTTTAAGTCCGGATACGTGAGTTCGTGGTCGTGGTGGTGATGGTCGTCATCAGCCACCTCCCCGCAGTCGTTTTCGTTGGCCAACCACCGCAACTCGACCGAGAGATGGTCTTGCGCCTGTTTGCCCGATGCGGCGGTAAAGGACTCGGCGGAGATGTGCACGACATCCTCGCTAACGCCCACAAGACGGTCATGATGCAGAAGTATGCCCTGCAGGACTAGAGCGCACCCGCGGCACCCGGCAGTGGCAGATCGGCGTAGGGCCGGCAGCGTAGTCTTGAGCCAGCGGAACGGCTCGTGGGTGGCGCCATCGGGGGCCTTTGATGGTTTCTGCAGATTCTGACAGGTGTTGCAGATGGACACCATGGTCGGCGGTGCGGCGGTGGGGGACGGTACTCCTCAGCCTCGCGGGGTCGGTCTTGGGCGGCTCTATCAGTGTGTTTCTGTATCCAGCCTGGCGCACGGACCGATGGTGTCGCAAAGGCCAGAGGCGCTCGAGGAGGGAGAAAGGTGGTAGGAAAGACAGCGAGGAGGCTCGGGAACGGCACCACGGCGTCGCCCCGGACTGATATAGATACTTACACAAGCAAGACAGCTGGAGCCGGCGTGGCAGTCAACTCCATAGCCCTGCCTGAGGTTCTAGAGCAACCGCTCCAGCCAGCCGCTGCACATCGCGCTCAGCCCTGTCGCTGTCAGCGTGACTCGCTTGAGCAGGGGAGGGGGTGGGATCGCTGGATGAAGCCGAAGTGCCCGGGCCGGCAGTACGTAAAAACCACGCGCATGCTGGAGGAATGCTGGGAGCTCGTCTCGTTACGGGCGTTGTGTCTTGAGCGGCAACTGCACCGGGCACGTTCAACTGCTTCGCACCGGCCCGAGTCTCGGGGCGGAATTTTACCCCAATGTCGAGCAGCTTCTCGCCATCTTCCAAGGTTCTCCTCTTGCCTTGCCTCGAGCTTCTGGGCGATGCGCCCGTCTGGCCACAACGCCCATCTCACGCGCCTTTTTGTGTCTGACCGCTGTTAACGCCATCTCACGGCGTGGGAGTCGAAACCCGATCGATACGTATCTGTCGTCGCCGACATTCTGCCAGGCTGCGCAATGTTTGGGTCCTTAGTAGCTCCATATTCCCCTCTCACATCCTCCTGGCGGCGTGGACAGTCTGCATTCGGCGTTGGAAAGAGGCCTATCTCACCCCATGTCAGCACTGCTAGTATCAGTCATCGTAGCACATCGAAGGACCGTTTATTTTCTCAAGAATAGCCACGCAGGATTTAATAGTGACCGTCATCCTCGAATGATGAGTGGGAAACGGGCAGGTTGTGGCTTTACACGCCAGCAATTAAGCCATTCAAGCCTTGCTCGCCCTGAACTCGACCTCAACTTATGACCTCAACTCATGACCTCAACTCATGACCTCATGCGCTGCTTCTGTGTTCTTTTTAAAGCCAAGTATTTCACCGAATCATTCAACATCTTCGCTTCGTGGCGTTCATAGAGCCTCTCTTTGTGCGCAGCTTTAGACCTAGAGTCCCTTTAAAATGGACTCACTGTGGATCCTTTCCAGTTCGAACTCTTCAGCGGCAGCCCCCCGTTTGGAACTTCGCAAACTGACTACGCTAGGCGAACAAGAGCTAGGGCTATTGATAGTAACATTGGAGGCACTGTCGGGAGATCCCCCACGCTTTAAGACCATGGTAACCTAAGTGACAGCGTGGTATTTTTCTATGTTGCATAAGAGGACATCAGACACCGTCTATCCAACAACTGTGAAAAGGCAGCTCAGACACTAGTCCGATCACAACAAGACATACTATACATCCTATCTTACGTCTTGTTCAAGCTTAGGTACTCGAGACATCGTTACATTCGAAAAGGCTAGGCCTGCCAATTGTAGTGCGTTGAACCATCCATCCTTGCAAGAACGTAGAGAAGAGGTAGGTTGTAACTTCACATCTATGGACAGACGCCTATTGTCTAACCTTGATTGCTTTATACTTCAGTCAAGGGTTAGGGTATATATGGGTACGTTTTTAATTTCCTCCTTAGTTGCAACTCAAATTCAACAATATCAATATTAAAGCTGTACTTTATTACCAGGCCATGTCTTCCATCGCGTGTTATAATCTCCGCGGTTTGGTTGTTAGAGAGGAATGTGCTGAGAGGCCATTTTCTAGGCTCATATCGCTGGTCACTTTATTGAAGGAGCTCCCTGCAAAGTCGACTCGAAGATTTATTTTTCCTCATATACATGTCCACCAGTAGGCTAACGTTCATAGGGCGGCAGGTATTCCGATACTGCTCACCTCAAATCTGGGATCGTTCAGGCTCGTTTCATCTTCAACTAAACTTTGATCATTCGAAACAAAGCCGGGAATTGACATTGACAATACGCCTATAAGCAATCATTAAGCTGCCTTTTTCCAGTCTATGTACTAACATGTAAGTTCGGGCCATGAACGGGCTGAGCGGAGTTTAGATTGAGCGAGACCGTGCTTCGGCATATTCTATTCGCTTACTTACTTACGTCCGTCTGCACTTTCAAGTTCTCTAGCGTATCTGCCCACGACTTCTGCATGCTCCCTATCACGGAGGTAACCCTTCACGATACGGCCGACGGACTTCAGCACAGTCTCTATGGACCGAGAACCTCGCCGACGACGAAGACCGGCCCTGTCATGCATCGAATGCCGGCGCCGCAAGATCAAATGTGACAGAAGCGGCCCATGCGTAAACTGTGTCTCTACTCAAACGCAATGTGCCTACAGTATTCAAAGCAATAAGCCCGGCATCCAGCAGGGCGGCTCATCGGGATCAGTTTCAAGCCCGTCGGCATACGTCCTATCGCCTGTAGCTCAGGCTCAACGAACCAGGACAAACAGACCGACCATAGAGCATGGTGACCTCCCAACTGGGCCCCGGGCCACAACATCAGCAGCACCGGCAATAAGGCAGAACGACACCCCAAATGCCTTCGGCCACAATCAGGGCATTCCAAACCGATCCGAAGATGCAGAACCCAATCTCCAGGATGTTTTGAAGCGGGTACAGATGCTTGAGAAGTCTTCGGTCTCCAGTCCTATCCACGGTCTGGCCGAGACTGGTCGAAACATACTCACGCGCCAGTCCGGCCTGCAAGTCTCGCAAATAATCCTGAACAAGACGAGGATCTTCACTTGGAGCCACTGGATGGGCATGGCTCAAGAGTTCGCACCCATCATTTCCTGCTATGCTGAGGCTGGCGGCAACGGTAACAGGTCCTTATTCCAAGGCGCTGAAACCAGAGCCCTAATTGTCCGCATTGGTGATCTTCTCCAAAAATGCAAAGATCTGGCAAGGATAATCAAGGTAGGGCGACCTAGTAAATGTCTCTCATGTGCTGGCTTCGGCCTCGCACCCCCATCCCGCGAAGTGGCAGACAGCATGGTAACCCTGTATTTCCAATCGTTTGAGTCGATGCATCGGATACTCCATGCCCCTACCTTCTGGACCCACTACCAGAGATATTGGACAAATCCAGAGTGTCACGATCGACTTGCGCCTTCAGATCCTTCTTGTCATTGGGATAGGGTCCAGTCTGTCCAAGTATGGAGATGCGGATGCTAGTTTTCGTGACATGGTTCGTCGTTGGGTATATGCTGCTCAGGCGTGGCTTTCCGGACCGTTGAGAAAGGACAGACTGGATATCACCGGACTGCAAATACACTGCCTGACGGTCCTCGCGTGACAGATCTTCTCAATTGGCGGCGACCTGGTATGGATGTCGATGGGATCGCTCATTCATAGAGCTATGCAAATTGGCTTACACCGAGATCCCAAACATCTCCCAGCCATGTCCGTGTTGCAAGCCGAACTCCGTAGGAGATTATGGGCCACTATACTCGAAATGATCTTACAGTCGTCTCTGGACTCGGCAATGCCTCCCAGAATCTCCTCCGACGAGTTCGATACTGAGGCACCTTCCAATATCAACGATGAAATGATGGATGATTCGACCACGACACTCCTGCCTCATCCCAAGGGCACCTACACCGCAACCTCGATTCAGCTTATTTTGCTCGAGTCACTACCAACGCGCCTCCGGATTCTCCATCTTCTAAACGGCTTGCACTCCGAACTTTCTTACCTAGATGTCCTAGCACTGAGCTCAGAGATCATCGACGCGTATCGGGCATGTAGTAGTTTCATGAAGGGGAACGAGAAGTTTGGTGTGACGCCTTTTCACCGCAATATGCTTCACTATCTAGTACGTCGGTTCTTGATTCCTCTGCACTGCCCATTTGCTAGCAAAGCGCGGACGAACCCCTTGTTCTCCTACTCGCTCACCACCAGTTTGGATGTTGCCATGGCGATCATTTCACCCGAGCCAGACGAAGGCTTCTCCCACCTGATGGCTGTCGATGGAGGCCTATTCAGAGAGGGAATCAGATTGGCAGCCACAATCATCAACCTCGAGCTTATTGCCCAAGTCGAGGCGCAGCGCCTGGACGGGACGCTGCACCACAACTCCCAGTATAGAGAGATTCTCAAACAAGCCGTGAAAGACATGATTTCATTGTCTTTAGTGCGTATTCGGCAAGGTGAGACCAACATCAAGAGTCACATGTTTCTGACCATGATTTTGGCACAAGCGGAGGCCATAGAAGCAGGTACTTCGCACGAATTTCAGATTGCCCAGGGTGCAATCAACAGCCTTGAGCTATGCTATGGCCTGCTACAAATACGGGCTGATGCCGCTATCGATACGGGCCTTACATCAACAAGTCTTGGAAGTGGGCAAGAAGCCTATGATGAGTTGGACTTGGACGTGGAGTTTTTCTTTCCAGATGAAAGCTTTTCTTATTAGTGTACTGAGATACCGGGTTATGTGTTAATAAATCTAGAGCGATGGTTGGCTTACATGTCCAGTCTGCGTACAACTTTGCCGCCACTGTCTATGGTGACACGGCTAGTTCGCCAATTGTTCAAGTCGACGAATTTTAGAGCTTTAATATGACATCGAGGGACTTCAAGCAGAGTAAATAAATGTACACAGATCTACGAGGAAGTGGTGTCCATTACCCAGACCTGCTTCGGTCATTGAACGGTCCACCTCATTCTTACGACCGAGACGGGCCTTCCGGAGATAATTCGTCATACCGGCGAGAAAATACCGAGAAGATCATTTACGACCACTACTTAACATTCTACCGTCATCACTGGTTGTTTATGTTCCCCGATCAAGGTACTCAAACCCAGCTCTATATTCAAAGAGGTGTCGTTAGGTAAAGCTCCCAATATCCCTCTGATCGGGCCCAAGCCTCTTGTGTTTTTCAAATTCTGACCCGAGTGCTCACAAAGTCGAACAGATCCTAGCACGAATGAAGGTCCTCATCAACGGTGGGGGTATCGCTGGCAATGCCCTCGCCTTCTGGCTCTCGAAATTAGGCCAGGACGTTACTGTTGTGGAGCGGTTCCCCAGCCTGCGGGCCACGGAACTGCAGGTAGATCTACGCGGCCACGGGATCGAAGTTATGAGGCGTATGGGTCTTGAACAGGCGTATCGCTCTAAGTTGGCTCCAGAGCAGGGACTGCAAATAGTCGATAAGTCGGGCAGACGGCGGGCCTACTTCCCAGCGAACAAGTCTGGCAAAGGGCCGCAAAATTTCACCACCGAGTTTGAGATTATGAGAGGGGATCTCTGTCGCCTCATATACGACGCTACCAAGGATCGCACAAAGTATGTCTTTGGAACCTCGATCGAGAGCTTCAAGGAGAAGGAGAGCTCCATTGAGGTTCGGTTTACAGATGGGAGCACGGACAGCTTTGATCTTTTGGTTGGTGCCGACGGCCAGGGCTCTCGCACAGGCAAGATGATGCTGGGATCTGATACTGCGGACGGGTTCTATCCGCTCGATGGAGTCTGCGTAGCATACTTCACCATTCCGCGGCCGATACAGGAAGGGGAGGGATACCTCGCCACGCAATACATGGCCCCTGGAAGGCGGGGAGTGACTCAGGTTGAAATTGATGTGAACTCTGATTTCTATAGACGTCTAGCTAGTTGTATATATACTAGGGGAAGGAAGGGGGCCACCCCCAGGGTGGCGCGCTAGTAAGTTCAGATGAGCCCTGCACAGCTGAGGCTTCAGCTCGGTTCTCTACAGCTGAGATTTCAGCTGGGTTCTCTACAGCTGATGTTCGGAGAGTAGCTTTCTGGCATATGAGTTGTTGATCCTAGGTTGTAGTGCTGCAACCTGAGTGAGTGATGACTCGAAGGCACAGTCCAAACGAGATTCAGGTATATCTCGGCGGCACGACCGATTCGGAGCGACTCAGAAATGCTCGCCGGGGAGATGCCAAGGAGGAAGAGGAGGCTTTGACAGAGATCTTTCAAGGCGCAGGGTGGCAGACAGAAGAGATCATTAAGTCTATGAAGGAGGCTAACGACTTCTACTGTGAGCGCTTGGGTCTTGTCAAACTGGAGTCTTGGTACCACGGCCGCGTGGCACTCGTTGGGGACGCCGCTTATTGCCCGTCGGCTAATACGGGAATGGGTACGACCTCTGCCATTGTGGGTGCTTATATCTTAGCTGGGGAGATCGGGAAATACTGCGGGACCCACAGCAAAGAGGACGGCCTCGCAACCGCGCTCAAGGCTTACGAACGAAAGTTCCAGCCATTCATGAAACAAGTACAAAAGGGGGTTTTGGAAGACACAGGGCCGGATATGATTCCATCGACGGCATTCGGTATTGCCATCATGCACTGTCTCCTGGGAGTAGCCTCCTTCTTGCAGGTAAATCTTGGGAAGTGGATGCTCAAGGAGAATGTAAAGGGATGGGACCTTCCGGAATATGAGGAGATGCGAGATTAAGTCGTTAATGCAAGATAAATAAGAGATCTATAAGCGTATGAAAATAATATTGTTCTCGTACTGAACAAGGGCCCTTATTCTGATTTTTGAGAAGTTGAAACAGGCTCCACTATGCTGGCTGTTGTCCACCGGAAACTACTGACTTTTTTGAATTAGATACGGAGAAACATAATCTTTCTTCAACTCACCGTCGTACATGAATATTGTACTCGAAGATCGTACCTGGATTGATCCGTGGTAATTGATGAGTCACGTGCGGTGAGAGACGCCCACAGATGGAGTGCATTGCACCAAGCGTTCTCTCCGTCCATCCGCATACACAAGCCAATCAACAGGAAAACAATCCGCTATAAGAAGCAACCCAACACTACATATCATGACGTCTCGCGACGCGCAGATCGTGTCCTTGCGCAACCAAATTGCGTCCTGCGAAGTCCAACTTCAACGGCTGCGGGACCAGCTTCTTGAAGCCGAGAACGATCGTGATATCTCATCGCGCGACACAAGTGGTCAAATTTCACTAGGTCTAGGAGAGATAGCTCCCGAATCACTTCCTGCAGAGGCTTCAGAGGGTTCTTCTCATCAGCAGAATGGAGACAAGGTCGTAAAATTATGGCCGCTGGACAAGCACGAATATAGACGCTATGGCCGACAGCTCATAATGCCAGAAATCGGGCTAACAGGTACCGTCGCCTATGAAAATGCACTTCATTTATCATCCGTCTCCTATTTCGACTGTGTCGAGTTCTGACGATCTAATCCTGAAGAACAGGTCAACTACGTCTGAAATCCTCCTCGGTATTAGTGGTTGGTGCAGGCGGTTTGGGGTGCCCTGCAGCAGCATACCTGGCGGGAGCTGGTGTAGGTATGATAGGGCTGATAGATGGAGATACTGTAGAAGAGTCCAACCTCCATCGACAAATACTGCATAGCACGGAGCGTGTCGCAATGCCTAAGGTTGATAGTGCTATAGCTTCGCTAAGATCGTGGGTACCCTTTCCTTGTCGTTCTCACTCTAGAGAATAGAGAAGCAGGATCTTGTTCTTCTCATGTTTTGCAACTAGGTAAACTAACCTATCCCATAGATTAAATCCGACGGTCAAATACATCCCGTACCATACACGTCTGACTGCAGAAATTGCGCTCGATATCTTCGAGAAATACGACGTCATTCTCGACTGTACAGACACACCAGCATCCCGATATTTAATATCGGACGCTTGTGTACTATCACAGAAACCTCTCGTATCAGCTTCCGCACTTCGCACTGATGGCCAACTCATGGTTCTAAACAACCCTCCACTACCTCCCGGACACGCACAAGGCGGGCCCTGCTATAGATGTGTTTTCCCAAAGCCACCGCCCGCAGCAAGCGTGGTGAGTTGTGGCGACGGTGGTATTCTCGGGCCTGTTGTGGGAACTATGGGAGTCCTGCAAGCCCTTGAGACGATCAAAATCATCGCAAAAGGCATCCAGCGGTATTCGGACTTCGACTCAACATACCTCCAAAAGGGCCTTCCGTCTGGAAATAGTGTCCCTGATCCTCATAGGCTCTCCGAGCCACCATCTCTACTCCTGTTCTCTGCCTTTTCCAACCCACCCTTCCGTTCAATACGCCTTCGGACCAGGAAAGCAAAATGCAGCGCTTGTTCCGCACAGACTACAGTTACTCGGGAAGCACTTAAGTCCGGATCTCTCGATTACGTACAGTTCTGTGGAGCTGTAAGTCCTGTGGATGCCCTGGCTGCTACGGAGCGGGTATCTGTAGAGGAATACTCTCGGATTCGGGATGGCTCAATCCCCGCCGAGGACACCAAGACTATGCCTACGGAGCATATACTAGTGGATGTCCGCGAAAAAGTCCAGTTCGAACTATGCAATCTAGATGGAAGTATGAATATACCTTACTCTATTGTAGCCCGCAGTTCCTCATCGGAGTCTGGCAAACCTTCGTCACAAGCTCCTTCAGAAGATGACTGGGTTGCGCAGCTGCGCACCTTGGCGAATGACAAGCCAATATATGTTGTTTGTAGACTCGGAAATGATTCTCAACTCGCAGTTAGAAAAATGAAAGAGATGGGTCTTGACAGCGGTGGTACGCGTTGGATAGGGGATATCAGAAATGGATTGAGAGCTTGGATGAAGAGGATAGACCCCGATTTTCCAGAGTATTGATCGACGTACACGTTGGATCACTCTCAGTGTTACTGTATAATAGATTGGGATATTCCATCCAATGCATGATTTCATTCTCAATACGTACCATTTTTAGCTGTCAAAGCCTCACTGAATGAATCCATTTGTGAGGACAAGAGCAAACAAACGAGACAAAGTTGTACCCAGATCTGCGCAATCCATAATTTTATCCATCTGTGTGTACAACTAAAATCCCACTAGCCTAAAGCGGAATACCGCCACGATTGTGGGAAACCTCGGAGATAATTCACATGCGAACCCGCGTCACGAACTCTCAACACAAAACCTACAACACAGTCTTTCCTACTAATCGCCACGACAACCCAGCTACCACGTAAGCTTACTCAAAGCTTGTCCTATGTAGACTCTTATAATCTACAGCAGTTCCCTGCATACGTTCCCCCCCGCCAAACCCCGCGATGAAGCCCCAGGACCGCATATTTCTCATTTCTGGAGGAGTATCCGGCCTCGGTCTCGCCACCGCCCGCTCGCTCCACTCCGCAGGCGCATACGTCTCTCTCCTCGACCTAAACGCAGACTCGGGAGCCGAGGTCGTACAAGAGCTGGGCGAAAGGGCAAAGTTCTTCGAGACAGACGTATCGGACACCGACTCGATAGCTGCAGCAGTAGAAGGGACGGTAGCGTGGGTCAAAGACACAGGGAAAAGCATAGGAGGAGTGGTAGCAGGTGCAGGTGTTGGATTGCCTGGATTGGTGAGCTATACGCCATTGCTATGCCATGTGAAGGCTGTCTCTAATTCGAAAACCATTCGTAGATTATCGACAAGTCGAACACCCCTCTTGCGCTCTCCTCCATCGACTTCGTTCTCAACATAAACCTGCACGGCACACTCGACCTGATCCGCCAAACCCTCCCGTCCATAACCACAAATACCCCATCCGGTCCTGATGGCGAGCGCGGCGTCCTGATAATGATAGCCTCCTCCGCGGCTTTTGAGGGCCAGATGGGACAGGTAGCGTATGCCGCATCGAAGGGCGCAGTTGCGTCGCTCACATTGCCCCTTGCGCGGGACTTATCGAAATATGGCATTCGGGCGGTGACGATTGCACCCAGTCTATTCGAGAGCAATATGACCAAGGTTATGGGAGCAAAGGTGCGACAAGGGTTGGAGCGGGTGATGGAATTTCCGAAGAGGGCGGGACAGCCAGAGGAGTTCGCGAGGCTGGTGATGGAATGCGTCGAGAACCAAATGCTGAATGGAACTGTGTTGAGGCTGGATGGCGCAATGAGGATGCCAAGTAAATTATAGGTACGTGTCTGAGAGCGTGCGGCTGTAAATAGGAGTCAACGAATGTACCAAATGAGAAAGGCTGTGGACGTACTGCAGAATTGTTCGCAAAATGCTGTGAAAACCTTTGGCCGGATCCAATGTACATACCAAGCACTGAGCCAATGCGCTCGACACCCAGTCTCTCTATCAGCGTTTTCGTTCCCGGACCTTGAATTTGACGCCGTTCTTGTTGACGCCACCAATTGTGCCAGCCATCTTGGCTCTTTGTGTCTCTAGCTCGTCCTCGACACTCTTCAGATCTCGTTCTCTAGCTTTCAAAGCTTCCAACCGGGACATGCGTGAATCTTGAGCCCGCTCACGCTTCTTCTTTGACGAGCGTTCTTCCTTCCGCTTGGCGGCCTCAATCTCTTGCTGTTTCTTGGGGAGCTTCGCGGTAGAAGTGATCCCAAGCTCTTCGCCGTCACTTTGCTCTTGTTCCATCGTAAAGTCCCGCGGCCGGTTCCACGCCTTATTTAGCCCTTCCATAGAAGTCCCAGACCACTCCTCGGGCTTAAACTCCTTCTGCTCCTCGGCGCTCTCTACAAACACCATATGGCTGCCCGTCTTCCCTGCCCTCACCTGGTTGAACGTCTTGACACCATTCTTGCCCAGCACAACCTCCTGCTCCAGCTTCTCTCTCTCCTTCCGCGTCGCCTGCAGCATCGTCCGCACGTAACCAATATCCTGAGTCTTGAGCAGCTTAACTACATCCACGCTCAACGCTTTGTTGCCTCGATCGCCGAGCTTGCGACCGTTGTCCGCTTTCGAGCTCATCATTTTGAAGGAGAATTCGTCTGGGTTGCGGTCCGCGGCTTTGGATTTCAGGGCCCTGAGCTTTTGCTTCTTCATGCGGAAGTCCTGGGCGCGCAATTTGTAGTCTGGGGTGCGTTAGAATAATGCAGTATTTTGAAATGAATATGTTCCTGGGTGCTACCTTTTGACTTCTCGAGCAGACCCCATTTCGCCCGCTCCTCAGGCTGAGCGCGCTCTCGGTGGTTGCGGCGCTGGACCGCATTTCTCATAGACGACATGGTGGACTGCGAGTGCGGGTTGAGTACAACGAAGAAGCAAGATTGGTGGTGGGATGAAGTTCGCCGTGGTCAAGACATAAATTTCGCTGCCAAGATTTCAAAATCGGTCGACCAATCAGATTGCAAGTTTCCCGAGATGCTCAATTTGGTATTTCCAGGACGCTGTGCATACCACGCTCATGATATGAACATTTCACAAGCCTGAAAGCTTGCCGAACTACCTCAGGCGGTGGTAGAAGTATGTACACGATCTGGATCTGTCTTCCGTTGCTCTGCGTTTCTATTAATACTCTAGAGGACCACAAACGGCGTGATCAAGATAGCAGAATCGCAATTCAACTCGTCAAGATTTGAGACAGACGCAAATACGAAGTGGGTCAAATTCCTAATGTCTTCTTGGGTTTAAATTACAGGGTGCGATTCCTTACATCTTGATCTGGTTCTTAAGATGTTGCTGGAGCACCACAAACCGCATTGAACAGTAGTTCAAACAGTGTAAAATTGCGAAGTCAGATTGGGAGAAGAGGATCGGTTACACCCTTCCCACTATATTTCAGACTATCAGAAGGCTACAGACCTTGATGAAGAGTAGTCAAAGCGGTGCGGAACTGCGAGGTCAGATTCGAAGAGGAGGAATCGTGACATCTGTCTGGAATTCTTTCAGGCTGTCAGAGAACCTCAAGCGGCGTCAAAGAGGTGTTTGTAGCTAAGCTGAAACAACACGATATTGGCCCGTTGATATGCACGAGGCAGAAGCCCAATTCGCGGGCTTAAGAATATGACATCGTGTGGATTTTAAAATGGAAGGGCTAGAGAGTCTTCTGTTGTCTTCCTACATTATCAAAATGAAAGAAGGACCATGTTCAACTTGTGCTGTTTGGTCAAAGAGATACAATATCGTTATGTAATAGAATAAGGCTTAAGAACAGGCTTAAGAACAAGACATAGCGCGGATATGAAAACGAATGGGCTAGAGAGCCTTCAGATATTTACTTTCAGTGTCAAAACAACAAGGGGTCAACTCTAATTCGTGTCACTCGGCCCAATAGATAGAATATCGGTAGGTAAGAGACGGAGTCTCAATTCACAGGCTTAAGAATATAAAATCGTGAGAAACGGAAAGATGAGGAGGCAAGACAGTCCTCAGATGGCCAAAGCGGTATTACAATATGCACCTCCGTGGAAACGACATTCAAGATTTTGAAAAATTAATAGGCCTGAGAGGCCAGAGGCAGTTGCCTGCGTTGCCGAAACTACAGTCCTACACCTCCGAATGATGTTGCAGCACTATGGAGACGAGAATTTGGGTCATTAAAGAGTAGCCCCTAATCTGCAGCGCCGGGAAATGACATCCCAAGGATTCGAGTGTTGAATATGGATGAGAGTTCTCGGATGGTTAATGCGCCCGGAAAAGAGGTGTTCCATTCTACAGCCCTCGGGAATGGCATCCTACGGATACGGAAGCTGAATAGGCATGAGAGTCCTTCAGAGGTTGAATACGCCCAGAAGGGAAAGTTCCAAACTGCAGCTCTCGGAAATGACATCCCAAGAATTCGAATGCTAGAGAGGTATGAGAGTCCCAATATGGTTGAATACGTCCAGAAAGGGGCGCTGCAATCTTTAGCGCCTGGAAATGACATCCCAAAATGGCAGACGCTGCATAGGCAAGAGAAGCCTCGGATGGTTGAATACGCCTAGAAAGAGAAGTTATAGTCTGCATCCTCGGAAATTACACTATTGACCTAATTATCTAGCGGCAATTTGAAGCGCCGAACTTTGTACTGACTTCTTATACAGTCATGTTGAGATGTCATAGATGTGAGCTTCCAGTCCGTGTACACCTCTTCAGCACTGTCTGGGGTGGCCTGGTGAGCCTACTGAGTTTTCAAGTTGATTTTGTTCAGGTTCATGAAAGCTCTTTGAGGCGCCTCAAGCAGTGTCAAAACAGTGTACATACGTCGATTGTGAACGAGACGGAAGAGGGAAGTGTGCATTCTTAAATGTGTAAATCTCGTCAATTAAGACCTCGTATATCAGCATTTCCAGCCCGTGTACACATATTCAGCACTGTCTGAGGTGGCCTAGCGAGCTTATTAGCTGTTCAAACCGATCTTTTTCAGGGTCTTGAAAGCTCTTCAAGGCGCCACAGGCGGTGTTAAACAAGTGCACATACATCAACAGTATGAGGAAATAGAAGAGAGATGAGAGAAGTGTGTAATATCAAGTGTGTAGAGTTGGATTAGTTATGATGTTCGAGACGTTGTATAGTAGCATTTCCAGCCTGTGTACACCTCTTCAGCGCCGTGTGAGGTCGCCTAGCGGGCTTACTGACAATGAAAAAGCAAGATTTTCGGCTTCGTAGAAGCATCCTGAGGTACCTCAGACGGTGGCAAATGAGTATATATATACGTTGATTGTACAAGATGAGGGAAGACTAAATTGTGTAAATCTCGTAAACAGTGATATTTGAGACCTCGTAGTTTAGCATCTCTAGTCTATGTATACCTTTTCCGCGCCGTCTGAGGTGGCCTAGAGAGCTTACTGACAGTTTAAAAGCACGATATTTAGATTTGTAGACGCATTATGAGGCACCTCAGACTGTGGCAAAAGAGTATACTTATATCGATTATAGACGAGACGGAAGAGGGAAGTATGCAGTCTTAACTGTGTAAATTCAAAATCATTTTTCAAACAGTCAAATTGGACGTCACGGACCAGCATTTCTAGTCGATGTGCACCTTTCTAACACCGTCTGATGTGGCCTAGTAAGCTTATCGACAGTTCAAAAGCATGCTTTTTAGATTCCTAGAAGCATGATAAGGCACCTCAGACAGTGGCAAGGAAGTGTGTAAGTATACTAATTTTATCTTATTTTCATCCCATTGGCTATCCCTTAGCTAGTCCACCGATATTGGCCTCCGACTGTAGGTCGTTTGGCCCTTGTTAAGCTCCCTGGAATCCACCCCGCCCATGCAAAACGCCATGCAAAATCATCGTAAAAGTGAATTCAAAAAGGAGTATTAGTGCAAAAGTCAAGCCAACAGCGCCTAATCCAGGAGCCCATCCATAGTCCAGAATCCAGGGAGTCGAAATCGTCCAAAGAAACACACCTGCCTTCAAATGACCTTGTACCCGCCTAGAGCGCCAAAAACAATCGCGAGCATAGCCACGATCATCCATACAGGTCCAGCCCAGACAGCAATAGCTTTCTGCCTATACCCGGCCTCCTGAAACACATCTCCGGACTCTTTGTAGAAGCGCTTGCTGTGATGAAAGACGAGGTAGTCGCCGAAGCCGTAAGGGTACGCGAAAAGAGAGACCGGGGTGATGCAGCATGCAAAGAAGTAGATCCATGAAATTCGGTTGAGGCGCTTGACGACAGTCGGAGTGCCGCAACGCTGGTTAGCTAGCAAGTGCGGGCTATATTCCTGTACGAAAGGTGCAACAGGCTGTCGGTACTCGCGGAGAGGTTGCTGGGAGGTCGTGAAGGGTCCAATGTGCATGAGGTCGCTCATTCGGGTCATTCTAGACCGATTCGACGAAATTGTGGCTGTATCGGGAGCGCTCACAGCCTGAAGCGGAGCATTGGCAAGACGGATGGGAGTGCTCGTCAGGCGAAGCTCGCGTAAACCCGTCTGGTTAGGCACGGAAGACCGCCTAGACGTCGATCCATGACGGGCTGGTGTGTATTTCCCGCGACTAGTCGAGTTGGTGCGTTCGAGATCCTGGAGTTCGATGTCGTTGGGAGCCTGTCCAAGATTCAACGGCTTCACATGGAACCTAGGCTGGTTGTCGTATGTAGAGTACACAGACTCAGTGGGAGATACTGGAGCATGGTTGGACGAGTAGCTAACACCTCGAGTCAAGCTGGAGTTCCGAGAATTAGGATCAGGTGTACCGAAATGAGAGTACCGGCTGGGCGCATATGCGCGAGGGGAAGTCAATCGGGAGAACGGCGAAGGTCCTGAGATATTGGCTCTGTGGCCGCGAATGGGAGTCGAGTAGAATGCAGCACCAGGGCTACTGGAGTCGGCCAAGCTGCTCCCAACCTCCCGCATTCCTGTACCGAGAGGCGTTCCAGTCAAGTTGCCTTTCGGGCCCAGAATAGTTAGTTTCGCAAATGAATTTTCTCGCTCTTGTGCCAGCGTGCTCATTGTTGCAGGCTCAGCGCGAGCTGAGGAGAACGACCTGCTATCTCCATAGTGACTCGATGAGGGAAGACCTTGACTACTGTAGATGATATTGTCGTTCGGCCCAGCATCTAGCATCTCCTTCTCGGTCAATTCGTATTGCGCGTCACCGTTCCCTACGTTGTCGCGATACTTTCCCATTCGCGCCGGTAGGCGAGGTACTTCACTATCTTCGCTAAGCTCGCCTGACTTCGGCGTTGGGGATAGGTTGAGCTCGTCCAAGGCGAACGGCCCATAGCTTTCTCGTGCTCTGCCGGTAGTCATGGTGGGCGGCGAAGAATCAAAGGGGTGCTCGTGCTCATCCATCGGGCTTGGATGTCGGTATGGCGTTGAGAAATTCCTGGGCAACGCGTTCATTGTAGGTAGTCGCGTTCCTCCATACGTAGGAAGAAGCACGGTTTCGCCCGATTCAAGCTGGGTCTTCTTGTACTCATGAGGAATGGATGGATTTCCGGGATGCACAACGACTTGCCGGTCTTCGTCGGAGCTGGGGTTCCGGCTCGAATAATCAGCGATACTGTCGCCAGACTCTCTCCGGATATCGCGTCGCTCGTTAATTGTGATCCAGTCTCGCTCGTTTTCTTCTTCGACGAAGTCTTCCAACGAATTCCTTCCGGGAGACGTTCGCTCAGCCGGCCCCTCGGGTTCGGGAAAGGAGATACCAGACACTGAACTGGACTTCCAGAGGGTGGGAATGGAAGGATTTCTACCCTCCTTACGAGTCTCTTCGAAAATGCGCTCAGCCGTAGCTAGCGCTTCTGGTGGAGTCGTAGCTAGCTCTTGGGAGTAAGACGAAGAAGGCTCCAAAGCTCCTGGAATGAAAGGATTTGTGCTGTAGCGTCTAGTATCTGTGCTACCCGGCACGGTTTGGCTAAGAGGGACAATCGGCACACTATGGCTCAAAAAGCGTTCCGGAATTCGAGGAACATTTGGGACCTCAAAAGCTCGGGATAATCCAAGAAGATGACGGGTATCTCCATATGAGTTGTCGGTCGAGAGCACTTCCGATGACGGTGTGCGATTACCAAAGGAAGGGCGTGGCTGTCCAAGGCTGATTGGAGGTCCTAAGGGAAGAGGAGATCCTGGCGGAGACCCCGGGCCCTTGAACATAGTTTGCTTCCGATTGTACATGTTGCCGGCTACTGGGATCTTGGTGTCAGACAGATTGCTATACTGGCTAGTTCGCAGACCAAAGTCGAGTTTTGCTAGGCTGGAACTAAGTCTAGGAAGCGGGCTTTCGAGAGAACTACCTTCGAGACTGTCTATACGCGTATCCGGTGTGCCTTGATCCTGATATCCATCAATGATCTTCCCGAGGGTATCAGTCTGCTCTGTCTGCTCGCTCAGGAACTCTGAGGGAACTCTCCCGCGTGACAAGCGCACGCTCGTATGTGCAGATTTGTCGTGCTCATACTTGTAGGGATCAGGATTCACCTCACCAGAATAGTCGATTGCCTTCGTACGGTAGCCGTGCGGAAGACTCCGGCGATCCTGATTGCTTTCGCCCCAGAGCGAGTGCTGGTAGCTATCATCTTCATCGGAGTAGACCGAGGCATGGTCTTCGGATTGCTGAGAATAGACCAAAGCTGTCTCAGATGTGACCCCTCCACGCGTATTTTCAATTCCCTTTCCACCAGTCGCGGGGATCGCGGATGCTGATCGGTTACCACGGCTGAGGGGTCTGCCATAGATACCGGATGTTCGCGAATCGCGGCGTCGTGAAACTGCCTCTAAATCCGTTCCCTGTAACTCTCTCTTGGTTCGTGAATTTCTCTTAGCGAATGGGCTTGAAAGACGCTTAAGCACTTTCTCCGAACGAGTGGCAACGGTAGGTTTCTGAATGTTGAGTGGGCGCGGAGCTAGATCAGGGAAGAAAGGCGAATCCGGTCTGATGGGATTGCGCAGCGTAACAGGTTCGGGAGGCAGCGGCGCGTTGACGTTCGGACTCTCATTCGCGGGGAAAGGAGAGGGACGGGCGATCTGCTTGTGGGCAGACTTCAAGTCTGTGTACACTCGGCGTGTAGGCGCCATGCTTGTCTCGGGTGGCGGATCTTGTCGCGTTGTAAAATCGGTTTTATGGTCTCGCGAGTCCTCGTCGGATTGTCGGTCTGGAAAATAGTCACCAGCGTCGGGCTCTACGTCACCTCCAGGCGTCACAATGTCATGGAGGCCTAGAGAGTTGTGTGGATTGATCAAATCGAAGGAGGCACCTCGGTAGTGCAAGATTGCAGGTGTCGCAGGAGGCGTGGCGGGAGCGGTCGTCGTGATTTTTATCTGCGTGTGCTGCGAAAACGAATCCAAGGACTGCTGAGCGGAGAATGCGTCGGGCGAATGCGGCGGGTACGGGAATCTCGACAGCGAGACTGTAGAGACAGTCGTCTGGCCTGCGCTGGAGCGCAGCAGATCGGTCGAAGTCGTTGGGTTTTCCGAAGATCTCTCTGCCCACCGGCGAGGCGGAGAGTTTTCGAATGGAGGCGAAGGAGCAGAATTGGGAGGAAACAAAGGGTACGTTGCAGGGTGCGCGCGAAAGGAGTGGGTTGTGGGCAAGGGCAAAGGCTTTGGGAGGCGTTTACTTGTTTTAAAGTGAAGCACCTTTCGCGGCTGCTGCTGCTGCGTCGTCGTCAAAGAGCCATGAGCGTCTCTAGCTTGGCTTGTCGATAGACTGTGGGACGGCAATGGCCTGTAGGCGTGATGCGTTGACAAAGGCGAGAGGTCTAAGGAAGGTTGATGTTGTCAGCGTGCCAAAGTGGCGGAGAGCGGTCGAGGTGGAGGTAGAAGAGAGCAGCATTGTAGCGGACCGGCCGGATAGAACTAACCTGGAACTTGATACACCGAAGCAGACGAGAGGGCTGCGGAATCTGCGCTGTCAACAAGATACAGACTGGGGGTGGTCAAGGACCCCTTCACGAAGGAGAGAAGGACGGAAAGAGGTGGGGCGAAAATGACAAACCTTGGCCGTAGTGCGCTGAAGCGGGCGAGGCCGCTGTGAAGAGGTGGCGTCAACACCACGTTCACATCTTGAAGGCACAGCCCAAAGGGAAGGAGATGGAGGAAAGGGAGGTGTAGGGGAGGAGAGGCGGAAATGGACTGCGTAGAAACTAACCTTGGCCGTGATTCTCCGAAGCCGACGAGACGGCTGTGGAGGTAGCGTTGTCAGTACATGCACATAGCGAAGTCGGAGGTGAATGGGGAGGAGATGAAGACGGTGGCAGGTGGACCGCATAGAGACTAACCTTGGCCGTGCGCGGATGCAGACGAGACGCCTGCAGAGGTTGGTGTTGTGAGCAGGGGGTTGAAGGTGGAGGTGGAGGGTAGGAGGTGGAGGAGAGACAGACGGAAGAGGTGGGGCGGATGGGTAGAAACTCACTTTGGCCGTGACGTTGGCCGGAGGGCGAGCGCGTGACGGGACGCGTTGAGCTCAACGACACCGAAGACTGCACCAACGGTACTCGCTCGAGGGAGCTGAGCCTCGAAGCTGCAGCTTTGCGCTTCAAACTCCTTGCAGGGCTTGCCGTATGCGGGCTGGGCGTGTTTTGCTGCTTGCGGTACTCGTGGAGCGTGAGGGTGTGGACGGGGGTGCGCGAGGGGGTTGAGGAGAGTGACTGATGGGGGGAATGTACCGGCGTTATCGGCGATGAGACGCGATGGAAAGCCTGCATGTGAACAGGCGTGTATGCATGATATGTCGCCATGGCTGCGATGAATCCTCTGATGCCCTATGTGCCTTCACCTACACGCCGTCTCCACAGCCGCCGCTGGTCGTCCTCCGAAGCCTCTTCCGTACACAGCGCCAACGTTTCTGGTCCACACCGCTAATGTGCCTCTGCAAGACTGCTGGTGATAGAAACTGGACACTTCGATCTCGACGGGGGCATCTCGTTCTCGTGGGGCTTGGTGGTGAGGCCTCTCAATCTGGACGGACGCCGGATCCCAAACGCAGTAGCTGTGCCAGAGAGGTAATCAGCCCTCAACTCATCCCAGATCGACCTTTCTCCTTCTCCTAGCTCTTGTCCTCTCTCTTCTCCTCTGTCGTACCAGCCTCTGATGGGGCTTCTTCTGCAATTGGCGGTAATCAAAAGGGACCGACCCCAAGTATTTTGTCCGTTTCTTGCTCTCACAAGCTTGCATTCTTCTCTTTCTCGTCCAGCCTTTGCATTGCCTGCCAACGCTCTTCGCTCTGCCCAGCGGGGAGCGATTCGGGGGAGCGAGCGACGGTGTGTCGTTGGATTCTCGGCGCTACGAATGAGGAAAGCACGATCGATGCTGCCGTCAACGACTCGGGAAACACGCCCCGGGAACTCGGGAGCGGGAGATGGGAAAACGAGAGTATTATGATTAAGAGAGATCTTATTACAACACGAACGGCACCCGTAGCTGAAGAACGCGAAAGCGGAAGCCTCTCCAGCGCGCCTTCGGTGACAGAAAGAAGTCCAGGACACACAACCCGCAGCAGCAGTGACCCGCACACACACACGAGCCGCAGGCCATCAGCTAAGTACGGTACCACTCGCCGGCCACGCCGCCACCCGACCTTGCCCTCCATCTGCGCAGCGCGGACCGTTGCCCTCAGTGCCCTTGAAGCGTCGGTCGCGGTGAGCAGAGCCAGCGGGACGTGGGTGGTTGAGAGTTGAAGACGCGACCCGAGCGCCCCCTTGCCACGCCATTCTCGCCTACCAATCAGCACTCCTAACGGACTCATGGCATCTGGAGGCCTGAACGGCCACGTCGAACCAGTTGGCAGAAGCAGAGCCCGGGCAAGAAACGCCTGCCACACGGCCTGCGCGTCGCGGGCCCTAATGCGGGTCATCTGGTAACGATGAAGCCTGCACGAGGGCGGCGCGCTGGCCAATCTGCGGGGTGCATCGCATTTGCCCCTAGATGGCTATATATCTAGTCCCCCCAGTCTCACTTCAGCTCCGTTGCTATTTCGTAAGAGGCTCCTGAGTGACATCACGCTAAATGTCTTTCCTTTTGCATACACGAGAGCCCTAGGGCGCTGCACATTTCTCGCAGGAGTCACACGCTGAAGTCGTAAAGCTTTTCAAAGCCATGCCTAGGAACACGTAAGGCTTTCGCGAACATGTATATATACGAGCGAAAGATGAAGGCAGCTTATGTAGTGTTACTTCTTCAATTTGCTGCTTAATCTACTTCGTAGAACGCAGTTCTGTCAGCCTGACTTCCCCGCCACGTTTGACAAGCTGACCGCAGCAGGAGACCTTGATCGTACTACAAAGAGCAGGACAATGGTCTATACCACCACCCACAGACTTTCGATACATCTTCGAAAACAGCACAGGCTTGGAGGTTGCTATATTGACGGACTTTTTCGCTGATGCACCCCAGAAAACCCCCTCTGTGATTCGGGCGGGGACAATTTTCAACATCTATTATAGGCGTCTGAAAACACATAGTGTACGCCGAAGAGTCGCACGCAAGGTTTTTCATTTTAGCCAGATATCTAGCAAGGAGAGCTACTCTACAAATTTCACGCCGCCACCCTTGAACGCCCCCAGAGCCAACCTTGGTAAGCAAGAAACCCACCTATCAGGCATCCATGCCTCCTGTCGATATCTCAAATTGTGTGCCTGGCGCCCCTCCCGCATCGTAGAATCTCACGGAAACTATCAGCTAATTCAAACAAAACCGTGTTTGAATGAATTGATTACCATTCAAACTCGCCGTTGGCCTTGTGGAAGAGGTACTCCTTCTTGTTGGTGGTAAGAATACCGTCCTTCAGGGTGCACTTCCACTTGTTCTTGACCCGCTGGACCTTGTCATAAGTGCAGAGCATGTAGTCCATGTTCTCGTCATTGCTGTCGTCACCGCCGTCGTTATCGTCTTCCGGATCGTCGAGATCGGAATTGATAGCATCCTCGTCCCGCTCTTCTTTCTTGTCTTCGTCATCATCCTCTCCATCCAGTTGAGCAATGCGAGGAGTCTTCGAAGAGCTGGCCTCGGACGATGACGCCTGCTTTCGGACGCGACGGGCTACTTTGCGCTTCCTGCTTTTGGGGAGCTCATCGAGGGGTACCATGAGTCCGCTGTCCTGGCGCTGCGCCATCGCCTCAACCTGGTCGCGCATCAGACGGTCAGCGGCGTGCCTGCCGTTCGGACCATCCTCTGGCTCAGCCTTCAGGCCTGCATACATGGTGCTCCACTCTTCTAGGGCATCACCAGAGCCGTCGTTCTGCGCAGAGTAGAGCCCACTCTGGCGCTGAGCGATGTGCGGAGGACGTTGGCCCTGTTGGCCCTGGCCAGGCATTTGCTGACCAGCCATTTGCATGCGGTGTTGCTGTTGCTGATGCTGTTGCTGACCAGGCTGGGGCATGTTGACGCCATGCTGGCCGTGCTGGCCCATGGCTAGGTTGCTACCCTGGACCCCGAATCTCTGCTCTATGAGCTGGTCCCTCCGCTGCTGGGCAGTGAGCTGAGGATTCGGATAGCCCCCGGATCCCGCAAAGCCATTGGGCTGCTGCTGGAAGGTCGCAGAGACTGGGCTGTCGTATCCTGACTCGGTCTTGATGCGTGTGCCACCGTAGCCGGTCTGCACTGGCTGGGTCGGCATGGACGGGATCTGCGGCGAGTCCAACGGCTCCTGCTTCGGTGCATTGGAGGGCACAGTTGGCGTGTTGCGGTCCTGCACGACGGCGGCGGGGCTCCACGGGAACTGCGCGATGTTGAGATTCGTGAGCTTGGTCTGCCAGACCTATGAAATACCGTTAGCATCTATTGCTGCATGAGTGAATGAACGAAGCATGCTGAGACGAGAGCAGGGGGGAAGGTCATGTGATGGCTAGGCCGAAGGGAGACTGGCGCAGAATACGTGGCGGGGGCCTGGTGAGCAGGGCTATAAAAAGGCTCCCCAAATACAACGGCTGCCCCGAGACCGACGCTCTGCGCTGCGACCGGCCCGCCCCGCTTTTGCCGCCTCACCATCCGGGCTGCCATGGAGCACTGCGACGACGAACGACGCCGTACATGACCCGGACGCGATGCGAAAATGAAAAGGGACTCAGGAAATCGATGGAGAAAGCCGCGCCGGGGCAGCGAGTGACAGAACAAAGGGTGCAAAGCGACGCGCAAGGGGCAGATTGTTACGCACATCTCTCATCTCGGTCAGCGTCGCCTGGTCGACTCCAAACTCCTCGAAGTCATTCTGCGAAGCCTGGATGACCTTCTCGATGATCTGCTGGTAGATGGTGCCCTGTTGCGCGCTGTCAGTCAGGCTGCGCGTTCCATAGCCGCCGCTGCCGGACAAGCAGCTGGGAGACAGAGGGCACTAACCACGACAACGTTAGACATGGCGCCGGTTCACGGATAGAGATATCGGACGAAGAGGACGTGGAAGGAGCGTGGCTGCAAGCATGCAGGTGTCTGCGGCTTGGTGTCGTTGACGTTCACTCTTGGAGTTGGGTTGGCAATGTGGGAGACGACGTCAGCGCGAGAGGCTGCCGCGCGACGATAGCCCTGCGTGAGGCACTCTAGCTGTCCAGCGTCACGGACTATACGGCCTGCGGAAGCGTTTTCTTGTATTTGTAGGACGGTCCGAAGCGCTGGCTTGGGGGTTGTCTTGGTCCAGCAGGTGGTGGCAACGGTGAGGAAGCAGGGCCGCCGCCTGAGTCTGAAGACATGCCTCTCGCTTATTCTAGCCACCACGCTAGTGCCTAGCGTGCCTTGTCTCCAGAACTTGTCAAACTGCTTTATACATGAGAGCGCGCTGAGGTGTCTTTTATATCGTAAAGGAACTTCATGTCACTGTGGACTCTCCCGAAGCAGAGCTGCTTGGCAAAGTTGTGGCGCCACAGTGTCACAGTCCCCAGCTGTCCAATGCAAACCCAGGAACTTTCGGATCTAAAGAGGACTGTGTAACTTCACCACACCTCATTATTCTACAGTACTAACACATTACTGTCTAAGACGGTTTGAACGCTGTTCGAAAGACTTCAAAGCGTTCCTAGATATCTAAGCAATATAATCGTCTCTTTCTATAAGAAGACTGATACCTTGCCAATCATTTGAAGTAAAGTCTACAGACTATACGTGCGATTATCAGTCTTTATATTGATCAAAGCATTGAACCACCACAAGCAGTGGCAAAAAGGTGTAAGCCGACTTTTGTCACGGCACTGTGGATATAATTTGCACCGGTCGTCATTATCAGGAGTATCGCCATCGTAAGCACGATTTGAATAACACGAAGGTATCTTGCTGGTTCCTTGCAGAAACCCCAGGCACTGATTTTGCCCAAAACTATCACACAGAGAGACACCGAACACGTCGCAGATACCCTAGGTTGAGACGAGTATACCATCCCACCGTGTAAAGACTGATGTAACTCCGAAGACTATTGGTCGTAAAACAAGCCCGCTAACACCACGCTGAAACCTACAAGTCCATTATTTTTCACACGACCAGAGACTTTCGAAATCTAGAAAGCCTGGATAAGCGCTGACTTGAACGCCATGTCGACATCCTTGCGTCGGTAACCGGGCGAACGGCCAAGACAGACTGCCCTCTTAACGACCTCTGTTCGCAAAGTCAGCAACAGGCGTAAGATAGAAGAGAGCAGAGCCGGCATACCCTCAATGAGTTTAGAAACATCGACGAGGACTGCCTTCTTCACTTTCCGCTTCACGGGCTCCACCCCCATCATGTCCAAGCCCAAGGTCATGCTAGTGTCGTCCATGTCGAAGCCGCCACCAAGATCAAGGCCCAACGGCTCGAACATACCACTCGTGTCCAACTCTGAAATCCTGCCAAAATTGGAGAAGTCTCCAACCCCCATATCGAGACCATACGGGGTATCAGTCTGAGCAAGCAGTTGATCCAAGGTCGACATCCCAGGCGTCCGCGGTGGGGAATGGTCGGTAGTACTGTCTCCACTCGAACTGCTGTGAGCCTGGCTTTCAACATCAAACGACCTCGAATGGAAACTGTCCACTGCAGGCTCCATGCTGAGCGGAATGTCCGTGCCATATATCATAGCCGGCATGTCAGGGTGGAGGGCCTCCTCGACATCAACGTATGCTTCGGCGAACGATGCTTGCGGATCTATACGCACGCCCATCTCTTCAAGGTAGCCCTCTACGTCGTGCGCATCGAACCACTCGCCTTCGAAGCCACGAAGATCGACGTCGACTACTTGGTTGACAGAGCTGTCTACGGAACTCTCCAGGATGAGTTTCTTCAGGGGGCCAATGCTCCGTACATTCCACGAGTTTGGTGGGGGTTCAACACTGCCATTTGCATCTCTACGTGGGTAGTGGGTCCCGGCTCCGCCCAGGTGAATGAAAGGCGTCTGCCAGCAATCCAGGGTGTCTGAGTTGGATTTAGTGAGAATGGCGCGGAACCGGGCAAGCATTTGATCGCGTGACATATATGGCAACGACAGCTTGAATACGTGATTCACTGCCGCAGGGTGTAGAGACGCTGTGCTCAAGAGATGGAAGCCCCGCTCGACTGTAGCCCGTATCAACCGCCGGGCGAAGGTTGTCTCTTGGAAACTATATGTGTACGGTGCTCGCAGACTCAGTGTCTTGGTGAGATTTGGCCCATCTGGCGATGCGAACCGTGTGGGTAACGGCGCCTTCTCTGAGATAGGTGGAAAGATATTAGAGGGAGTAGGTACCCTGGCGAGGAACGCTTGTGGTTGAATGGAATTTGGAGAGACGTTTTGCATGAGTGCGTTGATCAGTGAGAATGAATGATTGTCCGAGCTTCCATTATTGACGGGGGTCGAATAGTTGCCCATCCGGGAAGTCACGAAACGGCTGTTTTCTTTGCTCATTTCGTATGGAGAATTGATCGCGGCTGGGATGAAGGTGCTCGCAGAGAGAGAATTGCTATGATCTGGCTCTGGTGACGAGGAATCCGTGGGCTGAGCAACGTATCCCCACCCAATTTCCGTATGCTCTGGGACAGGAGGCGCAGTCGGTCTGTTTATGGAGGAGCTCGCACGAGCGGCTCTCGCGATTTCAGTCGCTTTGTGTAGCTCTGCGGCCGGATCAAATTCGAGTTCTCCAGTCTCCTCGTCGTAGTTGCCTCCGTCAGCAGCAGCAGCCCGTGCAATCTTGACAAAGGTCTCCATAGTCGACTTTAGGTCCCTTCCTAATTCTGGTCGGAGGGTGAGGACACCGGAGCTGATAGCAGAGTCGTTGAATTGGACGAATGATCGGTTCATTTCTTCAACCGCATTCTGGAGTTCAGTGACCTGACTCTTTAGAGACGAGATCGTTGTCTCTTTTCTTTGACGGTATGCTCGCTGTGCTAGTCGGATTTGTGTACGACGACGCTGGGGGCAGTCAGCTTCTGGTCAGCAAAATGTTGAAGTGTTCGAGACAAGGTCATGCATCCAGCGGCGGAGACCTATGAGCAGAGGACTCTTCATTTGCAAGCCTTAGATATCAGGACTTGGCACTTCAGATAAATGCCACGGTGAACCTTGTTGTTGAGGGTGTCCAGTAGATCTGAAAGAAGAACATGCAGTGACTGTAAGATGATATTACTTACGTCCGCAGCCGTTTCGTCCTGAGTATCCACCCGCGGCCGACCGCGAGATTTCTTCGCAGCGGCATCTTCACTACCAGGGCTCGTCCGCGAACGCTTTCTTGTTGTCGCAGACCGCTCTTCGCTTTCAGAGGAGGTCATCTTCCGTTGAAGGATCTCGTGACTGAATATGAAGTTGAGTAATGGAGAAGCCCCAGCGAGATCTCAGCAGTGCACAAAAGCGTTTCAAAGGACGATAGTGTCAAGAGGCAAGGATATGTGGGGGATGCGAGGGTCTTGATGCGTAGGGCGTGCGGTGCGGTCTGGTCTGGTGGCTCGCGGGTGTCAAATGTAAGAACGCGATGCGTCCCCGCGTCGCCCGACAAATTGGAATTTGATCCCTGAAAAGCCCAGCTTGGTAATCTGGCCGCACAAGCAGGACTGAGTCACCAGGCCAAGCTTGTGTATGAATTCCTAAAGCAGGCCGTAGTCTTTGTGTTCAACAATGCCTCTCTGCCCCTAGCATGGCTGTTAGCACCGGAAGCTTGAACCTTGAGCAGTCCGGGTCAAAACATACTCGTAGATGGTCGTACTTGTCCAGTCATGCAGGAAGTCGAAGCTGGAGAGCGTGCAGTCAGCGACAGTCCAGCAGGCGAGGACAGAAGGGCGGGAGGTCGTGAGGTTTTGTGATTACTGAACTCTCGGCTCATGCGTCCGTGCGCCAGGATGGACGCTTTGTGCCGACCCCCGCCTGCCCGCCTGGCTTCTGGTTGGCTGTGCGGGTCGCCTGCTTCGGGTTAGGGGGCCTTTGGTGAGGCACTTGCCGCTGCCGCATTCTCGTGCGGAGTGACGTTGGGTGAGCTGACTTGTCTTCCAGGAAAAGCGACTGCTGACGCGCATTCTGTTGGGGATGTGATGGGCTTCTATATGGCTAGGCTTGCGGCAACTTGTCCCTCCACTCCACCGTCTTCTCCGCATTAATGGTGCCGCAATGCGGCAATAGGCATTCACAGGCCCCTTCGCACCAGCCTTCGAAGAGATAATAGCTGGTGGCGCACGCGGACTGAGAGCTGATAGGGCCCCTGAATGAAGGCGCAAACATCTACTCGAGCGCCATCGATGCTGATATTCTTGTCACAACGTTAGCAGGGCGTACAATAAACGCGTACAATAGACCCTATGCGGCGTGGCAGGTAGATAACGTAGCTAGATATTTGCTATCGTCTCTAATGAATGATGTATGCATGTATTCTACAGCTTAATTGAGATGCTTCGATAATCCAACAGTAGAGCCAGTCCACAGACACCAGATATGTAGGCCACCAGTATGCCCATAGACGCAAGCTGCTCTACGTGTAGAGTTGGTACAGTCATGTTGACTAGCCCAGTTAGTAGGTTGGCGAACAAGAACAGAGCGAGCCCGTTCCGATTGAACGCAAAGAGGATCCGGCTCGTAGATTCTTTGCCTTTTTCGCTTTCCAGCGGGTCCTCCGCTTTTTGCAAGTTGGGGAAGCAAAGCGTCTCAACTGCACAGAAGAGGGCGAGCTGGCCGCAATTGAATGCCGTAACCCAGAGAAAATATGGGAGATTCGCTAAGCGGCGGGATACGGCTAGGCCCATGCCGTAAAAGCTGGTTGAGAAGACGAATAGAGATGTCCAAAGAAATGTCCAAGCCAAAAGACGGGCCAATGTGGACCTGTTCAGAATATCTCGCTTCGAGGCTCCCTTATCGACAGGTTGTTGGCGTGGAAGAACATACATTCCAGCGGCCTGTCCGGCAAGAAATATGGAAAGGTACCCAAAGAAAGAGAATATTCCCTCCCTATTTTTTGACAGCAGGTCAGTGCGCGGAGCTGTCAAAATGAAGGCTTTCAACGTAGTGAGATCGAGAGTTGCTTCGTAAGCAAATCCTAATATGCATGAGAGAAGTGCGTACGACGGAATGAGTCTGAACAGCGAGTGGAAAATAGCGACAAAGGGAGGGAGGAACCCGAGAGTAAAGAAGAAGTTCCAGTGCACCCCGTACTCTGTAACATGTTCGGCATAGTCCAGTCCTTTGACGCTGTAGAGGCGAATGAAGCCTAGCACCAGAAGTGGTAATGAATGCCTGAGAGAGGCTACCAGTCTCCTTGGCAGAGGTGTTGACCTCCGGTTCATCTGATCCCTCAAAATCGAGCGAGCTGACACAACCCCCGAGGAAAACACGAAGGAGCCGACTCCCATGTCCATCAGCGATGTACCCCAGTTCTCCACTTTGGCGAAGCGCCGCGGGAAGATGCGAAAGTCGACCGCAAGTATAGCAATGCAGGTGACGACTAGCATGCTGCCTCGGTAGTTCGTAACGAATGGCTTGATAGGAAAAGGTTCTGGGGTCGGTTTCGAATGTTCATGCTGCCTCAATGGCCGCGGTTTAGCATGCTTAGTTGTAGGCCCAGATAGGAGATATATTGAGGCAGCAGGGAGGATAACGAGGAGGTTCAGCAGCAAGGGGGCCGAAGAATATATGGTTGTTGCAAAGAGGATAGCTGCACAGTTCAGGAGGAAGTCGATCAGGATTGCCGGTGCATTGTAAGGAGTGAATAGGCGTAACCGCGACTGGAGGACTGACCACAGCAAAACGGTAGACTAATGGGGATATGGTCAGCCAGGTTGACAGATTTTGGGAGACAAGCTTTACTGGAGCAACGAGGGTGACATAGTTGATTTCCCCCACGGAACCTCCGGTCAGATTAGACACGAAGGCCTCCTTCGCGGCCTTGTAATTGTTTGCCATCGCACTCAAAAACCCTAACGAGTGCAGCTCTTGCTCCAGCGATTCTTGAAGACCGACATACGTTGCTCAAGTGCCCAGGTGTTGAGGGAGACCGGAGCGGAAAATCTACGACTAAATATAAACGCCGAGGCGCGGGCTGGCGCGATCCAGACACGTCGACTACAACAAACTTTGATCGGGCACAAAGGGATAATTGTGCATACTTTGCAGCAAATGTCGCGTCTTCTTCCAGGACCTCCAAACTAAGATGGCTTTCGACGGCATAATCTCCCTGATAATATGGCAATTCATCATTCCCCGCGTACGTGAGCTGCCCTGGAGTACTCTGCCCCTAGCTAACGTCTTGTCTGTAGTTCGTCGTAGGATTTGTACAGAGCACGCTGTACTCCATCTTCATTCGTGCAGGAGACCCCAAACCTGCCTTTGGCTCCCATAAGTTCGTCAAGCATCGCAAATTGATCCTCATGACCCTCTATACGGCCTACTTCTTGTTCAGCATCTACGAGATCACCCATGATATTCAGTCAGCTGGCAACCTCTACAGGGACCTAGGAGTGCCTTTGGATGTGGACGACCGCAAGCTGCAGTCTCGGTTCCGAAGACTGTATGGCAAATCTCAATTTGCAAATTACACAAGTACTGACTGCCGCACAGGACTATTCAGTACCATCCGGACAAGATCAATTCCTCCGCAGATCGCGACGCTGGGAACGCATACTATGTGCATCTTCTAGAGGCACGCGACACCATCATTGATGGTGTAAAGCGCTTCGCATATGACCGGTTTGGCCCGAGTGTTTTGCAATGCGGCAAGAAATGCCTCACTACTCGCGACTATGTGGAACACTCGCTTCAAGGCACATTGTTTCAGTACGTAGTGTTCATAGTAGGCTTAGCTGGGGCCAACGCCCTGGGGTATTTCAATGAAGGGGCATATGTAAGCTATCCTTTGGCCAAGTTTGAGCAGGTCGACTAACGCGGTCCCCCGAATACTAGTGGCGATATCTTGCCTTATTTACGCTCATGACCATGGAAACCCGCATAGCCCTTCGTCCAGATCACCCCCCGGCACTAGTCAACATCTTCAACCCTCTACTCACGATTTTCAGCCAGCATAATCCATACCTCCCGTTTCAAATCATTACGCTGTTGCGGAAAGGCACTTATACGCTGGCAATCTTCCTTCAATTACTGATACCTCTGTACCGGGTACAGCCTCAGCAAGCGGACGTCGAAGGGGAGGAAGAAGCCATACATAAGCAGCTAGATAGACTTGCCCAGCTGGCCAAGGATGCGCAGGTGGACGCGTCGAGGCTACTAGAGCTGGAAATCATTCCCTTCAAGGCTGACGAGCGGCTCAAAGGTGATGTACGGAACGCGCTCAAGGGATATTTGGTGAACAACATGATCCATGGTAAACCGGAAGTGCGGAACGCTATGGGGATGTCTTTGGCGAAACGGCGTGCTGGGGCTCCTGCTGGGGCACGGGGAACTAAATGATTTAAGATACCCAGACCACTTTAGAAGTACCTTCCATTCAGACAATGCTCAAGATATGCAACAGAAGTCGCATCCCATTTGATGGAGTGAAATAAAGTGAAAGTCGGCTCCAGACTTTTTATTGGCTAGCGCCCACGAGGCCCGTGCGACAAATCGCGAACTTCTGGGACGGATCGTTAAGCTCGACGCATCTCCCTTCATGCTCCACCAAGCGCCCCCAGAACTAGCTGCTGCACGATGAGGCTCCGTCTCTCGGTACAGCGGAACACGCTGCCTCCAACGGATGTTCTTTGGACGGTCTCAGACGACCAGGTCTCCCAGAAGGCTTTCACTATTGCACGACTGCTCGACGACGTCAATCGGATTGTCCCACTGGAGTCAGACACCTGGGGTTTGGAGGACTATGTGGTCACGGTTGGTGGATACGAATGTCTTCACTTTGCGCAAGTAGGCCATGTGTTGAAGGACGAAGACAGGGTCTGGTCAGTTCAGCTACTTCTGTACCAAGAGGTGATTCGCATTGCTAACAGCTACCAGCGTGAGATCGCTACAGACTCCCGAAGTCAGGGCACGCACATTGGCCGGCCGGTGCCAGATCTCAGAAGGTGGGCAGCATCTCGTCGACGGCATTCCCTTCGGCCGGCCTCATCTGAGGGATCCGAATCGCCCACCAGTCCGCATACCACCACGTAAACGACGCAGGATTACCGAAGAAGTGGAGGTTGCCGTGTATGGAGAGTTAGTCGATAATGAGGAAGCACAACCAAACGGCATGATACCCCAACACTGGAAGCTTGCGTTGAATGCCCCCGAGGACAACGAGGATGATGAGGACGGGAATTATACTTCAGGCCTAGCTGCTGGAAAGCCGAAGAGTACAGTACCGGCAAAACGACAGAAGAGTGTGCGCTTTGATTCTCTGCCTATCTCACAGGAGCTGGTCACGCTTCCCTTTGAGGATGAAGACGATTCAGAGGACTACAACCCGGATCAAGACATGGATACATCGGAGACGTCAGAGGAGGACTCGGACAACAGTGACTCTAGCGCGAGCGAAAGCGACTCCGATGATTCATCTTCTGCTTCATCGTCGTCGTCGTCCGACTCGGAGTCTTCGTCTTCTGATGACGAGGAAAGTAATAATTCTCTCCCCGATGAGCTGCCATCCAAACTACCGCCGAATAAACTTTTCAAGGACGACATCACGAGCACGGCAGACGAGTCTGTCAAAGCTCAACAGAACACACCACCCGGCACGGGAAAGGCCCAGACACGGGAAAGAAATAAGAGGAGACGTGAAAGCAAAAAGACCTATCTCTTAAAGCACTATGGCCTCCTGGCTCAAGATGCGACAAGGGATGACTTCAAAAAGCTCAGGGAGACAATGACGGAGGAAGAGTTAAATGAGAAAGCACTCTCTGCAAAGCTTGCTAATCCTACGTTGGCGGCGATGCCTGTTCATACTTCAATTTACGACAAAGATAAGAAGCTTCAAGCTCAATCAAACATCAATTCTACGAAACCCAACGACAGGGACAAGAAAACCATCGAGCTACGTGCCCGGAACTTGCTTAACGCTATCGAAAACGGTGGTATAGATGTCACGCCCGAACACCCGGCGAAACGTCGCAATTCCAAGAAGGGTACACTGCCCAAGCCTACTGGAGACGATAGCGGGGATCTTCATGCAATTTCTAGTCACGACAAAGCCTTTACTAGTATTGGGGATAGCGCTTCTAAGGAAACGAGCAGTGGCCAGCAAACGGCCACGGAAAACGAAACTCCAGAGCAACCGGCCGCTAAACGGGCGCGACTGGATCTCGCCGGATCTCGACGCTTGCTTTTCGGATCTCTTGGTGTTCGAACGCCTAAGTCGAAGGAGGACGAAGAAAAGCTACGGATTCGTCTGGCAGCCAAAGCGAAATCTCCTGGGAAAGCTAAAACGACCGTCGAACCCGAGAAGGATGAAGAGCTGAGCGACCTAGAAGATTCCGATGCTTGGAAAGAGAAGATCAATTTGACCGCTTTCGAGTGCTGGTACGAAGACGTCGAACTAAGCACCCCGCCTTTCCCATTTGTTCAGCGGTGGGACCCCCAGCAGAAGCTCAAGAATGATCGCAAGGCCTCAAAGGGAAAGAAGCGAAAGAGGGCGAATGCTCAGTACTATGACGTCGGAGAGAAGATGTACGGGGAATTCCGCCAGGAAGGTGACCAGGGCGAGGGATCAAGCAACGTGCAGCTGAACTACGATGACGAAGAAGACCAGAACATCGCTGGTGAAGGAGATGATGAGGCGATTGCCCTCGAGACTCAACTGCAGCAGGATATGGAAGGCGCTGCCAGTCGTGACGACTTACCGACCCCTCCTGCCGACCTATCTACACTAGCCGACTTGACCTATGAAGATGTTAAGAAGGGCACCATCATTGTCTTCAAGGAACTTGTTGTCAGTCTTGAAACAGGATGGAAACCAACCATACTTCCCCACCGCACTGCGATCGTCGTCGATATTGAACCCGACCAACGAAGGATCTTCTTGGCGTTAGCGCAGCGAGATCAGTCCAAGAGGACTATCAATTATGATGCCAACGGCAATCGCATATACGAGCAGTTCGAAATGGCGCACTCGGATAGTGAAGGCGACAGCGAGGAAGATGGTTGGCTCTCTCTTACGTTTGAGGAGCTTTTGGAGGCGAAGCTCTTGCAACAACCCTCCGGGGAGGCCAATGATTCAGAAGCCGGATTGAATGAAGAGAAGGCCAGCGACGACGTGAATATAGAGGACACGCATATTCCCCCAACCTCTTCGCCAGAACCCCACTTGTCACTTGGCCAGCATTAACACATGCTTCTCGAGAGCAGTGGTAGCCCTAGCGTTGCCGTGAGTAGGGATCAGGACGGATCGACATAGGGCGAATCATCCCAGATCATCCTAGTAAATGCATGCATTAATACGTCTGTCAATATTTTCTTCTTGCCGGTAAGAGTGCCTTACAGCACTTTCCAGACTCTGAACGGAAATAAAGTTCATCACACTTTTGAACATTTGTAAACTAGCCAAGTCACTTCAAGTCGGTATTTTCAACCGCTCAAGTGGAAAGATAAATACAGAATCATGAAAATATTGAAGCACCTCGAGCAGTGACAGAAGGGCTAATATAACGCGGACAAGGTACAGTATTACAATATAGTCCGGTCCATAATGGCAGTATTGCTCGGCACTTGCTTCCACAAGATCGCAAGAAGAGAATTCCGCAAGCTGTATAAAGTTTTCCGGCTGGCTGTTGCCGTACGGCATCGCTTTCCAGGGACTAAACAAGTAACAGACCAGCTAGAAGCCTGGCCTGTGAGTGGCCACGGCGGGCTAATGACGGCAATTGAAGCAGCACAACAACTGCCGAGCGGTGGGAGGTGGGAGGGGTCTCGACGACGTCCCACAAGGCGCCGGTCCTACGACTCTCATGATCGTGCCGTACACAAATTTTGTTAGAAGCACTCGGCCCCCAAATGGGGAGGGGTTTAGGTATAAGAAACGATGCTCTCCCCCAAATCGAGGCGAGCTTGCCAGGCCACGTTCAACCGTGTCAACCCCATTTTCACTTCGCACGTGATATCGTTATATCACTATATCTCTCTTCACATCGTTGACATTTGAATAGTCGGCACGGACGACATGGTTCTCCCCACCGGCGTGTACCGAGCAGACCATGTAGGATCCTTCCTGCGGCCAGCCGCCCTGCTCTCCGTCCGCGAGAAGGTCGCCACCAAGCAACTCCCCTCGTCAGACCTCCACGCCCTCGAAGACCGCTGCATCGCCGACGTCGTGAAGAAGCAGCTCGCCGCGGGCCTGCGCTCCATCACCGACGGCGAGTTCCGCCGCGCCTACTTCCACCTCGACTTCCTGCAGCACTTTTCGGGTGTCTCGATCCAGGGGCAGACGGGCACCATCCGCCCGCACGGCTTCTCGCCCCCCGTGTTGGCCGTGACAGGCAAGCTAGGCCACCCCGCGCCCATCCAGGTCGCCGACTTCAAGTTCCTCGAGAAGCACATCGGCTCCGCGGCGGCGTCGACCAAGGTCTGCATCCCCTCGCCGACCATGGTGCACTTCCGCGGCGGGCGCGCGAGCATCGACATCGCCGCGTACCCGGACCTGGACCCGTTCTTCGTGGACCTCGCGAAAGTGTACCAGGACGAGCTGGCGGCGCTGTATACGGCGGGCTGCCGCTTCGTGCAGCTCGACGACACCAACCTGGCGTACCTGTGCGATCCGGAGATGCGCAAGGCGGCTGTGGAGCGCAATGAGGATTTGGACGCGCTCCCGCGGCGCTATGCGGAGCTCATTAATGCGGCGATTGGGGCGCGGCCGAAGGATATGAAGATTGGGATCCATTTGTGCCGTGGGAACTATCGGTCGAAGTGGTTTGCTTCGGGTGGGTATGAGCCGGTGGCAGAGGTGCTGTTTAAGGAGCTGAATGTGGATGCGTACTTCCTCGAGTACGACGATGCGCGAAGCGGGGACTTTGAGCCGCTAAGGCATCTGCCGGAGCACAAGGTGGTCGTGCTGGGGCTGATGAGCAGTAAGAAGAACACTCTGGATGATAAGGCGGAGATTATAGAGCGACTGGGACAAGCAGCAGCGAAGTGTAAAGGGGGTTTGGACCAGTTGTGCCTGAGCCACCAGTGTGGGTTTAGCTCGACGGCGGAGGGGAACGAGTTAACGGAGGAGGAGCAGTGGGCGAAGGTGAGGTTGGAGGTTGAGATTGCGAAGGAGGTGTGGGGAGACGATATATCGAAGTGAGGAGAGCGTTAGCGTTCGAATCGTGGCAATTTCGGCACAAAAATGAAGCACCTGCAAGCGATAGCATAGAGGCATATTAGGATAGTTTACGAATCCGGAATATGACCAATTAGGAGATATAGCTCGGGGACATCAGACTCCGAACCAGCCTACATCCTTTTCCTGCTACAACGGCACACCATTGGTGATCTCGCCATAAGGAACTGGCTCATAATCTCCAAAGCAAGCGTATGTGAAGTTCACTAGCTCAATCTGCGCTCTCTGTACCTTCAAGAATGTCTCCATCTCGCACCATCCATCGTCACGCTGCCCACATTCTTGTAAACTGAGCCCCAGCGGGACTGTTCGCTGATTGAGAACGAAGTGCACATAGCTCGTAGGAGGCCCCGGAAGGTACACCTCCTTAGCCGAACGATCAGCGTTGACAGGCTGCGGCGTCTTGATGATCTCGATGTCTAATCTCGCAGCGAATGGTGTGACATGGCTCACAATCAGCTCCCGCTCGACGATGTGGGTCGACGGTAATGTCTTGTTGAACTGGGTCAAGCCGAATGCGGTCATGATGCCTAAGATATTCGTGTCGTGGGAGAAATCAAAGTTCAAAGCCTGGTCTACCGGGAACGTGACAGTGTTGTTGTCCAGAGTGACGTTCATGTTGTCCGTCGGGGAGGTTATGGTATGGTGCGTCATGCGGGCCAACACTTCTTGGACGTATCCTTAAGCGGAGAGTCAGTGAGTCCTGACACCAGGATTATACGCGAAGATAGGATAAGGAGCGTACCTATTTCGTTAGCCCTGCCAGTAGGCGACTGGAAGCCGTACCCGCCTGAGAACTTGATATCAATGCTGTATTCAAAGCCTTGCCATTCCTCGAGGGTGAAGAGACTGCACCACCGAGAGTAGCCTAAGGCGACGGTCTCAAACGCGCAAAGCTGCTGCGCCGCGTCTGGGTTCATGTGAGATTATGTCGAGAATTTGCCAAGGTAGTTATGCCCTTACATGTATCCTTGACTGACCAGGCTAGGCCTCCACTCACCATCCCCTGGAAACGCTTCGTAGCATCCTCAAGGTACGTAGCGATCCACGCTTGTGATGCTATAAAGAGTCAGCATATGCAGCACACATCACTCATCGATGGCTTAGTTCGTACCGTTGTAGCCACCCCGCGATACTCCTAAGTCTACGTTCGGGCAGTCATAGTCGCCCATCAGGGTGTTGTTGTAGCCGGGTTCCTCGATGATGACTTCCAATCTTGCTTTGCTTGGCCAAGCCAGTCCAAAGAAGCCAGCCAAAAAGTATTCGGCGGACTCGAGCATGCGCTTTTCAGTCGTGGTCCGGGCTACTATCTTGCGTCCATTGTTTGGATATATATGTCCGTATTGGTAGTAGTGCAGTGTCCCGGAGTTGAATAGTTCTTGCTTTCCAATCGGGACAAGTGTTTCCTCCCCCATGCCATACTTCCATGAGTTCAAAAACGACAGAGGACCGGTTGCTTTGAACTTCCTAGCAGCGCTGTTTATCTTTAGCCCCAATTTTTCTGCATCACTACCAGCTGCCGGGTAGCGGCTCCCGTGCCGGGAAACCATGTTGACCCAAGAGACGCTGCTGCCAGCCGGGAGAGAATATTCATTGACGCCGAATCCTCGCGAGTTTGGAAAATACGGGCTCAGATTTGCTAAGAGCTCAAAAATGTTCTTGCCATGTTTGTTGCCACGGATTGGGATCTGAGTTTCAAGAGGAGCATTTGGTATGTACGACACGCCAGGGAAGGGCGCCGCATTCGTCTGTGCAAGCCAAGGAGAGTCTCCGGTTGCAGTAGGACCTTTGCGGTCAGCAAAAGCACTCTCAAGTAGCGTCGCCTCCGTTCCACTTACCAGCAAACCATCCAAGGGTAGTGTCGAAGTAATCAGGAACCTCGGAGGATTCACTGATTGCCGGTGAAGCTTTGCGGACGTCAATGACTGCAGTTCTTGCAAGACACGTCATCGAAAGGGCTACGAAGGCTAGTCCGAGCAGCATGGTGAGCGAATACATGACGTTGAACGTGCCTGGGATCGACTTGCGTTTCTCGAAGCTCGTCCGAGCCTGTTGTTAATACTTAGAGTCAGGTTCAAGGCCCACAGGATCGTACATAGTGAGTGAAGTGATAGGGATCTAGAAGCAAAATTGAGAGTGCATTTAAGAGGGTGAGGAACAAACACGGAAGTTGAGGACGCAACGTGCCTTCTACATCGCGATTGGCAAGGAATCCCAGTAGAAATAGATGCCCAAGAAGTAAAGCTGAAGAATGGAATACGCGACGGCTAGTTAGATGGGGCTGAACGGGTCAGAAGCATCTCAGATGGAAGCTTCAAGCTCGAGGAATACAGAGGCCGCGTCATACTCACAGTTCTTGTAGGACAAGCAATTTCTTACGCCTGTTTGGGGTGCTTCAATGTACTATTGGGAACCTGGAGTAACCGGCTACAGGTCTGATGTGTGTGCACCTATCTACTACCGTCTGAGGAGCCCTAGGGAGGTTTCAGGCTGGTCAAAACTGAAGACCTGAATACTCCCTCACATTGCTGAAAAGTCTGTCAACACTTCACGCCGCATCAGAGCAGGGTCAACAAATTGATGTCCTAGTACTGTACGTAATTTTGGGTAGTTCGAACACCACACACGAGCCTGCTTTGGTGAGGGCCTGCGACCTTTTCTAGCTCAGCTCGTGGACCCCACCCCTATTTCAACGATATGGGGGAAACAATTCTCCAGAACTTTATCAATTATTCTCTCGGACGAGACGCATCCGACCCTGGTTTCCTTTCTGTAGTACGAGTTGTGCTTGTTGAGTTATATGCAAAAACGTGGTCATGGCCCCGAATCGTCGAAAAATTCAGTTGCTCTGGACTCAACACGCAAAAATCGTCTTGGCCGCCAAGACTTGCCAAATTGGTCGCCATAGGAGACAGAAGCAGGTGCGAGAGACACGTGCGAGTGACGACATGAACATCGTCCGCTCCGTCCACAACAAACACCTACGTCGATCACCGACTGGTGCGGCTGTCCAAGCAGCTCACCAACAGGGAGCTCGCTACCAGAGAGCTCATATCACCATTCAGTGAGGTAAAAGGTATGTGTATCCAAGCGGTCAACCTGATACAGCGAGCTTTACTAAGCCAAGCAGACACATAAACGACGAGTATCCAGCCGCCGCCAATATGCGACACCGTGTGCAAAAGCATGCCAAAATGCGACACCTCGCCCAGGAGAAGCCCAAGAAGCGAGGCCGTGTCAAGAAACAGCCGAGGGATAAGGCGATCGTCTTCGAGAAGGAGTACGAGATGCAAAATCGAGCTCAAGAACGGGACGATATGCGAAGCCGTGTCAAGCAAGAGCTAAGGGATACAGCCATGGATCTTGAGGAGAAGTTTGAGATGCGAGACCCTGCTCAAGGAGCGACTGAGCTGCGAGGCCTTGTCGAGCAAGAGCCAAGGGACACGGCGAAGTCCTCCACCGCACCCAACCCACGAATCCAACAACTGAGGGAGATGCGACGGGAGCTTGTGAAGAAGATCGGTCGAAGCTATTGGGAGAGGCAATGTGCGGAGACTGCTGAAGCTCGCGGACAGATCTCGAGTGTTGAGAGAGAGAGGATTGTCGATGCCGCGATGGAAAAGGCCAAGGAATGGCTGAGCGAGATCCATGCTACGAGGGCGGAGTGGAATGCTCTGAAGGCCGAGAAGAAAGTTATAGGTTCAAGAAGAATGCTATGAGGGCCGAAAAGATGTAGGCGAGTCATAGAGGCGATATGATGTAGTTGGGCTTTGATACCGTCCCTACAGCATACCGTTGACGAAGATGGAACAACCTAGTATGCCTCATCATAGATCCGTCTAGAAACACTTTTCTGCCGCTGCTTGTGGCGCCTCATACTGGTTTCAGGATTTGGAGTCAGAGGCAAGGTCAGCATTTTGACCACCTCCGACAGTGTTAGAGGGGTGTACACAGATCAGAAATGTGAAATGTCGCCCTAGATTTATGCTTTACGAATGTGTTGACATTGAATGTATGCTCAAGTAGCTGCCTACCCGTTCCATGTTGCATCCAGGTTTAGCAACCCGAATGCAGCATTCACATTTCAAATAACCAGTACCTTTGCTATACCTTCATATATGAAAACGAATCTCTCAGCTAGAATGCCATACTAGGGTAGATATCGAGAAACTATAACAATGAAAGAAGGAAGAAAGGTACAGTACTAGGCCATAAGTCTAAGCACACGAACATACCACTTGAACGTCCCTCTTAGAAAATTAACACCACTGCCATGCCAGGTAGCCTGAACTCCACCGCATTCAACTTCAAGTCTTTCCTAGGAGTTTAGCGTATCGTGACACCCAGGCAGTGGCAAACGAGCGTGCACAGACTTATAGCCTGGCAAGTAGTATGTTAGGCAAATACACTATCTTTACCATGATTCAACGTCAGTACTCCCTCGGCTTAATTGCAAGACCTCAAGCCCTGCAGCCGCACCTGCGAGTATGACCTGCGCCCACTGCACAACGGCGTGCCCCACTCCGGCAACTCGCAACATGAGCCGTACTGAAGTTCATAGTCTTCTCCAACACCCTCCGACAGCGCACCCGTCAGCAGTATGATCATCCGAAAGCCAAATTCGTTGTATGCTGGACATCGGAAGGGTGAATCACCGAACGCTAGGAGACGCCTGGCCGGATCGTCGATTGTCATCCATCGGTCCGGGTTGAAAGTCTTCGCATCCGCGCCCCAGAGGGTTTCATCGCGCTGGCAAGCTTCAAGGTCTGCAGCTTCGACTTCTGGATAACCTGTAGCAGGGTCTTGGAAGTAGCGGTACACGCGGCGTGTTGGTGGGTATAGGCGGAGGGCCTCTCTGGCTATGTTGTTCGTAGAGAATTTGGAAACGTCAACGGAGCTGTCTTTTGGGTGGCTGAGACTTTCTTGAATGGCACGTCTCCAGGTCGTGCGACTTGCTCGTGGCCCGCGGTAGAGGACTTCGATAAAGCAGCGGAGTACGACTCGCCAAAGAGTTTCATAGGCCGGCAAGATAAAGTTCATGGGGTTTTCAGCTAGATTGAGAGGGTCTGTCGAAGGAAGTATGGATCTGAGCAGCATGTGGGTTCGCGTCTGAGTTCGCCATTTGGGAATCGTGCCGCACTTTGAGGCTAGCCAAATGTCGTTGATATCGCTCGCAAGCTCTTCCGCGACGGAAGCAGGGATTGCAATGGGATTGAGATCGAATAGAACCGCTAGCGTGATTCTAAGGGTCAATGACTGTACAAGAGGAACTAGCAAGATGCTTTTGTCCGTGAGGGCATCTTTGACCATGCTCCGGAGTCCATGGTGGAGTTTTATCCAGCCTGAATTCGAGAACGGCTGACGTAAGAGGCTCGTAGATTGGTTTCTGAACATATTTCTATTTTCGATGCTGGTCGTCGTGAAGGCGTTATCAACGCCGAAAGCAACCGTAAGCCTCTGATTCGGAAGAGCTCGAGACTGCAAAGCGTTGCGTAAGCCGTGGTTGTCTTGATTTGATGCCTTGGCTTGAAGAATGCGCAGACAGTTGACCTCGTCGGCGAATACTTTTGAGACACTGGGACAATTAGAACGTTCGTAATTGTTGGAACGAATGTATAGGTAAGTGGCGACGAGGAAGACCACTGTAACCGCAACGATTGCAGTCTTTGAGTCTGCCATGCCGACCAGGGTCGGGAAAAGAACCAATATCATTTTGAAGCGTGCACGAATCGAGTAGTCTGGTGACAAGAAGTTTGTGTAATTTGCAAAAGAAAGCTGTCCAGTTGATATGCTGAAGTTCTGAATGAGCAACAGCTTCCAAAGAGGGTTTTTGTATGGTGTGTTTAGGAGGACGGGATTCAGCACGACAATACTCGAATGGCCAAGACCCTGCCACATGGATCAAGCTTGAGACGCAACCAGACTGCAAGAAAGAGAAAGCAGCGGTGCATGGAATCATGTGGAAGAGGATATGAGGATTAATGTCCTTCGCTGATTGATTTGACTGGTTCGAACCACTTTAGTCCGCATTGCGCATGCACGAGCCCGCGAATAAGGCGCACCGGAAAGTGAAAACAGACATCTGCTAGGGATTGGAGGGTCGGGGGACGTGGGCGCTTTCGACTCATCTGGTAGATTCAGGGCCTCGAAACACTAGACCACGGGTAGCTACCGCATCGTGTGGGAGATGCTCCGTCTTTCGGGGGCAGACGACCACGAAAGATTTGGCCCACCGAGGCTCAGCTACGCTCATACGAGGTAAGGAGAAGAAGCCTTAACGAATTGATGAGGTTTACTGAACGCTTAAGCTTCGACGAACATCACTATTCTGGTATCCTTAGAAGTAGTGTGGGATGTCTTTGACACTCGACGTAGAGAGGAATGGAAGTCGGCTGATTGGTGGCCACGTCATATCTGTCTGCATGGCCATGCTGCAGATACCCGTGGGCAGCGCCTTGTGGCCTGGATTTAGGGTATGCTCCGCTTCTGAAGTTGTGCTTGGACTCAGAGAAGTCTGGTCTCAGTACTCTCGACTTTGGATCTGTAGGTAAATATGTGAGCAAGCGTTATCGAGGCCTGACATCGGAACTCCTCCCTCCGAAAACACGGACGCTACTCGACCTTTATTAGCTCGATCTGCGTCAAGAAGGCACGCTGGGCCGGGAAAAAGTGACACATTCATGGATCAAGCACTGTCTCGTATGTACACCTGTCTGCCACTGCTTGGAGTCCTTCAACAGGCTTCCATATAGGCCAGGGCGAAGAGCTTCTATCTTCTTTAAACTCCTGAAGATAACATTGAAGCCCCCTAAGCAGGGGCAGACAGGTGTACACACGAGACAGCTTGTTGTAGAATTAGAGTGCCACCTTTTCCATGCCTCACGTAGAAGGGAACGTAGGGTATTGCTAACTCACTGAAAGACGCTAGAGAGGCGAATATGTGATAGGTCAACTATGTTCCTTTTTGGATAATGCTTGCAACTGGTATGATCTGGTAGAATACGAAAGCGGTGTCAAATGGTCTGCTTCGCCCTATGCTTGACTCAGAGTTAATGACTTTATTGGTGAAAACGGGTCATTTCTTGTGCTTAGCCCTGGAACGGTGTCTCCATTTCCTATGACGCATTGAGCAACAATATAACCCTAACACTAAACTACAACCCATAGAAAAGTTTATGTTACAGCTATGCGTGCCAAATCCTCTTGATAGCCTCAGTGATTCCGACATCGTTTGTTTCGAAGCTGTACATGCTGATACCCAACAGAACGGTGCCGATCCGGAGCAGCCAGAAAGAGCCCTTTCGGATGAGCGGAATTCGCTTCTCTGGGAAGTAATCTATGATGTTGGATCTGTTTCCTTGTTAGCGGCCCATGCTTATCTTAAAGGTGGTGGGATCACTGACTGGAAGCCGATGTGCGAGTGGACGATGATGAGAGCGCATAGAGATGCATCCATGAGGGGATTGAGGGAGCCTGCCGCGAATGGTGCAATGGTCAGAGGAATCAGGCCTGCGGATATGAGTCTATGATACATGTTAGAGGCGTTACAATGCAGTGTATAGAGATGTCGTGCCTCTCGAAGGTCCAGTGGTAGCTGCCATGTGACGCGCTGGGTTCCGGAATTGGTGCTGGTTTGTTGACATCGCCGTCAACTACCTGAGGAAGTGGAGGGAGGATAGGCCGTCGACCAGAGGCGTGAAAGGCGGCGACTCTGGAAGCTCCTGGGGTCGCGAACGCAGATTGCATGGGCCGCCGGGTCAAAGGCGAGGGGTGCTTGAGGGACGAGCCGGCAAAGGTGGAGGCCATGCGCCGGGTTGGGGCAGCATTGCAGACTTGCCGGAGCAGCGCAGGACGGGCAATTGAAGCCATGGCGACTTTTTGGGGAGCGGTAGAGGGGAGAGTGGCCGGTGGATGGAGGAGACAAAGTGGTGGTGGAGGAGCAGTCTTGAAATGGATGACATACGGCCGAGGAAGAATCCGGAACAGCGCATTGGCTGGCGGCATGGCTGCGGGAGTGCGTAAAACATCATATGCTAGACTGCTCTAATAGCCTGAGATATTTCATTAATGACACCTTCAAAGCGGTCCTTTTTTGAGGTAAATATGCAGCCTTGAGCTACAAGCTCGAATCAAAACATCAATGCCTGATACAGGTAGCATTATAAGCTTCTCTTGGGCTTTGTAGGTTATATAAACAGGAATGCCAGAATGGAGCTTGGATATGCCAAGACGTGCCATTTTAGCAGTGCCCACCAGCCCGATTTGCGTGCATGGGCGACCTCACCTTCACGATTCTGCAATCCACCCCCATCACTCCCGCCATCCTCGCTACGATACCCACCCTCCTCTCCTCTCCGTCGCCATGGCTTCCAGGAGGCTCGCTTTCACCCTACAACAGAGCCTGCGCAACCGCCAGGCTCTGCGGTCCATCCAGCCGCTGACTAGAGGTCTGGCAACGCCTGTCACCTACGGCTCCAAAACCGAGTCGACGACCCTGAGCAACGGCTTCACGGTATGCTGTATGAAGCATTGATGTAGAGGCCATCGACTGACCCCTCTCGCAGATTGCTACCGAGCACTCCCCCTGGGCCCAGACTTCGACGGTTGGTGTATGGATTGATGCCGGAAGCCGCGCGGAGACAGACAAGACCAATGGCACTGCCCACTTCTTGGAACATCTTGCATTCAAGGTAGAATCTCTCTGAAAAGCTCCAGGGAGTTCGGACTGATGCAATTGGCGCACAGGGTACCCAGAAGCGCACCCAGCAGCAACTGGAGCTCGAGATTGAAAATATGGGTGGCCATCTTAACGCCTACACGTCGGTTCGTACAAGACGATATTCATTATCTATACATGGCCTAACAGCTTTCTAGCGCGAAAACACAGTATACTACGCCAAGTCCTTCAACTCCGACGTCCCGGCCACCGTCGACATCCTCTCCGATATCCTTCAACACTCCAAGCTCGAGCCACAAGCCATTGAACGTGAACGCGATGTGATTCTCCGAGAACAGGAAGAGGTGGACAAGCAGCTAGAAGAGGTTGTTTTCGACCACCTTCACGCCACCGCATTCCAGGGCCAGCCTCTGGGCCGAACAATTTTGGGGCCCAAGGAGAACATCCAGAGCATCCAGAGGGCCGATCTGGAGGGCTACATCAAGACCAACTACACCGCTGACCGCATGGTTCTCGTTGGCTCTGGTGGCGTTCCCCATGCTCAACTTGTTGAGCTTGCCGAGAAGCACTTCGCCGGACTACCATCAGAACCAACAGGGCAATCTTCCGTCATTGCCGCCGCACAGAAGGTCAAGCCGTCGTTCATCGGCTCTGAAGTGAGGATTAGGGACGACACCATGCCGACCGCGAACATTGCCATTGCTGTCGAGGGTGTGAGCTGGAAGGACGGCGACTACTTCACCGCATTGGTGACACAGGCAATTGTGGGCAACTGGGATCGTGCAATGGGTAGCTCGCCATACCTTGGGAGCAAGCTCAGCACATTCGTGCACGCCAATGGCCTCGCCAACAGCTTCATGAGCTTCTCCACGAGCTACAGCGACACTGGGTAAGTTTATGTTTGCTCTGGATCTATCGAATGTAGCTAATATGGTTATTCAGTCTATGGGGAATCTACCTCGTAACCGACAACGTCACCCGCATCGACGATCTTGTCCACTTCACGCTCCGCGAATGGTCCCGCCTCTCCGTTAGCGTCTCCGAAGCGGAAGTCGAGCGCGCCAAGGCCCAGCTCAAGGCATCGATACTGCTCTCCCTGGATGGCACCACCGCCGTCGCTGAAGACATAGGCCGCCAGATCATCACCACCGGCCGCCGCCTGAGCCCCGAGGAAGTCGAGCGCGTAGTCGGCGCCATCACGGCAAAGGACGTCATCGACTTTGCGAACCGGAAGCTGTGGGACCGTGACATTGCTATCAGTGCTGTCGGCCAGATCGAGGGCCTGCTGGATTACAACCGCGTCCGAAACGACATGAGCCGGATGGCGTCGTAAACGGACTGTAAAATGGTTGGTTGCTTGGGTTGTAAGGTTGCTAGAGGGGCCTCTGCGCGGATGTATTAGTGTACACTTAGCCGAAGAGATTTCATTGATGTACAGTGTCAATCCATCCTAGAATTGGTTTAACCTTGCTTTGAGTTGTGAGAAATCTGCAGGCCTCGAAGAAGTGTGCGTTCATAGGGTTTGATTACTATTTGCCTAATCTGTGCACATCTTGCGAGATACCTTCGGGCAGCTCTCATTGAGTAACGCCGACTTCTTGGTCCGGTGAGTCTACCGGTGTTCTCTTTACATCCAAGCTTGGAGTGTGCTGCATCTATGTCCTTGTCCCTGAATTATGGTGTCTCTGACGTGGGTGCTCGTACACCAATAGCAGACCCCTAATTATTCTACACCATGCTGTCTAACCAGTCGACCGGAGCTTTCGGTCTGTACATTCATGCTCCAGGGACTAGCAGCGGTTGGAGATGTGCGACTTTCCATCCTCTATTCGGGCGCTGCTCTCCATCACTTCCGGGAACCCCCCTTGGCCCGCGCGCCGTCTAATCCGCAGCCTCAAGCGCATTTACTCAAGCGTCCAGCGCGCCTCTTCAAGCCTCGTCGTCGTCACTATTCACATACGTGTCGTCCAGCTCGTCTTCCGGCTGCATGATCAGCTCGATGAGCCGCAGCGTCGAGCGCAGCGGCAGCCCGATGACGTTGTCGTGGGAGCCCTCGATGCGCTCGACGAGCACGGAGCCCGTGCCTTGCAGGCCGTAGCCGCCGGCTTTGTCGGCGCCTTCGCGCGTTTTGACGTAGGCGAGGATCAGTTCGTCGGAGACTGTGTGCGTGCTGTTAGTTTAATTCTAGGCTTCGCGGGGAAAGGTTGTAAGTGGGGGCATGGGGCAAGGGGGGCAAGGTTACCAGCAGCATCAAACTTGACAACCGTCTCCTCCACATGCGTCCGACACACATAGCCCGGATCAATTGCGTTCTCCAGCGGCCGCATCGCCGTCACGGCCGTGTAGACGCGGTGCGGGCCCTCGTCGCGCAGCGTCGTCAGCATGCGCACATGCTCGGCCTCGCTGCGCGGCTTCTCCATGATGATGCCCGCGTGGCTGACGACGATGGTGTCGGCGGCGAGGATGATGCCGGGCTCGCCCTTGGGCGAGTCGATCTCGCGCCGGTACACCTCCATGGCTTTGGCTTCGGCGGTCTGCTGCACGTATTCGAAGGGCGAGAGGGAGCTTTTGGAGAGGTCTTCGGCGAATTGGGAGGGGATGCATTCGGCGTCTTTGAAGCCGAGCTAGAGGGGAGAGGAGTCAGCTTCTTCGGTTTCTTAGAGGCTTGAGGGAGGGTGGTTACTAGAGCTATGAGGATCTTCCGCCGTGGGGAGGTGGAGGCGAGTATCACTCTTCGGCCTCTGAGCTGATTTAAAGCGTCTAGATTTAGCGGAGGCGGAGGGGGTCGCCCTTGGATTTGGATTTGGCTCAGGCTTCGGACGTGTGGTCGTAGAGAGGGTGTTGGCAGCGTGTTATTGAGAGTTGGCTTCGAGACATCGTCGTAGGAGGGTGGGGGTTCGGATGGAGTGGTTGGGGGATCTCGTAGGTCAATGAGAGACATTGTGAAGAGTCAATTAGGAGACAACGACAGGGAGAAGCGTTGTTGTATCGGCAGGAATGTGTATAATTTAATTGAGGGAGTGGTGAAGCACTGTAGTAGCGAACGGAAGTGAATGTCGATGGCGTTGATGCCAAGATTGAAGCAACGTAATCGGGCTCGCTTTATATACGCCACCATGCTCTCCCTCTAACGTCCCTCGTTCACGGCTATTGGAACGCAACGTTCCGAGACGTAAATGAAGCCTCCATATGCTTACCAAACCGCATGAAACGCGCTTGACCAGCCCGTTCCTGGCCGCCGCTGTTCACAGTCAAGTTTTTCTATCCGGATTCTTGCCACGAAGGGTCCGATCAACCTTCACTTGTCCAAGCGCCGTCTGATACGAGTTCGCGTACTATTTTTGTCTCTATCAGACTTCCCGAAGTGGCAATGCCCTATGCTGCATGTATTGGTTCCAAGCAGTCATACTCTCTTAAGAAATCTAGGGCTCTGCACTTGATTGGTCATCTTCTCTGCCAATCTCTCCTGTTTCTGTCAATGGTCCGAATGCTACCATTTCATCGCTGTTTTTATTTTTAAAATGCTTTCTAGAATTGAACGTGATGGGCTACCTTTCAGTTGGGCCTTAAGTCAAGAGAGAGCATCGTTCTCCTGCCGAGTTCCCGTTGTTACAATGCATCGAGTACAATCGGTTGCGATATGACACAGACACGTGGTAACTATCTTGAGAAGCAACGGTATTGCTGGCATTCTAGTCTATTCTGCAATTCATGTGTGTCCGTCGCTCCCTTGTTTCTCACACTATTTCTGCCTCCTCGAGACCTCTGGGGCCTCCTCCTACCTTCCAATGCCAAATCCAGAACTGCACTTGCCGCCTCGGGAAAAGACTACAACTGGGGCATTACCCTTACCATCTTTAACTCCATTCCATTGGATTACCCCTACAAGTGATAGGACATATTACCCCTAACTCTGGCGCATAGATACACAAACCCTCCCATCGCTCTCGCGGTACAGCAAGCCCCACGTCGTTGGCACATTCTTGATATCAAGGCTTCGGCGGGACTATGTAAGTGTACGTGATCGGGTCCTTGATCAATCCTGGCGGAGGACTGTTGAAAATCATGCCAGGTGGAGGCCCCAGGAACACGCCTGGTGGCAAAGGCCCCGCCATGAAGCCTGGGGGCCCATAAACCGCACCTGGTCCTAGCGGAGGCAGAACCGTACCTGGAGGTAGTGCAAATGGAGTCGGCATGACCATTCCTGGTGGCCCGTGCAGCTGGAACAAAGGAGTGGCGGATATCACCGGTGGAGGTAGTGGAGCAGCCACAGGAGAGCCAGGATGCGGAAGCGCAAAGCCAAACGGCCCTAGCCCCTGCCCTAGAGGAGTTCCAGGAGGAGATTCCAGAGGCGTAGGAGGATCAAGATTGAGCGCACCAAATTCTGGTATTGGAAAGTCGAAGTTTGGAGGAGACAGTGAGCCACTGGCGTTGATTGCTGAGTCTAGTCCGGCAGTCATTGCGAGACGAGCGGCTTCCAGGGAGAAGCAGTTCATGGCCTCGTCTTCCCAGCCAAACACGCCCATGGTGCAATGGGGGCATTTACCGTCCTTAATTTGCAGGTCTACATCCCACGTGTGTTCTTGGGCCATAATCACATCCTCCTGGTATGCTGGTGATCCGCAGGGCTCGATGGGGCTGGCGGGGTTCTGGTGGGCGCAGCCTCTGTAGGCAAACCAGCGTTGTTTGCACATGTCTCGGGTCTAGAATGGTGGAGGCACGAGAGGGTAGGTGGTGCGAGGAGAGTGGAGTGGTAGGGAAGGTACGAAGGAGTGAATGGGTATTGTTACAAGAATGCTGCTCTATGTGACAATCTAGGCTAGTGGAAAAGCCGACAAGAATTCACGAAGCTCTGTATCCGTAGGATGTTGGTGCTCGGAGCCACGTGTTACTCGCGTGACTTAGGCTGAAGCTATGCTGTCACTGCTGTCTTTCAGGAAAGTCTATGGTGATAGTACCGAAGCTGCCTTCAAGAGCCGAAAGAATGCGATGATGTACCTAATACGATAGCGAGGAGTTCTTATAGAAATGCGGGCGTTTCTGACAGCACATATCGGAGAAGGAAGTAGCCACGACAGGTATAGACTTCTGTCGTAATGCTGTAACACGGCTGGCTCGGAGAATTAGATGAGTGGCCAGCGCACCGTTACGGATAGCAGTGCTGTACATAAAGGCCTCCATGTAATATGATGGTGGTCGGGCTGGAGAGCCAGACCAGGATAATGGTGTTTGCTTTAGACGATAGGTCATTGGGCCACAAGGAGCTATGGAGGAAATAGGTTCATTGGCCAGAGGTACAAAACGGGCTGAAACCGCAGGAATGGAATGGCCTGTCGCGACCGACGTCAGATTGAGCTGGCATTGCTGTGCGCGTTCTGCGCCACAGAGGGACGCGGAGCTGGAGCGTTCTCGTCCTTGGAACGGCGTGGTGATAGAGGCAATATTCGATGGATACACTCGGTACCCAGGCAGATGTGAAGGGGCGTGGAGGAGCACCGCACTGCCACAGTCGCCGTGACTCGTCCGTGTGCGGCAGAGTCTCTGTCCCGCACCTGCAATCTCCCCCGTCTCCACCTGGCGAGGCAACCGACGATGGCCTCAGGGCGCAGCTGGGATGCCAAGCGGCGCAGTACGAGCAGACGGCCGCATCCGTCTAGTTACGCCTCTCCTGAGCTTGCTGGAGCCGCCGACAGAGCCTTCATATGCAGCAGCACGCGCCCTGGTGCCTCTCCTGCGCGACGCTGCCCGCCAGTCTCTGTGCCAAAGCTCCCACGCTCCCCAGTGCCGTTGGACCACCCTGACACTCTGACAGCTGACCACCGCCTTGGACCCGGAACTGATGCCCACTGATACCAAGCTTTCGCCCCAAGCGCGGCCTCACAGCCTCGTTTCCTGGAACTGCAAGTGCGCACTCGTCATCGGCCCCTCCCGCCTCATCCCTCGACCACCAGTGCACCACGCCTTCATCCCTCCTCCACCACCACCCAGGACTCCTCCCCATCCGACCCGACCGCGCCTGCTGAGCCCGCCGTCAATTGGGTTCTCTGTCGCCATGCCGCGGCCGGACCAACGCTATAGACCTCGCTGAATCCTCGACAAGCACCCTCACCGCAAGAGGCAGCTCAACAACGCATACTCGCATATCGAGCCAATTCATCCCCACCGCCCCGCATATACCACCCCGGCGCGTGCGAGCATCCTCCCAGAACATTGCCAGAGACATTGCATACCCCCAAGCCATGTCCCTCTCGCGCGGCATCCAGTCGGCCATCTTCCACTACCTGTCCTGCGCGCCATGTTCCGGCTACATGTACCGCTCGCGCCGCCGGAAACAGGCCAAGCACGACAGGAAGGAGAAGAACAAGCTTGAGATGGAGCAGCCCGAATTGTACCGCCATCCAGAGCCCTCGGCCACCAACCCCTTCTGGGCTGAAGAGATATTCATGGGACCGGGACCACCGCGAAGAGCTGGCCGCAAGACCAACACCAGCAGCCAGAGGGGCATAACAACTGCCGACACACACAGCACCGTCGCGAGCAACGGAGGAAGTAGCTTGGATATTGGCTCCTCCGATGGGAAGCCTGTGCGAGTTTCAGGAGACACGTTGCGCGGGGACAATTGGAACAGGCGGCGCTATCAGAGAGAAGACGAAGAGCTATGGGGCCTTGGAGAAGCTGTTATGCAGGCTGGTTCCTCTGTTGGTCTTTCGGGCATCACTCGACCACCGACAGCACGCACCGCGAAGTCCTCCGGAGAGAGCTACTATCACCCTCGCGCCCCACCAATAAACGACCTGCACCCTCCAATTGTGAGTTTGCCATCGCCGCACCCCGCAGACAACAAATGGATGCTTCAACCTCCTCCGAGAGCCAGTGTCATGAATGGGAAAGAGCGGGCCACGAACAGGAGCCGAAGTGGAAGCGGCGCCAGCAGTCGTGTGGAGGTGAACCTGCAACGTCAAGTGAGCACCAAGCAGTTGAAGGCGAAGCTCGACAGGGGTGAGACTCCAGAAATGCCGCCCCTGTCGAGGGGTAGCTCGTACAGCAACGCACAAGGCCAAGGTCACGACCGGGATCCCAAAGCACCCAGGGCTGCTCCACCGTCAGCGACTCCATCTCGCCGAAAGCGACGTGATCCAAGCCCCGAAAAGCCAGCCGATTCCTCTACAGAGTCAAGCGACACAATTGTTTACCCCTCCAGAGACTCCACCCCTCAATTGACTTCCCAGCCTAGCCTGAAAGTTGTCCGCGTCCGCAGCAGCAGACAGAAACTCTCCACGGTAGTCTCAAGCGGAGATGCATCCCCACCGTCTAAGAACCTCTTATCTAAGGCCGTCTCCTCCCCTAGCCAAACCGATAAGTCCTCTGGCTCTCTCCGCGTGACCAGACCACGTCCACCACTGGCCGCCTCGGACCTCTCTTCCCTCAATATTCTGCAGGACCTGGTCTCGCCGCGAGCCCTACTCAACTCCCGCTATGTCTCTGCTCCCCTAGTGGAAGCGCGGATCAAATTGCCCGAAGTTGACCGCGACGAAGAAACCCTCCTCGTCGGCCAAGAGGACATCACATGGGTCGACAACGGCTTCGGGCAGAGCAGAGAGTGGCAGGACGACGAGAGCCACTCGAGGGCCCCATCGCGGGATCCGCGCACGAGATGGAGTGTGGACTTCTAGATGCTCTTCTCTTGGATTAAATGATATCCCCGCTTCCCTGGGGGAATCAACATCACATCACTTGTTGGATATACAGTATCCACCATTGCAACCCGTCACAGCTTTCATTATCATCACAGCATGATTACCGCAGTACAAACTAAGCGTTCTTAGCGTAGCTCGAAGTTATTTCTCGTTCTTCGTTTGCCGCGCGTTTCCTCGTTTTGTGTTTGTGCCTTCTAGCGTTGATAGCGTTGCAAATATGGCATTCATTTTGCATTTTCTTCCATCTATCTTCTTCATCTATCGTCTTCTGCATATACAGATTTCGTTTTTTTTCTGCAATATAGGGACTTGGGAAACACGGCGTTTAGATATGGTTGGGGATGATCTGGGAAAATGGGGAAGGGCGTTCTGGTGGTTCCCCATTGTGGTTTCCTTTCTGTTGATCGACTATCGCTACAAGTGGTTCCAGCACTTCCACGATGCAATTTTCCCTTATTTATATACGTCATGATTGGATAGCAAAAACGAGCGAGAAAGAGGTCCGCAAAATGTACAACAGCAATGCTTCCGCACGTACCTAGACAACACAGCCAGACAGACAAACACGATGCATTCATCCAATCAATCCGATCTATGAAGCAAAATCTCAGAATTTTGAACTGCCAAGTCTAATGCCGCTCCCACGCTTACGCTAATCTACCATCCGATCCGCTCACCCCCCCACGGCTCCTACCCACCCCTAATTCCTCACATTCAAATCCCAAATCCGGGTACTCTCCCCCATCCACCCCCTCTTCTTGCTGCCGCTCTTCGGCGCCCGCTCCCCGAGCCGCACCATCGCCTTACTCGTCACCGCAAACGCCGTCACTAGCTCCTCCATACGCCCCGTCTGCACAAACGCATCCGCCAGCTCTGCATTGGCCTCGTCCGCGATCGCCGCTGCGAGCTCCATCGACTTGGTCGCCCACTCGCGCGAGACGAAGTGCGCGCTGGCGAGGAGGGTGCTGTTATACGCCAAGATAACGTCGGGGAGGTAGATGTGGCGGATGAGCTCGAGCTGGGAGGCTTCTTCGTCTGCGGTTTTGTGTTAGCAAGCCTGTAATTTCGAAAGTGAGGGGAGGGGTGGGGGGCATACCATCACTGCTCGTGGTCAAACACCCTTGCAGCAGCGGCTCGACCGCATGCTGGATACCCTCCATCTGCTCCTTGATGCGCTTCGTGGGCACCTTCTTGTTCTCTTCTTTCGCGCGGATGAAGACGTCCTCCTGCTCGCGCCACTCGCTGAGCGCCTTGATCGCCGTCACAAGCGTGCAGAGGTCGATGTAGGTGCGCGCGTCTTCGGCCCAGCGGTCGAACTGGTAGCGGACGAAGCCGCCGAAGGTGAGATCCGGGTCGTCGGGGTGGGAGATGCCGACCGGGAACGCGATGCGCTCGAGCGCTGCTCGCTCTGCGTCGCCTTCAGAGTCGGTGAAGTTGAGGGCGCTGCCGAAGTAGGGTTTCGTCTTCATTTGGGAGACGCGGTGGGCGGGGAGGCGTTTGCAGAGTTCGATCGCTGCGCCGACGCGGCCGTTGACTGGGGCAAGGTTAGGTTGGTGGAGCTGAAGGAAAAGGGTGAGGGGAACTTACGGAGGAACATCTTCATAGCGTCGCTCAGGGATAGGAAAGTCGCCGTCATATTCATTTTCACGTGCAGGAACCACTCTAGACTGTCAATGACATCCATCTCGGGAGTTGCGACGTTGCAGTCGAGGAAGTCCTGTTTGGTCCGATGACCAGGCCAGAGATATTCTTCGGAAGTCGGTACTTCTAGCATGTTATATCGTTTGATGTACTTCGACTCGTCCATGAGTTTGCTTTCCTCCCCAGCAACGATATAGCAAGTGGCCACGACGTCCATGGTGTCTATGCCAATAATCTCCATGAGCTTACACATTTCACCCTGCTCGTGGAAATTGTTAAGGGAGGGCAAGACGGAGGCGAGGACGCGGACTTGTCGGTTCTCCGCCAGCTGGGCTGCGTAGGTAGGAATGACCTTGAAGCGTCGGGCTTCCTTGAGGAGTATGATGTATCTAACGATGGTGTTGTCGACCATCTGCTCGTATGCATCACTCGGGATGTGTGCTCCAAGTGCTTTGAATATCAGAAGTATGTGAACAACGATACGCAGGTTATCAGTGTCCTGGACTACTGCGTAGTAGTCCTCATGTGAAGTTTCAAACTTAGGCAGCTCGTACTCAGGATGCAGTTCGAAATCCCTGGCGTTGTGCTTCGCTACCAACGCACAGCCGACTCTCCTGGCGAGATAGATGAAGTTCCTAGCAATTAGACTGCCTTGTATAAGCTTCGTGGGCGTCATTGCATGCGATTTTGTGCTCTTTTGCGCTTCTAGCAGCTCGACCACTCGACGGTTGGACGTCGACCAGTCTCCGTGGAAAGATACGGCGTCGAAAGTGGAAAATTTGCGAATCAAGCTCGGGGGGAGCTTGTCGGGATAATTGGCCTGAAGGTATGCGTCAAATTGCGAGAGGAGCAGTGCATTGTAGCGGGCGTAGAGATGGTCGTCCCAGGTCCGGCAGACTTCTTCAACAGATTTCAGATCGCCACTGAGCAGCCCGTATACAGCACGCTCGTAACGAATATCGCTTCCTTGAGCGAGCGCGTAGCATGTACGACGCCAAAGGCTCCCGAGATAGGGTCCGGTCAGGCATGTTGGGGCGTCTCCTGCGCTGCCGTTGGTCAAGCCCATACTAACTCCCCGCCAAGACTCGTTGTGGTCTTGACACCATTCGCAGATCTCTTCCCAGGGCTTCCCGCGTCGGAGCATTTCGTAGCAAGTCATCCACATAGCCCTCTCATAGTAATCATCCGACTTTACTAGAGCTCGTCCTTGCCTAGAGGGCGCGTCAGGATCGAGATGGGTGACTAGAATTTGAGTCCCGTCAGCAGACTTGATTGAGACTTCATCCGGATGCAAAGGATGACCAATTAGACGCCGGCGCTTCTCAGCCTTGATCTTAGACTTAGTGTCTAGCCATCCATTCGTCCAATTGCTGATGTCTTTCCCTGATTCGGTCCCCAATTGCTCCTTTATCGACTCGATGTCGCTCTCGTTACTGTCGGCTGACTCTTCTAGCCATTTTAGTATCTTTGATTTCTCCATGGCCGCCGCGTCCTCCACGAGGAACCGCTTCCAGATTTCCAGATCAGGGCGGTCACCATACTCGGCCTCTACCTCAGACAGACGTTTCTGGTTGTCTGCTAGGGCGTTATATCCAGGCGGAGGGTGGTACAAGTCGATCATAATTCGAAGGAGGTTCCAGGAAGCGGCCTCATTCTGCCAATGCCGCAATTCCTGTAGCTTGGGCGACGTGCCTAAGTTTGTGGACATGGATTTTACCGATCCGTCGTCACCTCCAGGACCCAGACTACCCCGAGGGGTGTTGGCCATGCTATGTATCCGTCTCCGAACGTCTTTCGCAAGGTCTCCTCGATTTGCGGCAGCCTCTCTCTTCCCCAACTCTTCCACTTTCTTTTCCGCATGCTTCTGGAACTTCGAAAGCATGTTCAGAGTCTCATTGTATTTCTCGAGCGGAGGCAGGTCGTGGCTAGCGGTGTACCATTGATCTAGCTTCTCGGCGAATATCTCGACATCCTTTCCGACGCGATCTGCCATGGTCTGGAGGGGTTCGAAGTATTTGCGCGCGCTTGATTCTAGTCGGAGAGGCGATTCCAAGCTTCGAGTGAATTGCTCGTCCTTGCGCATAGCGCGCGTGGAGTACGACCGCCGCGGCGTCATTGTCGACATGCTGAATATTTGGAGAGCTTTCCAATAGCAATACAGAGGGTGGTGCGGTTGAAAGTGGAGGGTTTAGGTGGTGTGGTAGGATGTGAGGTTGGCGGTCTTGCGGGTAAGGGGCGTAGTCTAGAGAACTGGATTTGCAGAAGGGCGGGCAGCCTTTTATCGTCGGCGCAGTTGATGTGCGGTGGAGGGTTTGGGTGTCAGAGCACATAAGTGAAAGACCACAAAGCTGGTGAATGGCGAGCAGATCGCGTCGAGGTCGTTGAAGCTGCCCACGCTAGCGCGATCCTCAGCCACCAATCACAAGCACCAATACATTTTGCTTTGGAATTTGAGAACAACCTCTTTTTTTGTTAGGTGAATAGGACATGGCGCTCAGATCTATATTTAGCTACTCACGTTTTGAAGCGGTCGGTCAATGAATGGCACGGAATGACGTACTCTCGAACGTGGCGGTACTGCGAGGCACAGGACTTTCCCTGGGAGGATTAATCCATTCCACAGCCAGACTCGTTTGAAGTGCTTGCCACTCATTGTTTCAAACCCCTGACTCTGTTGGAGACGTATTCTGAAGAAATGCATTTCAAAATATGTGGAGACTCTTGGTCTAGAGACGCCCAAAATTGTAGTAAACCATCACGGTCTTTTATTTATGTCTACGAAACAAGGAAAGGAAATGCAGTAAACACGTATATTAAAACTTCAATGAGACGAGCTGGTGTATACCTTCTGATATCACTACTGCTGAGTCTCAATCAGAAATAGATCCCATAAACTCCCCTCCCATGTGTACGTTCCTTTTTGTGGTGATTCTTGGCCCCAAACTAAATCTCAAGCATCATGAAAGAAATCAAGCTTAAGGCTCAATTCCACCATGCTAAGTATGTGCTTAGTAGTGCTTGGTACTGATCGGCTTGACAGGAGTATTGGTCGCAGACGAGAGGTTAGGGTTTTTGATAACTGTATTCGGGTGCTTGTGAGACGCCGAGAAGGATGAAGGTCCGGTGTGGTACGGGGACTCCTGTTTGTATGATTTGGGCGTTACGGCCGAGTACGCGGTGCCAGAGCTGGAAACTGGGGGTGCAAAGAAAGTAGTTGTGCCTTCAGTCACCGGGAAGGTCGGGCAATTGGTGGACGGGCATACTTTATCGGCAGTGATGGTAACAGTGGTTGCAAGCGGCGCTTCAGGGCCTACGGTGACGGTGATGGTGGTCGTCTGAGCTAGGCATGAGGCGACGGAGAGAGTAGGAGCGCTGTCTAGCGGCAGCCCAGCAACTGGTGTATAGCCGACAATAGGGTTGGTAGTTTCAGGGGATAAAAGGGCGCCAGAATTATTCTTATCGGTATGAAAGGACTGTAGAGGGACTTTTATACTTTCTGGTGGCGGCGTGCTATCTGCCAGCGAACTACTAGTAGCGGATGGTTCAGGATAACCAAAATAAGGCCCATGGGTATGCGAGGATTGAAGTTCAGCCGTACTTGCTGGTGGCAGCTCAACCTTTGATGTTTTATAACCACCGAGGGAAGTAATAGCGCTAGATACGGGCTTTATTTTGGGAAAGTAATCGACGTCGGTAGCAGTCGGTATATATTCACTCATCGACAACCAGTTGGTAATGTATGAGGTGTAGACGGAGGCTTCGAGCCAAGAAGACATGCCTGTCGAATAAATGATAATGCCGCTTGAGGATCCGACAGGAGTGGAGGTTGCACTAAATTTCCATAAAGATGTGGGCACCATAGTGGCAACGATAGTTGATTCTCCAGAGGGTGGAGGAGGCGGTAGAGTGGTAGGATAATGATAATTACACCCGTTTTTGCATGAAGTGATCGTGAAAATTTTGGTAACAATAGTGGTAATAGCTACTGCGCCCGACATTGTGGTGATAGGGCAGACTGTTGTCGTAGTATATGTGGCCAGTGTTTCGATTTCTCCTGGGTATCCAGTCCCAGTAGGAATTCCGGTTCCTGTCGAGGAAAATCCAAGTCCCGTTGGGTAAAGCCCCGTTTCTATAGCGTAAGATGAGGTTGGGCTCAAATGGGAAGAGTCCTGTGAAGTATATAAAAAAGCCTGTGGTGTATGCGAGGAAGCTTGGGGAGTATAAGAGGGAGCCGATACCACGCTAGAGGATACCGAAGTAGAGGATGCCTGGGGAGACGAGAGTGATAGCACGCTGGAAAATGAAGTCGACGCTAAGATTGGTGACGCGAGAGAGGAGGGGGCTAATAGCACACTAGAGGAAGTGGAAGGTATGAAAAGCGGAGAAGTCGTCGGTGTATAGGAAGAAGTGGTTGCAGTTTGAGACCATCTCTCTGATATAATGTAATCTGCGCCTTGGGTGGATGAAGATAATGAGGCTGATGCGCTAGATGATGCGTGCGAGGAATGGGCCAAAGCCGCACTAAATGATGCCGAAGACACAACGAGGAGCGAGGAAGCCTCGGAGGTTTGGGGAGAGCTCGCTGATCCAGTGTAACCTCCCCCAACTGAGGACGAAGACGGTGTTGATATCACGATAAAGGCTACGGAGGTGGGTGATGCGGGCAAAGACGGAGTTGAAAGCGCACTAGAGGACTTCGATGACGAAAGTAGGGATGGAGACGCCTTTGAAGTAGAAGCGGAAGTCTTCACAATTTGGGACGAACTTTCTGGTGCACCGTAGCCGCCACCAACGGAGGATGAAGATGGTGTCAATACCACGCCGGAGGACGAGACCAATAGCACACCAGAGGATGTCGACGATGAAGGCGACAGATTTAAGGAGGAAGTCGAAGCTGATGATGCCTGGGAGGCGGAGCCAGACAAGACACTAGAGGGGGAGGAAGCTTGTGAAAGTTCAGAAGAAGTCCCCGAAGGATTGGGCCAGATCTGTGTTGCATCGTATCCTCCACCCTGGGAGGATGAAGATGTGATAGCAGACAGCGTTGGCGTCTCAGTCGCAGGCGTTGTCGTCTCGTAGTTGTTCCGGCCGACAAGCCCAAACGCTTCGGCCATTGCATCTCGAGGCCATCTAAGAGAGGGAGTCGCAGAAGCAATACTGTTGATTGAAGCTATCAGAAGGATCGTAGCGGGCCGCATGGTTGTAATCAATGAAAACACGAAGCTCGGTGGAGTGCGTTCGAAGGAAAAACCGTACGGGACGGAAGGATAGATTAGAGAACCCAAACAAGTCAGAGAAGCGATTGGTGGCTTTGATACAGAATAAGATGGAGGCGAGCATGGCTCTTAAGTAGCGATAGAAGACACTTTGCAAGAAGATGATACAAATCCTCTGAGGCACAGAATGCGAAGCTCCTCGTGTACTCAATGTCTCCTAGCGACCTACGACGCCATGCTACGGATAGAAGAGGGCCCCGCCTCCCAAGGGTGCTTAGATGTGTCATGTTCGTTGCCGCAATGGGGCTCGCGAGCCATTGTGATTACCGAGCTAGGAGTGTGACGATCGTAGTGGAGGCTGGTGGTCAGAAGGATGGATGCGGCGGCGGCACAAGCTGGGTTGAAGCTACAGTTCTGGACACGAATCTTTTCAATGCAGACTACTGTTTCAGCTAGCTTACGTAGGAAGCAGGAAGCTCCCAGAGACGAATGAAGATGTTGGTGGATGAGACACGCCCAAGGAGAGCTCGAAAGTAGCGAGGAGCTTTGACCACATCATAGGGCTGAGAGTTATTTGGTGTTAAGGATGCCCCACGTTCACCCATCCTCTTCTTCACACAACGCGAAACACAGTATGGCCTTCCGTAAACGCAACGTTGGCCTCTCACGTCCCGAATTAACATCGCAATCCTCGGCCGCTCCAGACCCAATCCCAGGTCTCCGTCCGTCGCCCATCGACGGCCGCCCCACGACTTCGACTGGCACGCCGAGCCTTGACGGCATCTTGGCTGGCCATGCCGGCCTCGCACTCGGGAGCTCGCTTTTGCTAGAGGAATCTGGAACGACGGACTATGCAGGCATGTTGCTGCGGCTCTACGCCGCTGAGGGCGTGGTGCAGGGGCACAAGGTGCATGTGGTGGGCGTTGGAGAGCACTGGGGCAGGGAGCTGCCTGGGGTCGTCATTGGGAGGGAAAGCACGGATAAAGAAAAGAGGCCAGGGGAGGACAGGATGAAGATTGCATGGAGGTATGAGCGGTTGGGGGAGTTTGGGGCAGGCCGAGAAGGGAGTCGAGGTGTGTGGGATGCTTGTCTTGTATATATGCAAATTCGAAATGGATTCATACAAGTTTTCGTATGCTAACGCTGAAGTGAGAACCAGCAAATCGTACACCTCCAGCTTCAGAGGCAGCTGCGAATACTCTGTCGTCAATGGAGCCGCCGACCTTCTGTCACACCTTTGACCTGGCTAAGAGGCTCACGTTTCCCGTGGGTTCCTCGATAAACTTCATCCCAATACCAGCAACGACCCCCTCTCCGTTTGTATCAATCCTCCAGAGTATCAGCGATCAACTCTCCTCTGGCCCAGGAACCACAATCCACCGACTGGTCGTTCCGAGTCTCCTCTCTCCAGCTCTCTATCCTCAAACAGCTTCTCAACCATCCCATGTCCTCCAATTCCTACACGGGCTTCGGGGCCTACTTCGCACGTATTCCACGCGCCTCACAGCTGTCCTCACCCTTCCGCTAGAGCTCTACCCCAGGATGTCAGGTTTGGTGCGCTGGATGGAGCTGCTTAGCGATGGTGTGCTGGAGCTAACACCCTTTCCACACCTCGCAGACACCCTGTCTGCTTCTGGGGCCGCAACTGCACAGGAAGAGCGGCCACAAGGCATGCTGAAGATCCACCGGCTGCCAGTATTCCACGAAAAAGGAGGTGGAGGAGGCGGAGGCGGAGGACTGGGAGATGATCTTGCGTTCACGGCGAGTAGGCGGAAGTTCGTGATCGCCAAGTTCAGCTTGCCACCTGTTGAAGGAGACCAGGAGGGACAAGCTGGAGCGCTTGGCGCAGAGGGTGGGAAGGCGACAAAAGTTGACATCGAGTTCTAGTGTAATGATATCTGGCTTTCGCCATTTGCTGGCTGGCTCAGTTGTCCATGTAGTGATGTTTATGAAAGCGTGAGACATTCATAGCTCTTCATCTTCTCCAAGCATGTCTTCCATTTCGATTTGTTCCCATCCCGCTTGACCTGCGCCGGATCCCAATCCTCTGGCATAGCTGCGACCAAAAGATGCGAGACGCGGGTTAACGCTGACACCGGAGAAACGAGCGCGGAAGTTGTCGCCAAGGCAGGAGGACAGGCCGAGAAACACTATGAAAAGTAGCAATGGAATGAAGAAGAGGAACGTGAGAAGGACGATAACATTCATCTTTAGTGAAGGATGGAAGCTGACATGAATAAAAATGGTAGAAGTGAGGTCAAGGCTGCTGCTATTTGATTGGGTCTTGGCACATTTAATCCGGGCGACTTTTCGAAATTTCCCCACGACAAGCTCTTCACTCCTCCGTGTGACTCTCATGCCCGATGCTGTTCAACAATGCATCTCGAAACCACTAACAACAGGATACTCTTGGTCGACTTCATTCCGCCGTAAATAACGAGAGGTGAGTCAAGCACTACGACACCCAAGCAACGAGCACTATATGATTATTCCAAAAATATCTGTCAATCCACTGAGAATTCATTTTCCTTGACGACATCCATTTTAAAAACTGTATATGAACCCTCTGTCTCACAGCCTTTATTCCTGCACATACTCTCTACTAGGACATGCAGCTGATCCTATGAAGTCTAGGAGTCAACCAACCCCAAACATCCAACACTATGGCCGACATCTCGGTGCCAGAGCCGTTCCCCATCTCCCAGATCGCGAACCGCTTCCTCATCTTCGATGTCGACGCTGTCACCTACGCTCGGCGCGAGTACAACATCACCGGCGTTTTCGTAGGAACCATCGCGCACATGTCGCAGCAAAATGTCTTCCTTGGGATTCCCCTCGAACTGATGCCTGAAGAGGCTCGACTGCTAGTGGAGCAAGGACACGCATACATTGTCCACGATGTGGACGTACATAAAAACGGTTTCTTGGAAATGAGCAGGGAAGACAGGCTAGCTTTCCTGCAAGCTATGGACAAGCAAGGCATGGACGCTGCGCTGAACAACCAAAAAAAGGCAGAGGAGCGGTCAGAGAAGGCCCTCCAAAGGAAAGGACTCGCGCGTAAAGTGCAAGAAAATGCCGCCAGACGTGCTTCAGAGGCCCTCGAGTCGAGTAAATCAGCCACGCCCACAGAGCCAGATGCGGACACCGCTCTGTTCGACTCTCCGCCTCGACCAGCCTCGCCCGCATTATCACTGGCTTCTAATGCATTAGACCCCTTCTTTGTCACGCCCACAACCTCGTATCCGCCTTTGCCAACCCCGCCGATGAGTCCCACCACTCCGTTGCCGCACGTACCGCGCACCTATCCGCTTTTTGCATATCTCCATTCTAAAGGCTATTTCATGACCCCAGGTCTACGATTTGGTTGCAACTACACCGTCTACCCGGGTGACCCGCTCCGGTTCCACAGCCACTTCCTTGCGACGGGGCTAGACTGGGATGAGGAGTTCGACCTGCTGGATATTGTTGGTGGTGGGAGATTGGGCACTGGGGTTAAGAAGGCATACTTGATTGGCGGGGCTGATTCGTCTACTAAAGCCTTGAATGATAGGGGCTCTGGGCGCCGCGCAGAAGATGGTATTCGTACCTTTTCTATCGAATGGGCAGGGCTTTAAGCAGGCATTGGGTATTGTGGACAAGTTCTGAAGTCATCTGTGCAATGGTGGGATGCAATCATGCAATGCAAATCTATCTTTCAAGTCCACTCATCTAGATTTGAGGTGGTTGCCTGTGATGATTCTTACCCACTTTTTATGTACAGTCATGTCTATCCATTACATTCTGGCCCTATTGGTCATCGCCTATATCGACATCTGTTTTGTGAGATCCTGTGGTGGGATCAATGTGCTGTGCCACTGCGCTCTCTACCTCATTTAAGGTGTGACTTGTAGAAGTCAAGCTTCCCATGAGGTAAAAAACATTGCCAAGAACCCTGGAATGTATGCCCAATCGATTAGATGGTCCCCGTTCGAGCAACGCGTCGCGCAGCTTGATTGCGGCGTTGGAGTTGTATCCTAAGCTACCTGTCAGCAACGTGGAATGACGGTTGTAGGAAAATCAGTTAACGTACCCGAGCCAGACTCATCGACGAGGGTGATCGCGAGCACAGAGCCGATCGCAACAACACCTTCGACGCATTCCTTATTCGATAGGTCGGCGACGAATTTCTTGCTCCACATGCTCCATACATGGGTTGCGTGTTGCCACGGCCGTCCACTTTCGGCCCCAGCAGTTGGGGCCCAATCAAGGGCAGCCCGAAACCAGTTCTCACTTCTATGGAGATCTGTGAACTTCGTCATGGAGACGTTAGCAACATGGCAGCCTACAGCATGTGCGGTGTAACTATGGCCATGGAGGAGCGCGTCGGATTTCTCGTCGCTCAGAAACGCGTCAAATATGCTTTGGCTTGCCAGCGTGACGCAGAGGGGGAGCAAGCCGCCCGTGAGCAGCTTGGCGTGGACGGAGATGTCGGCTTGAGTGTTGAGGAAGGAGCTGGAACTGAAGCGGCCGAGTCGGTACATGCCAGTGAAGACTTCATCGAAGACAACTGGGAGACCAGTCCAATCGAGAGGACTCTTAGTAGCGCTGTCCGTCTCAGAGGGGGGGTCTTCGGACATGGAAGCGAGGATGGGAGAGGTGCGGATAACTCTGGCGAGTGTTTGCTGGAATAGCGGATCCCTAAGCGTGATCTTTGGTAAGTCTTGTGGTGGTGCAGCAAAGAAGGAGTGAACTTACACCATAATCATACCACCAGCTCCGAGAAGTACGGGTTCCATAACTAACGCGCCGAATTTCAGTCCCTCGTCTTGGATTAGACGTTTCAAAACCTCGGTTATATACCGTTCATAGACGCTGGCGTCCCTGTTATTAAGATCGAAGACCTCCTGTAGACTCTCATAGTGCTGTAGAGAGCCAAAGTCGTCTTCCATACCAGCAGGAGCTTCGACAGTCCATTTTCCTTTCTTCATTTTGACTTGTGGATAATCGAACCAGTAGCCACGGCCACGATACCACTCAACCTTTTTGTTGTATGTTGACGGCTCTGAGCAATCCATTGCACCGATAGTATCGCCATGGTAGCTGCCTTTGAGGCCTATGATGCCAATGTCCGTGGAGGAGCCGTCCCATCCATAACGCACTGACGCTGCCTTTAATGCCATTTTGATACCGACTTCGATCCCCGTGCTTCCATCATCGGTAAAGAAGACCTTCCGAAGCCTACTTTTCTTATCGCTATCCATGAGGTGTATCAGCCTTGTGGCAAGCGTCAGCGCTGGTTCGTGTACAGCTCCTGCAAACATTACGTGACCATATCTTCCAGCAGCGTAGGCTGCAGCGAGCGCGAGGTCCCGGTTGCCATGCCCGAGCCCTTGGGTCCACCATGATGCCGAGCCATCAAACGCCGACTGAAGACTGGAGTTATTAGGCTCTGGAGGGACAACCTTCGCTACTGCTTGCGAGCTGTCGCTCTTGTCCTCGGGCTTAGGTGATGGCCTATAGACCTGGAAGAAATCGCCATGGGCAGAATCAAGAGGAAGCAATTCAGCAGCATTCCGATCTTTGTGTTGGGTGAAAGGATGCCAAATTGACTCTGCTGCTCTTGCAGGCATTTCGTCCAGATCATGCAAGTAACGGGAGTGATTTGACCAGATGTTTTTAACGAGATCAGGCATGTGAGATTTAGATATTGCCTTGTAATAGGCATTCAACTTGACATCCAGTTGGACACTCTCTGAGCCTTGTGGAACCCGCAACTCGACCACACTCCGATCAAAGTCTGAAATCAGAGGAATGTCATAGACAGGGATACGCCACTGCTTATGGAAGCTAGTTCGTAAATAATCGTGGTTACCAAGGTCTCCGGTTGGTAGTACGACTGCAACAAGATCGTATCCCCGCAGAGTGAGGGACTCCGCAGCTGACAGTGTTGTTGCGATCCCTCCGAGTCGATGATCTCCAACAAGAACAACAGGCAGTCGAAGGGGTCGAAAAATGTCGGCCTGTGGAGTCCCACTTGGGCCTGGCGATAGCACACCACCAGCTGTCTCGACTATGATCGCACCCTTCTCTGGTGCCACCTTGTGCATAAACTTCGAAACCGAATCGCACACGAGATCGTCCGACGGAGCCCCCTTGTTATGTTAGATTTCGTTGATAGCGTTGATCAAAGACGAGACTGCATACAAAGCCATTCTTACGAGCCGCAATGTGAGGGCTGACGGGATCATCAAATTGGAAAAGTGTTTTAGTCCGGATCCCAGCGTATCGACGTACATATCTGGAGATTGTTACTATTGTATCTTCCGTTGTCGCTGCGGCCTGGCCCGCCACTCCATGTTCCTTACCTGTCATCGCGGTCGGATTCGGGGCCAGTCGACACAGGCTTTAGATAAACTACATCTTTTGCCGGCCAGTAAGCTGTTTTCATGGCTTTTGCCAGCAACGTCGAAACCACAGTTTTGCCTATCAAAAATCAGAAATCTAGAGTGTTTAATGGGAGAGGTTCGATAGTACCGACTCCGGTGTTCGCGCCATAGATCTGGATTGCAGGAACTGTACGCCGAAGGAACGCGCCTCTTGCAGACATGACAAAGATGTTGCCCAAATGGTGTGGTGAGAGGAGCCTTGGACAGCAGATGTATCCACCTAGCTCCCGGAGTTGTTCGTTCTATAGAAAATGAGTGTTTGGTGGTCAAAAGGCACGAATGAAGTCGAATGAAGGTTTCGCTCGTAATACGCTAGCCCCTGATTTACCCCACACACTCGGACTTGGCCTGGGGAAGATATTGCTCCCGAAGTCGCGGTTTTGGAGCTCGACAGCCGTACTTTGGCGAGCTGCGCCTGGATATTGCATACTTGTAATAGAGATCAGAGCAGGTCCAAAAAGGTAGCATTGCAACTTCATTTGGTGCAAAGGTTTCTGACGTAACTTGTAGTGGATAGAATAACCGGGGCCGTGAGGAGCAGGTCACAATCCCGTGTTTCTACGGACCATACACCATACACCACTACACCACCTCTTGAGCAATTCACTCTCAGCGGTCTTGCCTTAATGATAAGCTGAATTGAGCGCCTGTGTGTCGACGTGTTCCATCTTCTCCTCCTATTGTGAAAGGTTCTGTCATCTTCTGTGCTTGTCATCTTTCAAGCACCTCAACGAATTCTCGGGAGTGCAAACACCTTGTCGATTTCCGCCATCTCCTATAATATTTCACGGAAATGGACGACGATACACCCACAACTCAATTGCCAATCGAGCAAACAATCCGCCAGACCCTAGACCGCCGCCGCGCCCAATCCACTCTCCGCAATCTCCTCGTTTCCCCGGCCGGCTCTGTTGACTTCTCCTCCAACGACTTCCTCTCCCTCTCCACCTCGCCCGCTCTCCGCACTGCCTACCTGAAAGAGCTCTCCAACACCACGTGTAAGCTTGGCAGTGGTGGGTCACGGCTCCTTGACGGTAACTCAGCATATGCCGAGGATCTGGAGAAAAATATAGCCGCGTTCCATCGGGCGCCATCGGGCTTGCTATTCAACTCTGGCTTCGACGCCAACGCCGGCTTCTTTTCGTGTATGCCGCAGCCCGGCGATGTCATTGTTCATGATGAGTTCATCCATGCATCTGTGCATGAGGGTATGCGATTGAGTCGGGCGGCGAAGTGTGTCCCGTTTCTGCACAACTCGGTCGACGATCTTAAGCGGGTGCTTGAGGAGTGTACGGAAAATGATGGGCTGGTGGGAGATGGCCGGCGCAATGTGTTTGTTGCTGTTGAGGCCATCTACAGCATGGATGGTGATTTACTGCCTCTCAAAGCCATTGTGGAAGTGGTTGAGGAACTGCTACCACGAAAGAATGGGTATATCGTTGTTGACGAAGCTCATTCGACGGGTGTGATAGGCCCATATGGGCGGGGACTTGTTTGCGAGCTCGGCCTCGAGGACAAGGTCTTTGCAAGACTGCACACTTTCGGGAAAGCTCTTTCTAGTAATGGAGGTAGGGCTTCCGCTTGCAACCCAATCTTTGAACTTCATCTAACAAGTGACCCCCAGCAATCGTACTTTGCTCGCCGGTAGTCCGTCACTACCTGCTCAATTACGCTCGGCCTCTCATCTACACAACTTTCATGTCCTACCCTTCCCTTGCTGGCATCAGAGCCTCATACAGCTTGCTCCAGCAGGGCGGCACAGAGCCAGTAAGTCTAGCCGATGAGTATCTGTCTTCGTAAGACGGCGCCTAATGTTACATGTGATTCAAGCTGGCCCTACACCTGAAGTGGCTCATCCAAGCAACATTCGACATGCTCCAAGACCTGGCAGCCAAATACAACTTCAGCGACGACCCAGCTGCGCTGATCAGAGTTCCGGCAGAATGTCCGCAGAGTCCAATCTTCGCAGTAATCTCGCCGCACCCAAGAAGCCTGGCCAAGTACTGTCAAGATGGAGGGTTTGTTGTGCGGGCTGTGGTACCTCCAACTGTACCTCATGGTCATTCAAGAATTCGAGTGTGCCTCCATTCAGGTAACACCTTTGACGAGGTTCGGAAGCTAATTGATAGGATCGATGAATGGGTCAGAGTACAAACAGAAGGGGGCGATTTTACTGGCGATATACTACCTGTAGCCTTGGAAAAGGCTCGGCTGTGATGGGCTTAGCCGCATGAAAGTGTCAATATTCTGCATACATAGAGCATTTTCCTAGTTCTCTAGATATAAAAAGCTGGCAAATATGTAGTTTATGTAAATAATGCGCAGATGCTCAACTCCGCGAGGAGGAGCTTCATGTACGCTATGAAATATCACTTTTAGACGTTTCCATGATCTCATGGCGCGCTGGCCAATGCCTGCTCCTTCTGCTCTGTAACAAGAGGAATTGACTCCTTCAACTCCTCCTGGCCTTGAAGTGTTTCGTGGCTCTCCATCGGCCGCAGACCCCAGCGGTCAAACATGGCCTTGTCTTCTTCCCATCCGTTACAGGCGGTAGTCAGCATCTTTTCTCCCGTGAACACCGCATTGGCTGTAAAGAAGTTAGCACGTTTCAACACAAGCTTTGTTTTATGGAACAACGTACCACCAGAAAAGAAGCACATCATCTGCTTCTCCTCGGTCATAGTGTTTCTGCCGGCAGCCAACCGAATGATGGTCGCAGGCAGAACTAGCCTCGCAGTTGCAATCGTCCTCACAATCGCATCAAAGGAAATAGCCTTGCTCTCTCCTAACGGCGTCCCTTTAATCGGCACCAAAGCATTGACGGGGAACGACTCCGGATGCTTGGGCAGCGTCGCAACCGTATGGATCAAGCCCACATGGTCCTTCGGCTTCTCGCCCAACCCCAAAATGCCGCCCGTGCACACATTGATCCCAGCCTCACGCACATTCTCGATCGTTGCCAGCCGCTCGTCATACGAGCGCGTGGTGATGACGCTCGGGTAATGTTCGCGGCTCGTATCAACATTGTGGTTATACGCCGTCAAGCCCGCTTCCTTCAGCTCCTTCGCCTGCGCCGCGTCAATCATCCCCAGAGTCACGCACGCCTCCATCCCCAGCGCCCGCACGCCCTTGACCATCTCGGTAATGTTCCGGAGGTTGGTCTTGCGGCCGCGCATATCGCGCCACGCGGCGCCCATGCAGAAGCGGGAACTGCCATTCTCTTTCGCAGTGCGGGCGGCGGCTAGGACGGTCTCGACGTTGACCATTTTGGTGGCTTTGAGGCCCGTGTTGTGGCGCGAGGATTGCGCGCAGTAGGAGCAGTCTTCGCTGCAGCCGCCTGTTTTGATGTTGATCAGGGTGCAGAGCTGGATTGCTGCGGGCGAGTGGAAGCGGCGGTGGAGAGTGGCCTTTTGAGTACGAATTAGTACCAGATCATGGAACAAAAGGGGCAATGTGTGGCTCATAGTGCTTGCCGGGGTACTCTCGGCATCTTGAAGAAATGTAGTCTGACCGCTGCATATGATAGTTCCATTAATGGAGTGTTGTAGATCTCTGAGATCTCCTCCTTAGTCCAATTGGTCCGAGGAATTGTTGCTTGAAGTGCATCTTGGAACACGGAGGTACGTTGAGGTGTTGGCGCTTGCGGTGGCCCGGTAGAGCTACCGGGAACAACATCCTGAACAGTGCTGAAGGGCCTTGAGATGAATTGAGGGCTGAGGAACCTCCGGGGCTGGAGACTCTTGCTTTTGGCTGAAATTCGTCGAGACATAGTTTTGGTCAGTGTATTGATTGAAGGAGGAAAAGAGGTGAATTGGTGGGGCCGGAGTGTTGAGGGCAGTCTCGGGAAGCTAACGATGCCGGTGCAGATCAGCGCGTGTCAGCGTGTCGCGGCTTCTTCCGACAAGCGTCACCAATCCCACGCCTCTGCTTTGTCAATTCACTCTGTGTGGGAACAATAGCCCTTTTTGGCCATGACTTTGCGCCGCCGCTGATGTGCCGGTTTGAGCTGCTGAGTGTTTTGATTGTTTTCTTCCAAGAGCGTTTCCAGCGCCGAAATCCGCCTATACATGACGAGTAAGTCGACCACCGCGTACTGCCCCGCATATATATTCTGAACTTCCTCTGAGATATAAAAAGAGAGGAAGGGGTAAATACCGAACTACAACTGCCGCAATGCTCCACGAAATCCTCCTATCCCTCTCGGGCCATCCCTCCCCGCTCTTCGATTCCCCAAACACCACCAAAGGGCTAGACACCGAGTCCTTCCCCCTCCTCTCTCCACCTGAAGCGGAGCTTCTGTCATCCATTGGAGCTCTGTCCAAACTTCATCGTCAGACTCGTGAACATGCTTCACGAATATCCTCAATACATCCCTCCACGATATGTCGCGCCGTGGCTACCGCAATAGCATCCTCACAACTCGCGAAATTCCAGCAGAAGATATTGGACGTGGAGCGTAGGATCCTGAAGAGAGATGCGAGTACAGTTGGAGCGTATAACATTGTGCCGTTAGCAGGCATTGTGGGCGAGTTCGACGAATGGACGAGGTTGATGGAGTGGCTATGGACGCTCGAAAACTTTATGCTGCGCCCTGGCCTTGCGGAGAAGAATATTAAAGGGGTTATCAGAGAGGATATCATGTCTTCTGGGGCCGGAATTATCGACAAACTCCGGCAGGAAGCTCAGACAGGCTATCCAGATATCGAAGAGGCCGCTGTAGAGTTAGGCAAAGTTGCGGAGACTGCATGGCTGCGACAATTGTCGACTTGGGTGCTTTATGGCCGATTACCGACGTTCGGAACCTCAGATTTCTTCATCCAATGGTCAGATGACGATGAGGAAAGTCACTTCGTTGTACGCAACGAGAGCCTTCCGAAATTCGTATCTCGACAAACAGCAGCGTCCATGCTATTCGTTGGAAAGTCGCTCAATCAAATTCGCTCTCTCGAAAGCGCTTCAAAGGCTCCTGCTACACGCTCATCTAGAGCATCAGAGCTCGAGCTTCTCCCGTTACATCTTCAGCATCTCTCGCCAGTCACGACTCCCATTTCATCCTCCCTGCTCTCAGAGGCAATTACAGCCATTCGGCTTTCCCTATCCCGCAACATGCTGCAGCATTTGCTCCCTTTACCTAAGATCATCGAGCTCCTGTCCCTGCTTCAAGAGTTCTTCCTCCTTGGAAGGGGCGAGTTTGCTGTGGCTTTGATTACGGAGGCTGATGAGAAGATTCGATCACGTCACACCGTGCCTGGGCAAACTTCACAGCGCAAACAGGGCTTGCAAGGTGTTTTACTAAAAGAAGGGGAGATCACTGCTGTCTTAGCTCGAGCGTGGTCGGTTCTATCAAGCTTGAGCGGTGAGGAGGACCATGCCGACGACTCGTTAGACCTCGCAATGGATCTGGTGCACTTGAGCATACACAAGCCTACCGCCAATCGCCCAGGCACACCTGGTCGAGCACGAGAATCATCCTCGTCAGCTCCCAAGATATCCAGTGTCGTCTTCAACGACTTCTTGCTTTCTATACCTACCACTCTGACTTTGGACATTCGCTCCCCACTGGATCTCTTCATAGTAAACTCGGATCTGGACATATACTCCTCTATCAACGCCTACCTGCTATCAGTACGCCGCGGCCACCTTCGTGTCGCCGACCTATGGAGGCAAAGCTCCATCCGAAGAGAGCATCCAGCTCCCCCGGCTCCCCAATTCAGCTCAACACTCTCCGGCAAGGCCATCTTACGCAAGCGTCGCCAAAGAGCCGATGCCCGCGGCCGCGAAATGCGAAAGGTCTGGGCCACCTGCGGTGCCGCTATCTTCTTCCTCTCCGAAGCCGGCGCCTACTTCGAGGTCGAGGTCGTGCAGGAGAGCTGGAAGCACTTCCGCGACTGGATACTGCAGCCCGAAAGCTCACCACAGCGCCCACCCTCCTCCTTAACCGACCGCCCTCGCTCCTCCACGGATAGATCCGCCGTCTTCACCCCTCCATACTCACCCGCGGCGAGTCTCAACCGGAATATAAACATCCCCATAACCGAGCGACCTAGCTCCAAAGACGGCACCTCTACCCCCCACGACCCCGAAACCCTTGCGTCCGCCCACCGCGCCTTCCTCGCCTCGCTCGCGTACTCCCTTCTCCTAACCGACTTCCTCTTCACAACCGCCCTGCGCGAGTTCCTCATCCACGTCGACGAGCTGGTCGCGTACATCACGCGGTTGCAGCTCGTGCAGCAGAACCTCGACCTCGAAGACGACGGCATCGTGGACGCGATGGCGGACTACGCGAAGGAAGAGCGGGAGGTCGCGCTGCAGCTGGACCGCGCGCGGAAGCGGGTGGATAGTGACTTAAAGGGGCTAGTGGGGCGACTGAGGGAGGTGGATGCGGAGAGGATGGGTGGGGGGTCTGGGACGGGCGTGGTGGGCGGCGAGGGGGCGGGTGGCGGGGCGGCGTATGAGCCGTGGAGGGTTGGTGGGGTGGACCGGTTGCTTATGAAGCTGGATTGGGGAGAGGAAGGGAGCGAGGACGAGGAGGAGTGGGAGGGGGCGTGAGCGGTGGGTGATAGATTGTCACGCTGGGCTGTGGAAAGATACCCATTGTTCTATATAGAATTAACTACGGTTGAGTCAATGCTCTTCTCTGTTTGTGCAGGATACTATACGCTGTCGCACGTAAATCTTCTAATTGTAAAAACTATCCCTTCTACTGACATCTCATACAGTGCTAGACCGTAAGTCTGTACCCCGGATATAGTAGTGCTTGAGTTTTACTCTTGCTCACTCAACATCACCATCAGATGTAGCTCAGCTAGCTGGTAGCCGACCAGTCAAGAGGCGACCTGATGTCCAAATGCTTTTGCATTACGGGTATTCGTGAACTCCCCAAATCCAACCCAACGCCCCACCTATACCACCCCACCATTCCCCCCTGAACTCACAAAAAGTAGTCAGCAACCGGCTTCTTCGCCGGCATCCCCCTCGAGTCCTGCGGCGCCGCATCAAACACCCTATACCGCCTGCCAGGGCCCTCCCGCCCCTGCACCTTCTCCCCAAGCACCTGTGCCCTATTCACATCCCCATTCGCCCTGCTCACGAACCCGCCGTTCCCCCCATCCTCGCCCAGCTCCAGTATCGCCGCCACATTCCCGCACCGGTAGCAGTAGTTCGGCGCGCTCCACACCGTCACGATCGTGCTGTCGAACATCTCCTTGAAGCCCTCCATGACGAGCTGGTGGGCGCGGGCGATGAGGGAGAGGTCGTTCTTGTAGTTGAAGCACTTGACGATGTCGGCGCCGAAGAGGAAGCCTGCGCCGCGGGGGGAGAGGCCCCAGCCGTCGATCTCGTCGGGGTCTGACCATAGCAGGTCGCACATGGCGCCTTCGTGGGGGACTTCTTGTTTGCGGTCGAGCAGGCGGATTTTGTCGATGGTGTCGATCAGGGGGGAGAGGCCGCCGTGCACGCAGAGCACGGCGCCGGTGGAGGAGCCCATGGAGCCGTAGGAGGAACTTGAGGCGCCTGTACCCGGAGCGCCGGTGCGTGCGGGGGTAGGGAGGGGAGAGCTGGAGGGGTTTTGGCTAGGTTCGGCGGCGGACGATGATTGCTCGCTGTTGCGCGCGAAGCGGAACATGACTTCGCCGCTGGCGTTGAGGGTTTCGATTTCGATTTCTTGGTCTAGACCGGGCATGCTGGCTTGGGAGTTTAGGTCGGCGAAGGGAGCGTCGGAGGGTTCGAGGGTGGTGGCGGCGCCGGAGACGAGGGCGCCCAGGGCGAGGTAGTCGAAGACTTCGCAGCAGTATCTGAACATCCTTTAGCTTGAAACTCAAAAATTTGAGGAAGTTCTATAGCATAGTACCTCCAAACATTCGCGCTCCCGTATTTCCGCAAGCATTCATCGTAGAAGCCGTACACTGTCGTAATCTGTCTTGATTCATGGTTTCCGCGAATGAGAGTTATCCGGTCTGGATACCGCACTTTGAGGCAAAGAAGGAGAAGGAAACTTTCGAGAGAATAGAAGCCCCGATCCACAAAGTCACCTGTGCGCTGTCAGTTTGATTTCTCTATGAAGAGCGGAACGACGTTACCCATGAAAAGGTAGTTCGTGTCAGGAACATCCCCGCCGACTCGGAACAGCTCCATGAGATCGTGGAACTGCCCATGGATATCACCGCATATCTGTATTTCACCTGCACATTAGCCCTGCCTTGTGAGAAGGTGTCTCGGAGGTCTCACCGTCACGGGCGCATCCACTCCCACAACGTTCCCTTCCTCGATCAGCAGCTCCCTCGCCTTGTAACAGAGCTCCCGGACTTGGCTCTCTGGTATTGGTCGGCATGCACGAAGTTGGAGAATTGCCCTAGACCATCGTGTTAGCCTTCTGCCCGCGGTTCAGTTGCAGGTGGCGGATGTCCGTACTGGTCAAGATCGCTCCCGCCGATGCTCATCTTGGCGGGCGCAAGACTCTTGCCCTGGCAGGGCTATCGTCAAATATTATGGCTCGATTAGGTACACAGGCACGTTGCGTTCCAATTGTTGTTCGGGTTTCTGCAAGCTTCGCGGAGTAGTGGCGGGGAAAGGCGACGTGCTGGAGAAATGGCGATTGGTGGCGGCGTTACGTAGAGTGAGGGCTATGTAGGGCGGTGCTGGCAGTTCACGATGACGCTGCTGCTGAGCGGTAACGGGGAGTCCGGGGGCGGTACAAGACACTGTGTATATTGTCAAAGGAGCAGCGAGGTCTCGGTGGATTGAAGTCGCATGCGGCCGATCTGATATGACAGGGGTCTTCGAGATCGACAGTTGCTTGGCGAAGACCAAAGATCTCTCACCACCTCAAATGCAACACCACCTCATTCCTCTTGCACACCTCAAGCTGCTATCTGCCCCTAGCCAACCCAATTGACACCGTAAGTACCCGTCCCCCCCCCTTCGCTCTCTTCTTTCACTTACCCACCATCTTCAGACCATCAATGCCGCCCCCATAACCCCCGCTACTCCACCACCCACCATGCCACCGGCACTTCACCCACGCTCGCGCATGACAATGTCGCTCTTCTCCACCACCCTCGCCATTTCCTTCCTCGTCGTCGCCACGCCCCACGTCCTTCCATGCCCCGTCCCCGCGGCCCGTGCCGACGCCGCAGACCCGGATCGGCCCCGGCGGCGGCGAAGATGTCAACGCGACGAACACGGGAACGTCATCCCAGGGACAGAGATACAGGCTACGAGTTCAGGGGGAACGGATGCATTGGGGCTAGGGGAGAAGTGGAAGGAAGGGGAGAGGGATGTAGAGGCCGAGGTGCAGGACGAGGGGACTTCGAGGAGAGTGCCGAGGGGAAGGGAGTGCCCCGTGCCCAAGCCTGGAGGGCTCGTGGGGCAGATACTGGGGATACCAAAAGATGAGAGGGGGGAGATGCCTAGGGTTGTGAGGATAGAGCCAGTGAGGAGGAGGAGGATCGGGAGAGAGCAGCAGCTGGAGAAGGCGGAGGATGTTGCTGAGTGAGGGCGAATATCTCCACTATTGTACTGGTCGGCGTATAGAATTGCATTTTCAAGAGGCGTGAGAGCTCCTTGTTGCATAGGAGACGGTAGCATGGCATGGTGTGGAGCGTTTGAGCGGTGTATGAGCATCTGCTGTAAAATATGCGTGGGTAAATGCCGCAATATACATATGCTAACATGGCAAAAGTCTGCCTACACCTTTCTGTGGTGCTTTAATGTGCTAACAGAGTGCTGTATCATGATTTCCTGGCCATTTGCAAGTTGCTAAGAAATTAATTGGCCACTGGTTTAGAAATTGCGATGTCATTAAAGGTGCTGAGCGTAGTCGCGTGAGGTGAAATGCCTCGAAAACATTAGCAGCCGTGACGTCGTCCTCACTCAATCTATATACTTTAAGTAAAATCCGAGCCCCTCATCTACTAATTGCCCAGCAGCTCAGTTGGTCGGCCACATCGTGTGTAAGCCCGCGGCCGGATCGTAGGCATTATACCTCCCGAGGTAGCGTTTCACTACCGTCGACAACCTCACCTGGGTCTTGAGTTCGATTCTCGATTCGGCCCTTGTGTTAAAAAGTCGAGTTGACTTCGGGCGGCCTGGTTAGTAGAGAGGCTTGGAAGCCTGGTAAAGAGACGTATGCAGTTGGTGCGTGAGGCTGAGAGTGGCCGGTAAAGATGACGGAATGAAGAATACCGCGGGCGGGCAGACATAGAGAAACCCCTCCGGGGTGGCTACACCCTCGAAAGAGGGTGGTGTTTTGCTCCTTAGCTGTTCTTTTTATTTCTTATTTTCCAGGTTTCACGCATGTTAAAATAATAGATTCAGAGACCCATTACAGTTGCCGAATTATAGCGCTTGGAGCGACGAGCGAACAACATTACCAAAATAATGACCTTGCAATGTCCTAAGAAGTACCCAAACAATACGGGGGATTACCTTCGTAGGGAGAATTTGTCTACTCTTAACATGCACGCATGAAAGAAGCCTCTAAACCCACGCAATCCCATTTTCGCATCTCATCTAAACGGCTCGAATTAGCTTAATGCTTCTGATATAGTACACCTTGCCCATCCCATCCACTCATAACCAAATGATCCAACAGCGCCACGCTAAATCTGATCAAAGCACCGCTGACAAAAGAGAGATTTGGATATCCATTTACCAATTCCACGTCCTCGACGCCGCTGAAAAGACGGGCGGTTTCCACTGCAACTTCTCAGGGTCAATACTGCGCTTGCCCTTCAGCTTCTCCTTTGCCTTCTGCCGATCGCGCTGCTCGATGACTGCATCGGTGAGGACGATTACGTGCTGGTTTTTCTGCCTCTGCATTAGCAACCATACTTCCCGGCAGCAAGGTGAAAAGGAGTCTGGACTTACATGATACCGCAACATATTCAAATTCTGCAACGTGTGCAACACATCATTCGTCGTCATCGCCGCGGTTGCCCCCAAATCCTCTACATTCGCCTCCGCCCTTCCATCAATCAGCAGATCTACTATCGTCTCCTGCCAGTACGCTCGATAGCCCAGCAACCCGAGATCGGAAAGCGGCTTCTCTGGGCTGCCTAGCTTGCCCTCGCGCTTCGATAGCTCGTATGAGAAGGCAATAAGGAGCTTGCCGAAGCCTTTGCGCTGATATTGGGGTAGCGTCAGGATACAAGCGACGTTGTAGCCCTCAGCACTCTCCTTTTCCTTCGAGAAATAGCCGACCAGGTGACAGCCATGCTCGTCGCGCGTGCACATGCAATAGAAGAGAAAAGGGTCGACGTCGTAGTACAGCGTCTTGTGGTCTAGGAAGAGCTTAGAAAGGAGGCAGAGATTACGGCACCAGGTTCGCTGGCGGCGGCCATCAATCTCAAAACACGAGACATAGTCGTCGCGGTAGATCTCGTTACCCGGTGGATGCAGTAGCGTGCACTTCGACCTGTGCCGTACGAACTGTACCTCGTCGCCGAAGTAGCACAGGCAGAACTCGCAGATGTAGACCATGTCGGCATCCGTGAAGTCGACGGGATAGGGCGAGAAGTACCACGGCTCGACCTCGAATTTGCCCATCTGGATCTTGTCGAGATTACGTACACGAGATATTTCTGTCTGGTTCTGCGTCATGGAGCCGCCGGTACGCAGTTTCTCGATTTCGTCCTCGCGCGAGTAGATCTCGGAGGGGACGGCTTTGGCGGCTGCGGCGGCGTCGGCCACGTCGACGAGGTCCATTTCCTCGTCCTCTGGCTTAGGCGTGCTGCCATCTGCAACTTCGGTTGAGATGATGGCAATGTGGTCCCTGTTCTCTTTGCCGCTGGCTTTAGTGGGCCGATGCGCTTTGCCGGGTAGGTTGACAGAGGTGGCTTCAGGGGTTGAGGAGACTTCGCGGTCTAGCTTTGAGCGCGCACGCTTGAGGTTCTTGGGAGCTTTGGAGTTGTCTGCCTTGGGAGGTTGGGTCTTGGGGGCGGCGCTGTTGGCCTTCTTCTTGTCGGGCTTCTCTGGGGCAGGCCACTCGACCTCCCGCGTGAGATCTATGCGCTCGGCGGGAACCCATTCGTCGAGACGCTTGTTGAATTCTTCATAGTGGACGTAGAAGGTTGGTTTGCCACGTCGGGTTCGTAGCAATAGGATTTCTGCCTTGCGTTTCTCGCCATCCTAGGAGGAGTCAGGAGCTGTGGATAGACGACTCGTGAAGATGAAGTGAAGACTTGATAGATAGAAATCAGACGTGCACGCGCATTGCTAAGAAAGACAAATAGAAAACAAGGATCATGACAATATAAAGGATCAGAGCATATTTGATGGGGGAAGATGATCGTCGCGACGACGTTCATGCGGCGCGTCTCAAAAACAAAACTGCATACCTTCTCAACAAACGCCTTCACCCCGATCCTACAACACCCCTCAGTCAGTTTTGCTGTCGTGAATCGGTGTCGCATCGATGCATACCTTAAGGTGGCCAAAGTCGCAAAGCCTTTCTCGACCGGGTCCGGGGTGCTCGTGGGCTCGTGTGATGACTCCCGGGGCGCCATGATGAGGCCAGCACGCTGTCAAAATTTGGAGATGAACAAGTCGCGTTGTGGGATGGAGTCGTCGTCGTCGTCGTTCTTGGTTTGCGACCGTGAGAGGCGGCCTTGTCTCTCATGCTTCACGTGATCTTAGCGCACGGACCTCTGCGCTAAGCCAATTACGAGCCTCTGCATCGAAAGAAATAAATTCACTGAAGAGCATCACTGCCCGCCCGTTTGATGATTGCTACGCTTTCTACACCGCCATGCCGCCAGCATGAAAGCCGTCCAATGGACCTCTCAAACCTCTCCAGCAACTGGAAGAGGCTTCAGCAGACTCTCCCGAAAGCCTCGCCCGCGTCACAGTCGAAACCCGCCAATCCGCTGAAGCGCAAGAGCTCATCCGAGCAGCAGAACGGCGTCCAGAAGCAAATACCAGTACAGAAGCACAAGGCCCATGCTACCAACAGCAGCAGCAGTCTCCCACCCCCTAAGAAACGGAGAATGGACGACCGCTACCACTCCGATTTCCCCGGTGCCTCTACAATAATACCTCGAAAAGACCAACCCAACCCCGCCGCCCTCCTCACGCCCTCCCCCCTCCACCCCGACATCCCTAACGAGGGTCTCTCCGCCACAGCTACGCCGGGGAAATATGTCGCCCTCGACTGCGAAATGGTCGGCATAGGCCCCACCCCGGACCAGGACTCGCAGCTCGCGCGCGTATCCCTCGTCAACTACCACGGCCACCAGCTCTACGACTCGTACGTGCTGCCCGTCGTCCCAATCACCGACTACCGCACACACGTGTCCGGTATAACACCCCTAGCGCTGGAAAACGCGCGGCCGTTCAATGTCGTGCAGAAAGAGGTAGCAGCGTTGTTGGAGGACCGGATACTGGTGGGCCATGCGCTGAAGAACGATCTCAGTGCGCTAATAATGCCACACCCGAAGCGGGATATCAGGGATACGTCAAGATACCCGAAGTTCAAGGAGTTGGCGATGGGGAAGACGCCCGCGCTGAGGAAGCTGGTGGATCAGTTGCTGGGGCTGAAGATTCAGGCGGGGGAGCACTCGAGTGTGGAGGATGCGAGGGCAACGATGGTCTTGTTTCGGTTGGAGAAGGAGGGGTTTGAGGCCGAGGCCGTGAGGAGGTTCGGCAGGCAATTGGTGGCTGTCAAGGTGGATGGAGAGGGCGCAGAGGAGGGACCGTCGAAGAAAAAGAAGAAAAAGAAGAAGAAGAAGAAGAAGAAGAAGAAGACCTGAGGGGGATGTGTGGCTGCTTGATATTGGAAATATGGACGGCACAAAAATGTGGGCCTCTCGATCGACTATACTTTCACGACTGTTACGACTACGGCATCGAGATCTTTGCCAGATACAAGGTTTAATGTGATCACCTGCCGCTCTATCCCTCTGATAATATCAGTGGCGACGAGATCGAAATTTGGAAGCAAAAAGAGGTGTAGAGATTGGCAGCTGTCACCATCAATTAACATAGCAAGTCAGGTTACGGATATCGATTCGAGACATTGCCAGCATTACCGCTGTTGGATTAAGGGAATCGGGATATCAATGGAAGGGCGGGATGAAGGTTGATCTAGCTTATAGATCATATAACAACTAGTACGACACCCCGATGTGTACACAAGCACTCTCCATTCCAGTTCAAGGCACTGAGCTGCTCATGCCCCAGCCTGAGATGTGGCTATGCTACGGCGAGCGCATCCTCAGTGGGGAGTGAGCAGCTTGTTAGAATCCCGATTTGGGGCCTGTACTCGAAAGTAGGCTGTTATTACATGACTCAAATTATGGATGTCTTTTCTTAGTAATACCAAGGACACTCTCCACATCCAGCCCATTTTGTCTCTTAGTTGTGTAACATTTCCCCTAGGTCGAGTGAACTAGGTTCTGTATTTCACAATTCTTCTACTCCTTCATTGTGCGCATGTGATCTTCATAGTTGAAGCGTGCAATTACACGTTCTTTAATCTACACATCTCAGCCTTGTTTAGTAGCCATCCCCTCCTGAGACCCAATATCTGGCACTTACTATTCCACATCCTCTCTCTACAATTTCCTGGGTTTAATATGCGATTCATGCGGCACAGCATCGTAATGCCCCGCAAAGTTCGACAATCCCACATCCGCCGACGTCATGCGAGTATTATACTTCTTCCCCGTCATCTCAAACAGCATCGTCATCGGGAAACCCACATCAAACGGCCACGCACTATCAATATCATCAATTTCCTCCTCCGTCAACTCGAGCCCCAACGCCTCGATATTCCCCTTCAGGTGCTCGACCTTGCGGCCGCCGACGATGGGGAACACGTAGGGGTACTTGTGCATGACGTACGCCAGCGCGACCGACGTAATAATTGTGCCCTTCTTCTCGGCGATGGCTTCCAGCTTCTTGGAGATGGCGATGTGCTTCTCGGAGACATTTCTGACCTTGCGGCCCTCGGCGGCCTCGCGCTGCGCATCCGTCTTGAACTGCCCGCCGCCCAGCGCGCCCCAGGGGGCAAGGGCCATGCCCTCGGCGCGCGCCATGGGGATGATGTCGCGCTCGAAGTCGCGGTCCGCGGCGGACCAGCGGCCTTGGTACACGGAGAAGGTGCGGAAGCCGTGGTCTCGGGCGTCTACGAGGACGGGTTGTCAGTATCATCTCGTGTATCCATTCTTAGCTCAGAGGAGGCAGCGCCACTTACATTGATTTGCCTTGCTCACAATCCACGCCGGCGTGTCGCTAACGCCCAGATACAGCACCTTGCCCGCCAGCACGAGCGCGTTGAGGCTCTGCATCAGCTCCTCGATGCCCGTGGTGAAGTCCCACCAATGCAGGTAGATGATGTCGAGGTATGTGGTCTGCAGCTTCTTGAGGCTGGCTTCGAGGGACACGTGCAGCGACTTTGTGTTGTTGCCGACGTAGTTGACCATGGTGGCCGGCTTGGGGTTGCGGTTGGAGACGAAGCAGGTGGTGAACTTTGTTGCGATGACCATTTGGTCGCGGTTCTTGCGCGCGGCCATCCATTCGCCGATCCAAGTCTCGGATTCTTCGCCTTGGTAGTTATTGGCGCTGGGGGGGGTGTTTAGTGAGGTTTACTCATGTGGTGGTGGGAGTTGGGGAGAGCAACGTACGTGTCGATAAAGTTGCCGCCGTTGTTGTAGAAGTAGTCGAGCATTTCGAAGGTCTGCTCCTTGTTGCACTCGCCCATTATGTCCTTCCTGACTGGATATGAGCTGTTGCACATCTCGAAGAGGGTAGTAGATGCTCTATAGAGGGTTGGGAATGCTGAGGTTAGCTTGGATCACTTACCAGGTATCTCCAAAGTTCATGGCTCCAAGACATAGCGGCGAGACACGCACACCCGCAGAGGTGGACAGCACGCGGTGGAAGTCCAGCAAGCTGCGCGGCGGCAGGGGTTCTCCGAATGGGTTTCTAGACATGTTGAAGTATCCTTGTTCTCTACAAACTTCCCAATTGTATAGCCGACGAGATAAGAGCGAGTATAGCAGAATTTAAAGAGTCAATTGCAGATGGCGTTACGAGTGGCGTGATGTTGAAGAAAGAAGAAAGGAAGCTATGATGTAGACACCGGTTACCTCGGACGCTCCCTGTCCCTTATATACCCCTCCTTTCCAGATTTTGTCCATTAACGCCGGTGTATGGCTTACATAGCTCTTGGCTGCTCTCCATGAGCTCACCTTCCAGCATGTTCCGTTCCGTGGTGGTCCTGCACAAAAACGAGCCGTCGTGGTGGCATTTACGCTCCTAAATCCGGGGTATCGCCGTGCCCCGCGGAGGGACATTTTGGAGCTTGCTGTGCTGTAATGGCGATAAGGGCCTAGTGGGCCAGAATGCGGACACGAAGGTGAAGGGCGTGACGGCATTTTGTGGTATCTTGAAGATTGGACCGGATCGGACCGAGTGGAGTAGGATGCTTTAAGTTTCATAATTTTCGAGGTCAACGGGATGTCAGACTTATAGTTATATATAGATGTCGTAAAGCCGTTGCCCGTACTCGAAGTATGCCGCTTCTTCAAAGATACCTCCGCATGCTTCACTATAACAGAGCATAGAAATCCTCCATAATCAAACATGAAGATAAAACTACTTTAGTCGGCTACGTGCCGTCCCCACGAGTCCGCCTTGTCCCTGTCATCACCTTAATGCATAGTGCACACGCTAACCGTTCAAACAACACCTGGGCATAGTCGAAGGTGACATCCGTGCCCCCGTGAGGCCCATGTTCATCCCACCAGCCAGTAACGTGTCCGCTGACTCTCTATAACTTCTAAGCCTATTCGCTAGCTCTCCAGAATATTTCGTCCGGAGATGATTTCTAAAACGTAGGTAGGGAGACGGTGGCAACAGGGCGTCGTAATAGTAGAGCAGATCCCTGTGGCCGGAGATACTGGCGGTGGGACTCGTCCGGTGCAAGCGGAGTGTGATCCAACCACAGTCGATGTTTGGGCTTTCGTGACCAGGAAAATGATGAGCGGTGGAAGACTTGGTGCGGATCTTAGTAATATGGATAGAGGTAGCTATGTACAAAGGTAAGTGCACTGCAGCTGTGACGATAGAGCTATACTTACATTTCTGGCTAATATTAATCGCTACCTTGATGTGATGTGTGCTGTGCAGTATATGATGGTTGTCCGGGTGGTCGTTGCGGTTGTCTTCGCGCTACAGCATGCTATGTACACTCTTTTATCGCTGTATTCGCTGTCTTGGTTGCTTCAATGGACTTGGAAAATCCAAGAAGAAATCTAAATCGTCGAAGCAAGTTAGACCACCCTTCGAAACTTCTTGTGCATTACTAACTGACTGAGTCACCCGGCAAGCAGGTATTACTCTACAACCAATCGCGATCCGTTACCGAGTTTTAGGGACTTTTCAGTAGCAAAACGTCCATGCAGAGTGAATTAACCAAACCGGCAATTCTTAGAAACTCTTGACGTAGTGATAGTAGAGAGCACTGGGTGAAAACCTGACGGATTTTTCCCAGTTGGTTGTTTTGGGGTATAAAATCTGTCCGATCTTTGAATTCACATGCTGAAAATGAGATCAGATATCTTCAAGTGAGCTGGAAGATCTCTAGATATCTCCCGCCTCCTAGAGCCAGATTTTGGTTCAGACAGGGAGAGCTGACGGGACGGAATTCCCAGTAGGGTCTCGTTGAACAGAACTAGCTACTCACCCATGGAACGGGACCAACAGCGTCCTCAGAGGACCACAACCACTACTCTAGATTCCATCAGCCTTGGAAGTACAAAGACCCCGCCTCAGCGCACTTCCCTCCCTAAAAATCTCAAAAATGCCATTCCCTACATTACTTCGCTGCCGCGAATGGGCCGCATGGTTTTATTACATCGAGTTCCTAGCGCAACCTCCTCCCTTGGAACCAACACACGGAACCCCCGCGGGACTCTGCGACCGGCGGTACACCGAGCTGAAGCGTAGGTCTGCATGATTGCTCGCCGCAGCGGCAGCCGTCATCAGCTATCTCCTCGTCGTATGGCTACACCAAGGCTTTGAACGATCCAAGGACGAACGAGAAATGTGGATGCTTCAATGCGTCATGATATCCATATACAGCCACGAATCTCTTGTCAGTGCGGGCGAGCTTTCCGATAACGCATACTACGAGGGTATGGTCTAGATATTCTGGCTTGCTCAAGTCACCTTGGTCATCATCCAGCAACTATCACCATCGGACTACGTTCCAGGTATCACCACACTGGAGCTCTATGGCCATCTCTTCATCGGGATCGCGCTTGTAGCTCTTGTTGCCGTGTCCCAGCTGTGGCAGGGGGATTTCTACGGTCGTGCGGTATTCCACCCGAGGCAATTACTTTGTAACGTTTTCTTCTTCTTCGCGATATATGGCTTTCGCCACGCTCTCGCTTCCGGTTGGAAGGCTATGTTGGGTTTCCTCTCTCTGACTATTGTGGTGGTAGCGCTGCCCTTCGTCTACAAGGCCTGGATGGAGAGGAACGTCAAGCAGCCGGACCAGGGCTTTCCCGATATCAAGGCTCATCACAACACATCAGCTGACGGAGGTTGTCAAGACGCTTACTCTCCATCACCCTGATACGAATCATCAATATGAGGAAATAGAAGGGCAGATGAGTTGCGAGAATCGCATAGCTAGGGAGAGACGGGCAGATTCACGAGTTTGCAGTTGATGGCGGAGCTCGTTTCCTACTTCATATATCCAACAGCTTTTTAAGCATTACAACCACCATTTCATCTCCAAAACCTTCAAATGGGATAAATGACTCCAATGCAAAGATCTGAATACCAGTCGAGTGACATACTCGTCAGATCGTTCAAAAACTATGACTTGTGTACACCCTACACTCTACCTTAATCACCTCCTCATCAAACGTAGAGCAGCTGTACATACACCCCGAAGCTCCCTTACACACTCGCCATTGGCGTTGCTCATACCCAGCACAGGCGCCTTGAATATTTACTCGTCATCCCATGCACTCCATTGTGATCGACTCCCAATGACCAAGTCCGCCGGCACACCTGGACTATCTCCAGTACTCAACATTCACCGCTATGGATCTCACATCTCCGAAGCTTGTGGTAAACTGAAGTGAAGGCATGGTAGTGACCTTGCTTTCCAATCGCTAATTGGCAGACATCCACAGTCGTCTGTCTTTGGGGAGGCTGATGTTCGAGATTGTGGTAACGAAGACATTGCTGACCTTGATCAGATGAGCCTGTCCCCTAAGGCACTTGGCTTGGATGGATCATGCGTGTTTCTCGCCGTCATGACCTTGTCGCCTCGGTTCACAAGCTCAAGGATATTAGCTAAGGCGGAGGGGGAAAGGCGGCCTCGGAAAGATCCTAGAGCATGGAAACAATCAGGTTAGAGGGGGGCGGATGTTGGAGATTTCTAGAGCTTGTTCGCCTATCAGCCATGAGAAATCAAGTCATATTTACCCCAGCTCCGCCTCCTCAATTGCTTCCTCCGGGTTACTGCCATCGGCCCGGAGAGCTATTGACTGGCATAGTCGGCTCTGTGTTGTGCACGCTTGCAGCAAAGTCGAATACGTTCACGCAGTGTTATAGACGTTGGCAACAATTTGAAATTTGCGGATGCTCTAAAGCAAGGGCGCTGCAGAGGTAAAGAGCCTAGACGTTTCATCGGTATCAGAAAGAAGACGGAGCTCCGACAGAAGCGCACTCACCAGCTCGTTGGTGATCAAGCATGAGAATAGCTTCGTGAGGCGAAGAGTGCTTTTATTACTCCGAATGGAGGACTTGTGAGCTGCGGAGTGAAGCCCTGCGTCGCCTCGATCGCGAACGTAGTTTCCGAGTAGCCGAGCTGATGTCTGATGAAGCAGTGACTTGAAAACCCTCTAGATGGCTATTTCCTTCTTCGAGACTCCTTTCCCACCCTGGTATCGAAATCTGTGGGTTGCTGTTGAGCTGTAGCCTGTCGCGCGTAGGCGATGCCCATACATCCAGAAACCGCTGTAGACTCATCAGCATCAGAATGAAAGAGGGCTTCCTCCAGGTATTTATCTTCACGTGCATCTACACGTCATGCTATGCGTGAGGCCGCACATGAGCTCGTACATGAGGCTATACGTACGGCTACGTGAGTCGGCATAGCTATATAGCCTCTCCATTTTACGGCGCAGCGTTTCTAATTTGTGCAGCTGTATATACAGCCGTACGTGAGCTTGTACATAAGGCTATACGTGAGGCTATACGCGAGGCTACACAAATCAGCATGGCCATAGAGCCTCTTCGTTTTACAGCGCATCTATTCTGATTCCTTTAGCCGTATATACAGCCGTACGTGAGCTTGTACATGAGCTTGTACATGAGCTTATATGTGATCTTGTACGTAAGGCTATACGTGAGGTTATACAAATCGGCAAGGCTATGTAGGCTGCTCAAGGCTACACGAATCAGAAAGGATGCACGTGTAGATGCATGTGAAGGTGAATGCCCGGAGGAAGCTTTCGGACCCTCCGAGCCAATCAGAAGATCGGATGAGAGGGGGGGGGGGGTGCGTTTACCTGTCCCCAAAACTCCGGCTGGGGAAATCTGTCAGATTTGTACACTTTCCTCAACTCTTTCACTCCGCCAAGGCCTTCCTTTCCGTTTGGGGTATTTCATGCTGCCTGGACGCCTTGCCATACAGAAGTTCCCAAAACCCGGTAGCATATCGTTGGTACAGCTGCAGCTTATAGAGAGCTTTGAGAGGTAGATCCTATCGCTGGCAGATTTTCTGCTTACATTCGGACATGTTGACTTCTAATAGAAGATTGGTGGACCCTTGAATGGTGATGCCTAATGGGTCAGCGAAGTGGAGTGTCTTTCGCTATAGTAACCTTCACTACAACTTGTAAGCTGCTTCGGTTACACTCTTTTACGATATCTTGACTTTCATTGCAAAGTGGTGATAAGGTATGCCGCCATTAGTATGCATAACCTACCTCAAATCTATCCATGTAATCATTTCAGATTGCAAAAATGACCGGATAGAAAGAGATAGGTAAGCCGTCGATCGCCACGCGCCAAGAAACACCACAAACGCGTTTTCTCGACCAGACACCCTAAACCCGAGATAGGAGAGGTCGGCATCTTCTAGCGTCATTCCCTGTCCAACTCCCAGGCCACCGTACCGACTATCACCCTCTACTCTGTCCTCTTCCTCACCTTCGGCAACAACATCCAACAAATAATCATAACGACATACAACCCAATACAAATCGGATTAAGCACAAATGTCCCGGCCGCCTGGGACACTAATCCCGTCACCAACGGTGCCACGGCACCTCCAGAGCTGCCCGCGCTACTCATAAATGCAACGCTTGTTGTCTGCAAATCGCGCGGCAACAGTCGCGTAAAGACGGTTTGGCCGCATGGATAGATAGGGCCGATGAGGAGGCCAAGGATGCCGACGGCGACAGCCTCGCCGATGACGTTAGGGACGAGCCAGACGAGGAGTTGGAAGGCGATGGAGCCGAGGGTGAGGGCAACGACGAACGGACGTTCACCGATTTTGGGCGCAGCATGGGTGAGGACGAAGCGGCCGACTGTTATGCCCGCCTAAATTGGTATGGTTAGCTTGTCGAGAACATTCGCATGATTCGGGGGAAGGAGGTGTACCCAGAAACCGGACGTCACGTAACCGACTCGTGCCGGATCGCCGCCGCGGTAGGAGATCAAGAACGAGATGACCCAGCCGGAGACGGAGACTTCGGCGCCTTGGTACGCGAAGATGAAGACTGCCCCCCCAATCGTGACGCGGTTCTTTAGCGCTTGCTTCATGAGCTGCGTCTTGGTGAGCTCGCCGGCCTCGGCGGCAATCTGGCGGCTGGCGGTCTGTTCCAAGGCTGCTAGGAGTCTGGCGGGAGCTTCTTCCTCGTAGTGCCAGAAGGAGAATGCGGCGAAGGCGAGGCAGAGGACGCGGATGCCCAAGACGACAAAATAGAATCGAGACCAGACCGAGCCGTGGGTCACGAGAGTTGTGGCGATGATGGGGGCTATGGTGCCTACAGATATCTGTGAGTAACTCTTCTGCTTCAAATCAATGGAACGCAGAAAACCTACCTCCAATACCATAGCTCCCATGCGCTGCGCCGAGGATCACGCTTGACGGGTGCAGGTTTGCACAGAAGACGTTGTTCAGCGCAAGATTGATGGCCGCCCCGTAGCCTAGGAGAAAGAATCTATCGAATTGTCAGCTTCAATTTTGGACTGGATGGCATAGAACTTACGAAATGACCACCACGGGAAATGGAGGCGTCGTTACTATGATAACGTTTGCGGCAATCAAGAACAACTCAGACAACATCAACGTCTTAGCACGGCCAAGCTTATAGAGGAACCAATTGGCGAAGAAGGCGGCGACAATGAATCCCAGTGCGTTGCCGACGAAAATCATGGAGACGATGGCATAGCCGATGCGGTAATCAGTCTCCATGTACGGAATTAGAGCACCAGGAGCTGTGCTGTTGTTAGTATGATGGTATCAACCTCGTCAAGATAGGTGGTTCGTGGGGAAACCCCATACTCAATTCCACCATAATTACATACCGCTATCGTTCATGCCATTGCCAAAGTACGTCAAACAGCAGCTCAAGACCCTCCACTTATTCATTGGCGGATTCCAAAAGGTCTGCACGAGGGACGCTGCTTCATCACGCTTTGGCGACGGTGGCCTGCTCATCTCCAGCTCGTTAGGCGACTTCGGGGTGATGGGGCTCATTGGGGTCGACGGCTCCCCAGGCTCCCCAAAGGGTGTCTGCGTGCCACTCCTCGGACCATTGTAGCGGTTTCCCCAATTGAAGTCATCTAGCTCCACTGCAGTTGGAGCCGGAATACCATGCATCTGCTTGTGGACGACAGCAGGCGGGGGAGCAGATTGGATGTCAAAGAAGCTGCCGAAGGCGCCTGTCGACATGATGGCAAAATTGGAGAAAAAAAAGCCCAGGGACGTATCACAGAAATTCAAATTTAGATGGTCAAGAAAACGAGATTATATGATAGCACTGAAAGTGAGGTGACACCAGCAGAGTGACGAGAGCTTAGTAATTGATAAAGAAGGACCTCAACCACGGGCGGAAGACGACAGGCAGTGCCGCCAGATATGAGTCTTCTAGCAGCCCCCCAAGTGGCTGCACGTGGGCCAATTCTTACCAAAATGACGCTCGTTGTGCGTTGAAAAGCTGCGCGATGACACCCGCGATAGGGCCTGTGGTTAGATTCTTATACAACCCAGTAGCGTGATTGTCGTGGAAATTTGCCCCGTCCGCTAAACGGAGACAAAGGCCGAACGCGGAGTCCCCTCTTTGGCAATGCTTCCGCGCTCTAATCCATGTGAAGAGTGAATACAGTGGGGTGCGCCCCGTGATTGGCGGGAATTTATGCGGGGACTCGGCAGACTTGCCGGATTGCAGTCTTCTCCACCAAAAAATTGCAGACTCAACACCGTGCCCTTATTGAATATCGAACATCGTGAAAGATGGGCCGCCCAAAGAGGAACCTGCTTGCGACAGCTGAAGAGACCCTGACGCCGCCGGACACGCTGGCAGAGGGCGAGTCCATTGCCCGAATCGTCAAGGCTGCGGGCAACAACTTGTACAATGCAGCGCTTCCAACGAGTCAGGCCATCTTGGTCGAGCTTCCTGCGCGCTTTCGCTCTACCATCTGGATGAAGCGAGGATCATATGTGCTGGTTGACACGACTGCCTTGGCCGACCGGGAGAACAAGTTGGATGGGGAGATCATCAATGTCGTGAGGGACGAGCGGGCATGGAGGAAGCAGAAGTACTGGTAAGTGAACCTCTTTCAGATGCGTCTCAAAATCTAACGTTCAGCTTCAGGCCAGCTGAATTCGCCAAAAAGTCGTCGTACCTCGAAGATAGCGACGAAGATGACTCGACGGTTGGCAAGCTACCACCGGAAAAATTGGACGAAGAAGTTTGAATTGCCTTCAGTATTGCATTTCCGGATCATCACTCGACATGCTCATGCTGAGGCCTTGTGCCACCGTTGGTCATGATATCCTCGAAATCATTCCTCGTACCCCACCACGCCCCCGCAACCGTCACCGCAAGAACTCCCACGACAGTCATTGAGCTCGCTGGAGTGCTTGGGTACACATTCCACGCCCACTCTTGTGCACCCCAGAGAGCATATTGAAGGATCGGGTGCAGGCCAGCACGCCACAGAAGAAACGGGGTGACCCAGGCGATATAGGCATAAAATTGATAGTGGAGGGATCTTGCACACAGCATGCCGATAATGTTTGCGGTGAGAATAGTGGTCATGATGAAACGGGGCGAGACTCTCCTGCCGATGGTGTTCTGGTCGATGGGTTCGTTCCAAATTAGAGACAAAAACTCCTTGAAGGGTCGTTGAGAAGGTTTCGTCCAGCGTGTGATGGCAAATAGTGCTAAAAGACCCGCGTGCGCTGCGAGTAGAGACAAAGCGAATGGTCTTGACAGAAACGTTTCCTCGTCGACGAATTTCCAGTTGACCGTCCATTTGTACATGAACTGCCTCGTGAACTCAAAGGCTCTTGCAAGGTAAGAGGGGGTATGATAGTGCAAGAAAGGGTATCCGTAAGCGACCTACAGAAGTTAGAATGTGCAAAAAGATAGAGTGCGAAGCGACATACAGCGCCCTGGAACATGACAAATGCTTGCGTAACAGCTGGGGTTGTGCCCAGAGCCTGTAGAAGAACGATACCGATAGCTGGAAGAGGTAGTAGAACGGTCATCTTCACACCCAAAGCTGTGGTATAGAGGAGCGACCCAGCATACCACCACCGCCTTTGGTAGGCAAAGATGGCAAGAAAAAGACCAAGAACTGCGAAGCAATCGTTGAAGCATCGTAAAATGAAAATACTATGCAGTCTCTTTGACAGTATCAGCAGCGGGAAGATATATGGAGGCGCCTACATCTTGTCAGCTCCATCTTGAACTTTAGGAACATCAAAGTTACAAACCTTAGCCATCCGGTAGCATGCCATAACCACAGCCAAAGTAACTAGATACACCAATCCGAAGATGATCTGTGCTAGTTGGATGTCGGTCCCGTGATTGGTGAGTGCATAGAGCGCGCGGTAAATGTAAACATGAACAGCGGGATAGACCAGCGGACCTGTCGATCCTTCAATTTTTCTGTAGTCGCGCTCGCCTTTCAAATAGAGCTCGATATGCTGCATATATGTAGTCCAATCAATTTCGGTATCTGCAGGTTCATTAGTTGCACAGTTCTACGCATTTGGTGATGGGTTACGAACATGGAATCTTCCATATAATTAGACCGCAAAGGACAGCATCTACCACCAGGAGAAGAGGAGATAGCCATCGTGCGTGTTTTGGATTACTGGCGAGATCGAGGGCCTGGTTTATTATGTTCATCTTGGAACTTTACTGATGGATGGAATTAATGATGTTGATGGGGAAAGGGCATCAGGGATCTTTATAGGGGAAGGGACGGATCGGGTAATCTCTAAACGCCGGTTTCACCGCTACGCAGGAGAGTTTCAGGGTTTCCAAGACGACATTTGTTTGAAATCGACGTCTGTAACAGAAGACATCTATGAGTTTCAGGTGCATCCTACGGGGGCGTCTACGGACTAGTCGTGCACTTTGGAAGCCCATTTCCCGAACCGCAAAACAGCTATATAGTGCACTTGATCTATGTAAACTCTGGAATTTCGTTTTCACGTCTGATTGCCGAAAACTCCTAGAATGCTCTCCTCATTTGGAAATGCGCAGCTTGTTGCGACCCAAGATGATTGACAAGAGATATTGTCAGGCCTAAGCTTTGCCTCCAAGATTGCGATTGAAATGCACGGTCAATCGCCAAAGAGAGGTGCAGACACCGGGGGACTCCTTTTGCTCGTGTTTCTTGCCTTTATGAGTGTCGTGAGAATCGTGAAGCTGCCGTTACTCCCATTCCGTGCCTTTCAGCCGTTGCATGAGATATTCGACTTCAACCTCTTTCGTCAAGGGTATAACCCAATCCTAGATTCATGTTTAGTCTTTGTTTACTTCTTACTCGAAGAAGTGCCCATTACCTTGTACATTGCTACCACAGCGTCTACGTTGATTTTGACCGTGTTGTCTACACCTCCGTCCGGATTTGTACCGTACGTCTTCGCCTTCAAACGCAACCTCTCCAACACCTTCTTCTCCACCTTCGCATCTGTGATAGCCTCATCAATACCCTGCCTATCCTCTTCCCTTATAAGCTTCACAAATCGCTCCGTCTCCTTCTTGAACTTTGCTTCTGCTACGAACTTCCCGAAGTGGATGCGACGGGAGAGAGCTTGTAGACATGTAACATCGCAAGTAGCTGCAGAGCCGTAGTTCTCCTGGGCCTCTCCTCTTTCCGCTCTATCCAATTGCACACAGGCCGCAGGGAGAATGTGTTCGATATAGCTCTCCTTTAGCTTCTTGTTCGCGTTGACGGTATTCGTGTGGAGGATTTTTGGGTAGTTCAAAGGCTTCAAAATGGGAGTCTGGAGGGCATCTGGGAAGAACGGGTATTCATCTGGCGACTGATAACGGCGGACGAGAGACTGCAAGCGTTCCTGCTCGCGGAGCATCCAGTCGAAGAGGCTCAAGTCGCTGTCTGGAATATGAACGCCGCCAGGTTTGTAGATAGTTCCATTAAGAGGGAATTGGACTCGCTCGATGAAGTGGAAAACGACTGTGTCTTCAAGTCGACTACCCACAGTCAGCTTGTCTTGGACCCTAGAGATTGCATAGAGGGGAATACATAACATACATGAGTTGGAAGCGGATATTAGCTAGGTCTAGAGCTTTGGAGGCATCGGAGAGGTCTATAGCCGAGTCCATACTGTCTCCCTACGACGTGAAAAGGTTCAATTGATATCGTGAACTACCTTTGTACGCTGTTGACTCTTGTATAGATTCGCAATCAGCAGGCATGTCAAGCCGACCTCGGGCAGGGAATGGGAGAATGACGCACCAGCCACAACCGACTTCATGCATCAACACCCAGGAACATTTCCACTGCGCGTGCCAGACTTCATCCCCACCGCCCTCCGCCACCCACGGCCTACCGCCCTCGTTACCGCGAGAAGATGGCCTTCATTCACTTCTAGAGCTTCACACATTCCACGCAGCCCTCTAGCACCCTGCTCATGGCGACCGACCGCGGTGTCTCGCCGGCTCGAGGGAGGTCGATCAGCCCCCGGCCCATGAGCCCCATCGACGACGATTCCAGCATCATCGACGGACTTCCTGTTAGTCCGCAGTCCTACCAGGCTCAATCGCGGTGCCCATTAGCTAAATTTTGTAGACCCGCCAGCTCGAAGCTTTTGGACGAAAAGTCACCGCCACCGCCGGCCACTTGATAGGAGCACCATTAGGAGAGGGAGGCGTGAGCCAGCACTACCAGACCGCACTCGGCGACCTCCACCGCGAACTACGACGGCCCATGCTGCAACGCTCAGTGTTCTCGTTCGCGCAGACTACACCTCGGGACATGGTGCGGCAGAGGATATCCGTGCCAGAGATACAGCATCGTGCGCTCACGTTCCTCCCTGACGATCTTCTTGCCAATATCCCAGAGGACAACAATGTATACTCGCTTTTTGAAGGCTTCCAGGCTTCGATGCCGGAAGACGAGCAACAACGGAGAAGGCATGGGGGTCGTGGTTTACGGGGGCAGAAGTTATTAGGGGAGGCCGAAGACGATACGAACTTGCCTCCGTCGCTTGAGAAGCTGATCAACGAGAGAAACAGTATGAACCACCGGCTGGAGATGATGGGCGTGCGAAAACACATGTGTGCGGCTGAGATTCACGAAATCGACAACAAAATCGCCAATCTGAACACCATGCGCAAGATGGTTCTAGACCGGTTAGGTAGCTTGGAGATGGAGGAAGCCGATCTGGAGCATGATCTTCTGGATGTGGACAATAAGCTGGAAGATCTGCAAGAAGAGCTAGAAGACGCCGCTGCTCTGGCAAAGGCACCTAGCATGGCTTCAAGTCCAGACACAGCATCTGGAGAATTCATGTCCGAGTCGATATACGAAAAACTACCTACATCGCCGAAGAGTAAGCGGCGGCGTGTGACGAAGAGAGTGACTATGCCGATATTACACGAACATTTGGAACCTGGATCGAAAATCAGAGAGCTACCTGCTCACAACGATGTTATCACCGCGCTGGATTTTGATGTGCCATGGGGGACATTAGTGACATCCGCACTGGATGACACCGTAAGGGTCTGGGATCTCAGTGCGGGAAGATGCATAGGGCTTTTGGAAGGTCACCTCTCGTCGGTGCGATGCTTGCAGGTGGAAGACAACATTGTAGCAACAGGCTCCATGGACGCTTCCATTCGTCTTTGGGATCTCAGCAAGGCAGAATACGCACCGCAAGATAACCGGATAAACAAAGAGGGCGAAGAGGAAGACGACGGCTTGACATTTGAAAACTCAGAAGATGCGCCACCCCCTCCTCCCCCAACTATAATGCAGGATTGTCCTCTGTTCTCTCTGGAAGCTCACATGGACGAAGTCACTGCCCTCAACTTCCGTGGAGACACCCTGGTATCAGGATCAGCAGACAAGACGCTCCGGCAATGGGATCTGGTCAAGGGACGTTGCGTCCAGACTCTCGATGTCCTCTGGGCCGCGGCACAAGCTTCGGCGGCCTTGAATGCAAACAGCAGTCAATGGCGCCAAACAGGTCGTCTTCCAGACGCAGAAGCAGACTTTGTCGGAGCCCTGCAAGTCTTCGACGCAGCACTAGCATGCGGAACCGCGGACGGCATGGTCAGACTCTGGGATCTACGAAGCGGACAGGTTCATCGCAGTCTTGTAGGCCATACTGGACCAGTCACTTGCCTGCAATTCGACGATGTGCACCTTGTCACCGGAAGTTTGGACAGAAGTATTCGCGTAAGTGCTTGAAATCACATTGTAACTTTTATAAAGACAATTGGAGCTAACAAAAGCCCAGATTTGGGACCTCCGCACCGGCTCCATCTACGACGCCTATGCCTACGACCGACCTGTCACAAGCATGATGTTCGACGAGCGCCGCATCGTCTCCGCCGCCGGCGAGGACGTCGTTAAAGTTTACGACAAAACCGACGGGCGGCACTGGAACTGCGGGCCAGGCGTTGGCGCCGATGAGGACGCGGGCGTGCTTTCGACGATTGAGATGGTGCGTATCAAGGACGGGTACATGGTTGAAGGGCGGAAGAATGGCATGATCGGGGTTTGGTCGTGTTGAGCAAGGGGTAAGGGTGTGTATATACGTCTTGTTCCTCGAGGAGCTAGGGCTGGGAGGTGTAAAATAGAGCATTGTTCGCGGCTAGACTTGGATGGCGTGGGGAAGCGGGATGTAGTATTAGCAGGCTTGAGGATGGCAATACAATGCCTCGTCATAGAAATCCGTACACTCGTTTACCGCTGCGTGAGGAGCTTCATGGTATTTTCAGCAGTCCAAATAAGAGCGAAGTTCGGCATTTTGGACCACTGGTAAACTCGCGAGGCCACCCCAGACAGCGGCAACAGGGAGTACGCAGATTGGAAGTGTATCCGCTGCTCCCGGTTTCTATTAGTAGGTTGAAGGCCCACAGACAGTGTCAGGCCTCTACAATGTGCTCCTACCTTCCTCTTCCATCTAGGGGTGGCTCAAATGACTATTCATCTCCCTCGCCCCAAAGCCAACGCCTCGAACCCATGAAACGGCTCCTGAATTACTCTCACCCTCCCAAAGCATCCATCTTCTTCCCCCCCGTCTCCTCCCTCCACTTCGCCACCTCCGGCTTCAGCACCTCCAACCTCTCCAAGCTCTCCCTCCGCCACACCTTCTCCACGTCGTAGTACCCCACAAACGCCCTCTCCTTGCTCAAATCCACCCACGGCTGCTTACTCTCGGTGAAAATATGCGCATCGGGCCGCAGCGCGTCCGGCGCGTCCAGCGTGCCGACCCGCACGATGCGCGTCAGCGGGCCGTGGAACGCGTAGTTGCTCCACACGACGACGCCGCAGTCTGGGCAGCGCGCGAGCGTCTGCCCGGCGCCGCTGACGGACGGGATGGTGGAGAGGACGGGCTCGGCGGCCCCCGTGTGGCGCACGTGCTGCGCCTCGAGGATGGCGTTGAGGGCGAAGGAGGCGCCGGTTTCGCGCTGGCACCAGCGGCAGTGGCAGCAGTTTACGGCGAGGGGCGCGGCGAGGATGGTGTAGCGGATTTTGCGGCAGACGCAGCCGCCGGAGAGGGGGAAGAGGGAGGGGGTGGTGAAGTAGTGTGAGGTTTGGGGAGTTGGGGAAGCCATGGGTGTTTGAGCTATGGGCGGTTTTGAGAGATGTTGACTGAGTTAGAGGAAGCTGGGAGGTCTTCGAGAATATTGTTCAATGAGTACAATTGACTTTATATAAAATATTGATAGGGAGGGCGCACGTGATTTGCGCTAGGGATTACGACATCTGATATGAAGGACTGGTGAGATGATAGCAGATATATTCAAGACAATGGCGTTGATATTATATTTCTACGCAAAAAAGGTGGGGACTAGCATAACTGGAAGGTTTTAACATTTGGGCACAAGAAATTCTAGTTGAAATTGAGAAGACGTCCCCCACCAAGCATCGAGTTTGACTTTGAAAAGAGTGAATGTTGGTTGAAATTTCGTATGTCCTTACCTGATAGAAGCGCTTCTAGCCTCCATTTCGACTTTCAATTCTAATGAGCATAATTCCGATGTTGTGTTGTTCTCCCTTCTTCGACCAACCAGTCTCATTTAGAGTAGAACTTGAGGGAAAAGTCGTGGTCCAATTGGAGTATGAACTAAGGCACTGAAATGGAATCCACGAGAAGGACTATCTTTAAAGAGACACGATGGAGGGATATGGTAGACTCTCTTTGCCGTCAACGATTGATGGGCACACTTAATTATACGTATGAACGGAGAGGCCATGTACTTGTTCCGGTGGACTGAAAACCATTTGATTTTAGCAATATTATGAATCACAAAACACTTAGGGATGAAGTTCCGATTCTATCGACGTGATGCTCAAGCTCCGTTAAACACAAAGTGGCAGTCCAACACCGTCTGAGTTGGCCCGGAGAGATATCAGCATTCTCGTAATTGTCGTTTTACAGTTTCTTTTAATGTACCCGATGACCTCAAGTGGTGCTAGGCAAGTACACATCTCGGAAACCTAGAGAGAGTGTGTTGCTAAAGTATAGGAAATCGTAGGACAAAATCACAGATTCGTAGACTACTATTTCTTATTCAAGAATGCCTGATGATGGAGACATTTCATGGTAACAAAGCTGTAGAATATCGAAGATCTTAAGCTGGCTTCGAGTCTATCGTAGTTGACTAATGGCGAATGAAGTGCTTCTAATGAACAATGATTGTTAGAAGTCGGATTGTGGTGTAGGTTGATCGATGCAAAGACCTCGAGGCTTCGATGAGATGAATTGCAGTTATCCGTCACGTGACCTGTTTGTGTCAATATGATTAGTAGATGTTCATTTCGAAAGTACAGTACATATAATGTTCTTCAGCTTGAACGTCGTTTTCGAATCACTGTGGTGTACTGCTTTTCGTTACTTTCTATCTTCTCAATAGCTTACCCGAGGTCAACTCCAACTCCTTTCTCCAACCCACCTCTCTCTCCATCTCACCGATCCCAAATTCTCCCTCGGCCAAAATGCTAATATCAAACGAGCCCCCCTATCCCTGCGAGCGCTTACTCCCCTGCTCCCTACCTCCTCCACACACGAAAACCCTCGCTCATCTTTCCCTCACACCTCCCCTTCGCTAACCCTCGCACAAATCTCATCACACCGCACCGTCCCGCCGCCCCAAAGCGGCAAAGGCGCTGTGCGTTAGCCAGATCTGGCTGACAGGGAAAAGCGAGAGCGCGCCTTGTCGGGCTGGCATCTCTCTCTCACGCGCCACTGCAAAAAAGGCACATGCGTTGGCATGATTAATTAACTGAGGGCATTTCTCATTGGATGGAAATTGCCCAAGCGAAAGAGAGAGGGAGGTAGATTTGACCTGCCTTACAGCATCTGACGCAGCGAATGCTGGGAGAACGGTGTACAGCAGTGACCGCTGGCGTGGCATGCGATGCGACGAGGTACAGAGACGGTCACTTGCTGGAGTGCTCGTGAGGGGCGTTGCATCGTAACGGGTACCGACATCTTGAACTACCTCTCCAGTTTGTGCTACTGGGCGGAGGTCCCAGGAGCTGCGTACTCCTCCTTTTCGTCTCACTGGACGCTAGAGCATCGATATTGCGAGGGGAAGCAGAATGCGAAGACTCATCTAGACTCCGTAAATGTACTCCAACTCGAGCCTCACTCACTCTGGTCCTTGTACTGTGCCTCAAACCCCCCACTAACCCGAGCGCCGTCGGCGACACACGTCGATAACCGCGTTACACACATCACTCACTTGATCGCCTGCGGCCACGCCCACGCTGCGCCGTCCACGTAAGGCCAGCCAGCCTGCTTGCTTACAGCCGCCATCCACCCGCGCGGCCCGCGGCCGTTAGTTGGGATCTGCGTCTGCCATCCAGGAAGCTCCATGCTGCCGCAGTGCCACAAAGCTTGCATCGCGGGAGGGCTCTGGCGGGGAAGGCATGAAAGTGGACGGGATTGCGTGCGCAAAAAGAAGGCGGTCGCGTAGAGATCTGAGAGGATTTAGAAGGTTTCAGGGCGCTGGATGAGGTGGTGTGGTCCGCGTCGTGTGCGAGTGTGTGCGAGTGTGTGGAAGAAAAGAGGGGAGAAGCGCAGGGATCGGGAGCAAGGATTGTGCGACTGCCATGCGAGGAATCACAGACCGAGGGTGTGACGCTTGGGCTATTTTTGGGCATGCAGAAATTGCTGTGAGGAGCGGGAGTGATTGGTGGGATGGTGGAAGGTTGCGATGGGAGATGTGAGCATTTACCGGTAGTTCAGGCTGCATGTGGGAGGAGCTGGTTCGGATGTCGCTGGATTAATCTCTGTTCTACTGACGCCGCTTTAGCCATTCTGCATGTTGCCGAAGCGCCCGGTGTATATTATCGTCACCGATGTCAAAAGGTCGCCGACGTCAGGGGTGGTAAATATGGTTTACATAGTACAAGGCTCTAGGCATTGAACCTAGGGTCGAATCTACTCTCTTCTCCTGGATTGAGCTCTGATACCTAGTCATGCGGTTCTTCGTGCAGAACTCTACGGCCATAGCTCCTCTATCGTCCATTGGCCATCAGCACCGTAGGTGTATTTGTGTCTGCGAGCCTTATTGGGATTGCTTATGTCTGTTTGTTCGACGATGTCGGGGACGATGATGACCACCCGGAAATTCTTCCGAGCGGCCTCATCGTGAAGATCTCTCACTTTAGAGCCTAGTTCGAGGTTGTCCTTGTCGTAAGGCTTGCTGACCGGTTGGCCAGGAGGAGGTGCCTTGAATGAACCTATCCGTAGACACAATGTCAGAAAAAACCCAAATTGGGGCACATGAAGTCAACGAACCTCTCATCCCGGGCGACATATTCCCAAAATTCCCCTCGAGCTCCCTCGCCCAACTCCACTCCTGCTCCTTACTCTCATCCACGACCCTCATCCTCTTCCCGACCTCACTCTTCAGGGTTCGGACACCACTCCTTCCCTCCCCATTCCCTTCCTCCCCATTCCCTTCCTCCACATCCGGTCCCACCACGAACGCTCGCCCCTTCAGTCTCCACTGTGTTCCCGTCTCCTCTGTCCACCACACCGCCTCCACCGGGCCTCCCCCTCCGCTCCCTTGTATCTGTGCCTCGCTGTCGGCATGTCCTGCACTGCTCATGAACACATCTTTCACCTTCTCCATCCGCACATCTGTCGTGAAAGAGGGGCAATCGCTCTCATAAACTCGTGGGTTTCGCTCCGCCTCATTATCTTTGTTTTCCGGTAGTTCGGCCCAGAAGCCTCGGAAAATGCAGTAGCGGGCGCGGGGGAGGTAGGGTGTTGGTGAGTTGGAGTTTGGCGGGGCCGGTGTCACAGTGCTGAGGACGAATTGGGGGGGCTTCATCTCGGAGATGTGCTTGTGGAAGAGGGACTTCCATGGTGCGGGTGGGAGAGCAGTCGAGGCGGGTGTCGTGGTGGACATGATGCGGAGGAGGTGGGTGAGGCGGGTTGCTGTTGGGAAAGCTATGGTTGCTGTTGTGATTCTGCTGCGGTATAAATTACCTTTTTGCGTAGAATCTGTAAACTTGTGGGGGCACAGGATGGGTGCACACGATATGGAGAGGTTGTGAATTGTGTTGTATTGTATGAGCTGAGGAGGAATATATATAGATGTGTTGGACGCCAAGTCCTGTGCTGATTGGAGCCTTCTCGGCTTACAGAATCTAATTGACCTCAGAATAGAGGGGACAGGAGGTGAAGGTATTGAAGGGTGAGCTAGTTGTGGTCAGTGGTTTAAATGGTGACGGCATAGATCGAGCCGTTGCAACTTTTTGGTGGAGTTCATATGCCAAGGAGGAAAATCGAGTGGTCATTGGCGTCCAAAACTCATCCAGATTCGTAGAACTACAGTGCAAAAATGTCTCCTAACCCTGGTAACATCTCACAGAGGGATTTAGATTCCGCAACAGGGAAGCGAGTTATGGTGTTGTTGTTGCTGAGGTAAACTCTCAGTAGTGCCTCGATTTTACCTACATCTGTATACGTCAACACCTTCATAGAACTTCCAGTCACGTGCGACCTCGTCACGTTGAACAGCGAATGAAATCGCAATTGATATTCTACATGCCCCCCAGTTGGTGGTAGTAGAGGGTACATAGACTCACGGTGAGGCACTTCATACTGTAGCCCAAAGAGGGGGATGATCGTGATGTCAAACCTACGCTAGAATGATGGTCACTGCTACGCGAGGTCTTGATCTACGAGTTTAAGCTCAATATAGGCACTAGTAGCAGGAGTGCATACAGCAAGATATCCCGTCGCGTTCGGTATCGTGTTAGGAGAGATGAGGTCAAAGCATGAGATCGTCGCACTTGACATATGCTTGGCAACGCTTACGCCTCACTTCACCAGCATTGACCAGCCCTTCTGACATCGACCTCGGGAGTACTCGAGATCGCGAGATGGAGCACGACACCAGGTCTTGAGACGGCTGACGGCGTCGGACCGTGTTCTCAACCTTCGCACGTTTGAAGTGAGAGAGATACTCGAGGGATGCCGAGTCCCGCAATGGGCCAAACGCTGAAGGAACCATGTCCATGCTCTCTCTTACTTGAAGCGCTATTGACTTGCGCATCCGCATCCTCCACTCGGCGCGAGCCCGCAGCAGGTATCACGAACCGCTTGAAGCAGCAACAGGGGCGATCTCAGCAGAGAGTGGTTGATGCAGCGTTGCGACCTAGTCTGCCAGTTCGGCGACCTCCTGCGGCACTGGGCGCATGCGTCCTTGTTGACGTGTACTCGGGGCCCTTGACACAGAGGGTCAGGTGAGTGTACATGATGCTCTGACAGCGAGTCGTTCCGGCCCGGCGCAAGGGACAATGACTGGCAGCACCGGTGAGGTCGAATGAAGGCCCGTGAGGGTCGAATGAAGGAGTCGAACTCTCTGCGGCACAGTGAAGCAATATTCTACTGTGCGGACAGCGGGGCGCTCACCGCACAATGAAAGTCATCTCCCCCGCCAGAGAACTGACGCCGACCTGGCACTTCGACAGGGCTTCGCGATAGTGTGATTCGTCTCATCTGCCAGATATCGAGCATTCGCGCGCTGATTGGTGCATCGTCGGGCGGCTTTCTCTTCCACCCGCAGCGAAATCTGCGAAGCTGCTGGATGGCCACACCCGACAGGTCCGCACCAAGGTCCGACGGCCCCGGCGATCTTGAAGCTGGAGGGAGAGGCGTCCGGGGCGTTGCGCTGCAGCTCGACTAAATGTGTAGCCCCCACAAAGGTGTGCCGCGTCCACCGCCAGACGAGGCACTCTGGGCAGCCCTTCAGCCTCTGCAGCCGTGGTGTTGCATCATGAGATGGTCTGACGGCTCTTGATGACGGCGGCGAGATTGGTAGGGCGCGCTGGTGCTAGAAACTTGGCCGCGACGGGCAGTTGAGGCGATGTGCAGGCAGCGGAAGCAAGTAGCCTGGAGGTCGCAGCGAGATGGACAATGTTTCATCAAATCCCGGCCCGTCCACGTGCATCATTGCAATTATCGTTCGTATGCTGTCTTCCCTTCATGCCCAGCCGCCAGTGCGCGCACAGAGGCCTGCCTGCATCCGGCGCGCAGACGCTGAGGGCATCTTTGTCCTCGGTCAAAGGGCCTGAGGGTGCCTCATGGCCCAGCAGCATGCCTCTCTATGTTATGCGAAGCCGGACAAGGGCAGCTTCTGTCTGCCACGGCGAGAAGCGTAATGTCGCTCTATGCGCTGAGCGAGGGCGAGGGAACGGGCGCGGTTGGCTGGTGAGAGAGGTGCATGGGTGGGTTGATTTGAGTTTCGAGGTGCATGGCCATGGAGATGAGCGAAAGCCTTGCGACGGGAGCTATCGCGACAGCGTGCTCGGGCGGCCGCTGAGGGGCGCGGGCCGTTCTTCGTGCTCTTTTCGCTCTGCTTGCGCTGCTTTTGCATGACGGATCAAGCCTTGTCCCAGCAAACTGTGGACATGGGCACCGCTGGCCCTCCGCCGTAGCCTCTGCCGCTTCCAACCACATATTCATCTCCCTGCCCGCTGCCTCCAGCTGCGTTTCCCTCAACACTCGCCTTCTCCTACCACCGCCGCGCACCCCGAGTGAGTGTGCTGGAGCCTCGTGTAATAATCCCGCATGCCGACACTGCCCAGCCGCTGTTAATCTCGACTCGCACAACCTGCCGCACCCCTGCAACCCCGAGTCATTACAACCACCATAATCGCTATCGTACTGCCAGCCTGCCCTCTGTTGCTGCCTCCTCCTGGGCACTCCCTCCCCACTCGAACCGCACGAACCGACCGATCGCAATTGACGACTGCGAATACCTCTCCTTCGAAGCCGACGCTCCGCCGTCCCCTCAGTTGATCGCTGATCGCCCGGATTCAACCCTATGCCTGAACTCCTCTCCACCTCCGCGACACGCATCATGGCCAACACCCAGGAGCCTTTCTCCTTTCTCCACGAGAACATACCGGCATGGTTCAAGAACGTCGCCGAGATAGAGGCTAAGGTCGCTGGCCTCCAGTCAGAGATCACAAGAGTGCCGGTTGCTGCGATACCGAAGAAGAAGACAGCCTCCACAGAATCAATACCAGTCAACGACGAGAATGCTATTGGGACGATTCAGGAAGAAGACGGCACATCCGGCGTGGCCCGGCCAACACAGATGCAGCTGATGAAGAGGAAGAGGAAGCCAGGATCCGTTCTTTCCGGGCACGCGTCAGGCCCAATAAAATACCGGTCGCGCACCATGATCATCGTATGGTACGATAGCGAAGTACAGAAAGCGTTTGAGGCACTTGTAAGGTGTATCGGCACTGGCCGGAACCTGCTCCGGAAAGGAAAGATGGCAGCAAAGATGGAGGCATTGGCTGACATGGCGAGCGCATTCGATGACGATGGCGATGATGATGACTCAACGGCGAAGGTCGGATACAAGCCTCGCGTTTCCGGCATGCCGAACTTCCGGTCAACACGCAGGATGGGAGGCTCGGGTGGGGCTGCGGGTGGAGACTCCGGTGCGAAGTTCGATGCTGCTGACAAGGAATTGGAGAAGGCTCAGAGTTTGTGTGAGCGTGGTGCTCATCAGTTCCTTCGCGATGGCGACTGTCGGACGGAACTCAACGCTGTCCGGCAACACTTTGCGGAGGTCCAAAATCTCAGCGAGCAGTACATGTCATCGCAAAGCAAGATGGATACAGTGACTGTCGATGAAGTCAAAGTGGAGGTACCGAAGCAGTTGAAGCCGAAGCCAGTACAAGTTCCGACGATCACCGATCGAGTTCCAATGGCATCCAAGGCCATCGAGGTAGACGATGACGATGATGGAGAAGACTGGGTGTTGACGCCCGTCCGCCGCACAGCACGCGGATAAAGCAATATGTTGCCGATTGCCTAACACTGTTTGAGGTATCTTCGCGAGCTTAGCAGCCAGTCAACCATCTGCCTTGCTTGCTTCCTGCGATTTAGCGAGTCGGACTTGTGATTTTATGGAGTTATACTGGCGTTTCATTATGGGCATCTCCGGAATGGGTGGGGAAACTCGGATGCCCTCACGCTCGACACGAAATTCTGCATCGATCTCCCGGTTTAGCGTTTCCTGCATGTTCGTTTTCTCTGCATTTTCAAGGGGTCCCACGATTTTAGGTGGGTGTAGCGACGGGAGTGAAATTTACAATGCCCTCTGTTTCTTTAGGGGCGGTCGTGCCCTTTTCACCTTCGCTCGATATCACTTTGTTTTCCAGAAAAGATTGTAATCACACTCGCTACCTAGTTTGAATGTCAACCTTCGTATCACCTTTTAAGAAAAGTCTTCACCGCTGGATAAGATGACATCTGTGCTTGTCCCAACTCAAAAATACGACGACTAGCCCGTACAGGCTTCAGTGGGAAGCTCAGAGATGAACTTGTAGGCCTTACTATTGGTGCTGATGCGCGCCCCATGGCAGTCGATGGAGTGTTGAAAGTAGCCGCGGAAGCTGGCGCAACTAGCTGGTCCTCATTACAAGCGAGAAAGACGTGAGGTGTTGGAGTAGTGAAGGCGGAACGGGTAAGGGTGAGGAGTTGAGGTTGAAATTGAGTAGCGGACATTTCCGAGGCAAGAAGGAACCACCTCGTGGCAGCGCTGCACCTCCTTAAGCCGACAGTAGGCAAGACGCGCCAATTGAACCTCCCCCAACTCTTTTGCCACCTTGAACGCGTCTGAGAGACACGATGCCGCCCGCTCTCAGCGACTACGATTCTGACGAGGCGTCGGATGGATTGAGCGATGAGAAGGGCTACGAGGTAGTAGCGGATGTGTCATATCAGACAGTTCGTCATCTTCTTCGAACTCTACCCACCTTCTGCTTGCTGACAAGGGGTGCAGAAAGAGGATTGCTTTCGAGAGGATGACGACGAAGATTCCAGTGAAGCCGAGTCCGAGATAGCCTCAGTAGCTCCTACCGCCACTCCAATTCGGACTATCGAGCAGAAAGAGGACATAGAGGAGGAGCATCGACCGGTTCGTGACCCTGTTCGAAGCCCATCTGCTGCCTACTGATGAAACAAACAGCATCAAGATCTCACCCGAGACCGCACCGGCAAAGTCAGTGATGCCGAGTCTTCAGTGCTATCCGCGACGCCGGATCGTACCCCCCCTTCAGCTCAACGGAGTGTGGAAGATGACGATGATGGCGAGGAGGTACGCGATATCATCGAAGCTTCAAAGGTTATACACACTATGCAAATGCATCAGGAGGACTCCTCATCCCCAATGCCTCAGCCGTCTAAATTCAATGGAAAGAAGAACACAGGAATGCTCGCTGGACTCGACTACCACAACATCATCTACATTTCGGATGATGACAATGCCTCTACCGACTACATTACGCCCCCAACGTCTTCCTACCATACTACTAGGCAGGCAGTTCGTGGAGAGCAAAAGGTCGATCTTCAGTACGACGCTGGTTACCATCCTCTGGATGACTACCTCCGACCCATGCAAGCCGCCAGAGTGAGGTCCAAATATGAAGCAGATGTCAAGCATGAAGACGTGGACTCGGGTTCGGAATCAGATTCAGACCAGGACAGCTTGAAGTTGGAATCGGGGTCGGAGAGCGAAGAGGAGGACACGGTCAAGAGCAAAGGAACGAAGAAGTTGCAGGGAAAAGGTATCAAGGTGGAGCGTTCGCCGACAAGACGTTCTGCTCGTGCCACTCAACAATCTCGTGTTGTCTACAACGTCAACGTCCATCCCCAAGACAAGGAACTTAGGGAGCTTGGGATCGTCACAGGCCGCAAGCGACGACTAGATGAGACTTCGGATGACGAGGAGGAAGAACACTCGTATCAACACAAGTCGAAGCAAGTTCGGATATCTTCGAAAACTGTGGAGCGGCGTCCCATCAGATCTCGACCGCAAAAACGCAAGGCACGTGCCCAGTCCATCACCTCATATGATGCTTCCAACACCGCTGAGTATCCTGCACCTCATTATTATGCCGAGGGCCTTGATGTCTTTGACATGCCCCCCGGCGAGCGGTACTTTCCACACAAGAATGATGCACTGTTCGACGGACTGCTAACTCCGCATGGAGTCTTCAGGATTCACGAGGAGTCCCACGAAGTACAACAAGCCGCCCAAGCAAGTGCGAGTCCCCCTAGGACCTTCATCGATTACGAAAAGGAGAACATCGATCAAGAGCACGTTGATACGGTGGTGAATCTAGTTTCTGGTGTGACCATTCAACCAGCGGACGTGATGACTGGCATTGACAGAGATGTCGAAGATCAATTGCTAAGAATTGCTGGGGTTAGCACGCAAGACTTTGAGAACATGGAACTATGAAGAGACTGGGGGACTAATATGGGCGACTCAGCGCGCTTTCGCAGCTGGACACTTCATCTGCTTCCGCAACACTCAGAGTCGAGTTTCAGGCTTTGGGAAGCACTCTATCTTTGATCGTGTCAAAGGACGGCGATCACGATATCGATTTATACTCGACTCTAACCAGCACAGTAGTTAGTAGCAAATACTGAGGTAGCTCCATCTGATATCAAAAGTGTTTCAAGGATTCAATCTGTGGCCGTGAATATGAATTTTGAAGGTCGGAGCAGTCTATCCCGGGCTGTATAATTGGCAGGGTGGTTTGTATGGGGCTACAACAGTTGCCTTTACTTGCCGATTGATACTCATTGACTTGTTGAGCTGTGCGAGTGTTAGCTCTGCAATTCATTCTGAAGCGTCAAAGAATGTGAATACAACAACCGTCTCCCGGACTCTCCACATCCAGCCTCGAAAGGCTCTCTACCAACCTTATCCACTGCCTTATTCATTTCAGGCAAAAAAGAGCCTGTACGTCTTGATGAACAGAAGCCTACGATTCTCCATTGTGGAGAGAGAATGCATGCGAAAATGCAAAAATATATGCTTCCACACGGATTTGAACCGTGGACCTCGGCATGGCAGTAATGGGATACTAGTGCCGCGCTCTACCAACTGAGCTATAGAAGCGTTGATTGTTTGATGAGTGACGGCTCGAAGTAATGTATATATGACCAAATAATCATAGGATGGCTGCCGAGAAGTCAGAATCGGTGAATTGGAACTGTGCGAGGAGGAAAATTGGCCCGGGTGAGGGGTGTAATAAGCGAGGTGGCTGGTATCCTTGCTGGTATTGGTATTGGTCCGCTCGTTCGATTGACTGCTTTGAAAGACACCGATGGGCTGGAATTAAGGATTGAAACGCTGGATATTTGGTCTCACTAGGCTTCTCAAGCCTTGTTTCAGGGGTTCGAAGGACTCGAATTGCTCCTATGGTGAATGATTTGAGGGTTGAGGGAGAATTGAGGTTTGGAGGTCGTGATAGGCTGAGGAGACCCACTCGGGATTTCTTCAACGCTCAGGCTTCGAAACGACCTCCATTTCTCGTCTTTCCACAGGTATGCCCTCAGCTCATACAATTGATGTCCTCACATTCGAGGACAGGCATAGAATGTGGTCTCTCATACGCATTGAATAGTTCGACTACTTTTCGAACGAGTTACTTAGTACTCTCATCATCGTGCGTATAGATATCTGCAATTTGCAACGTCTAGGACGAGTAGAAGCCATATATACAGCCTTCAAACTCGCGAATCATATTGGACGACATACTCTGCAGATATCAACACAAGCTATCAACGAAGTCAGATATGTTTAAGGCTTGCAGTTCTCATCATGCATCACGACTGCCTTCCAGAATCACAAAATATCAGTATACTTCGATACTACCTTTGTAACATGATAACGTACCCTGAGGGTGAGCTGCCCATGCGGGCGAGCTGCCCAGTCCGTGCACCACTAGAAATTCAATAATCTAACCTTAAATAACTCTACAACCACCTAATAAAAAGTTATACAAATTTAATGTATTATTCTTATATATATAAATACTTAGTATATAGAATATAGAGTCTATCCTTATAGTAGTTAGCTAGTAATAAAGGGTAAGGTCTAAAATAGGGGTCTAAATTTAATAATTAGTTAACTACTATAAAAATAGACTTTATATTCTATATACTAAGTATTTATATATATAAGAATAATATATTATATTTGTATAACTTTTTATTAGGTAGTTGTAGAGTTATTTAAGGTTAGATTATTGAATTTCTAGTGGTGCACGGACTGGGCAGCTCGCCCGTATGGGCAACTCACCCGCAGGGTACGTTAGCACTACTACAGGCCTTACTAAACATTCTTATTCCCGGAACAACTGAATCCAGTATGTCTAAAAGTGGGGTTTCTTAGTTAAGAGTACATTTAATGTTCCAAGAATATCCCCACAAAATTAGACCTGAGAAAGCACCACCCCGCTAAGCACTACTCTCCACGTACATTCAATCAAGGAAAAGTCTCGGGTCTCAAAATGTCTCGGATCTCGAAAGGTCTCGGCTTCAACGTTCCTGCAGTCAGCGTGGGTGTTACGCCAGCCGTATGGTTACGGCTCCGGAACACTAGCCTTCCCGACGCGTACGTGAGATTATGAACCAGGGCAGAATACTGCTTCCAACGTATTATTCATGCGGGGCATGTCTCAAAGATAACATTATGATTGTTTTTCACACCTGTAGTAGTAAGCCATCACAACTTATTCCAAATCACTATCATCCTCGGCACGAAGTAATCATGTGCATTCATAGCAACCTATCATACTAATTTAATCATTAACCAGCGAACTAACCGACTTTACGACTTGTACACGTGAATAACGTGCGCATTGCAGAAGCTCAGGAGACCAGTGTTGCTAGAATACCCCGTTAGCTTCAAGACGATTTGGTTGAAGGATTTGAAGGGCGAACTCACCCCCACTCTCCACCAATGCCAGACTCCTTGTGGCCACCGAAGATGGCCTGCGGTGTCGGCTTCTCCCAGCTGTTGACGAAGACGCTGCCGGCTTCTAATCGCAGGGCAACCTTCTCGGCTGCAGCGACGTCCTTGCCCCACACGCAGGCACCGAGGCCAGTCTATACGAACGGATTAGTGGTGTCTCAATCGAACGAACGGGCGAATGACATACGTTGGTATCATTAGCGCGGGCAATAACCTCATCCAGATCTGACCAGGGCTGGGTCGGCACAATAGGGCCTGCACCAAAACGTCAGTAATCACTTCTCACGCCTCACTCCCACCCCCATAGCTGGACTTACCAAACGGCTCCTCGGATATAATCCTCGAGTCATTCGGCGGGTTATCGATAATCGTTGGCTGGATGAAGAAGCCCTTCGACGCCGAGACATCTGGGGTCCCGGCCGCAAACTTGTACCCCTTGGCCTTGCTGTCAGCGAAGAAGCTCTTGACCTTGTCGAACTGCATTTGGTTCTGGATGGGGCCGAGCGGGGCCTCAGAGTCTGGCGCGCCAGTCTTGAGTGTCGCGGTGAACTTGACCATGGCCTCGAGGAAAGGCTTGTAGATCTTTTCGTGGATATAAATGCGTTTGGTGGCGACGCAGACCTGGCCGGTGTTCTGGAAGGCGCCCATGACAACTTCGGGGGCGACTTTCTCAATGTCACTGGGCGGGAATTAGCGTTGGAATTGGACCCTGTGCGGTAGGGGGTAGGGGGTAGGTGGTAGGGGGTAGGGCTTACACGTCGGGGAGGATGATTGAGGCATCGTTGCCGCCGAGCTCAAGGGTAACACGCTTCAGGGTCTTAGCGCTGGCTTCCATGACCTTCTTACCGGTAGCAATGGAGCCGGTGAAGGAGATCTTGGCGATGTCGGGGTGAGTGGTGAGCAGGGCTCCAAGTTCATTATTACCGCCTACAGCCTGGAGGACTCCCGGAGGGAAGACCTGCTGGGCAAGTTCGACAAGCTTCAAGGCGGTGTATGGGGTGAACGGTCTTTCAGAATTAGCTGCTTGAAAAGGATGGCGGGATGGAGTCCGCCTCACGATGGCTTGAGAATGACCGTGTTACCAGTGAGAAGCCCTGGGGCAAACTTTCCAACAGCTTGAAAAATAGGTTAGTAGGGTCCACATTGGGGCAGAGCACATGAACATACCAAGGATGAGGGGAACTAGATGCAGTCAGTAAAAAAAAAGGCGTGATGATTGAGAGGTTTCGGAGTTAAGCTTACAGTTCCATGGGCAAATAGCGCCTACTACACCCAATGGGGTAAATCGTGTAGTCACAACCTTCTCGTCATCCTCGAACTTCTCCTCTGGGAGGTTTAGAGTATCTGGCGGCAAGTCAGCATTTCGGAAATAGACGGACATAGCTTTACTCACTGTGGAAGCTGATGAATCCCCCTACTCCCGCGACCTCGATCCCGGCAAACTTTTTCTGAGCATAGCATCAGCATCCTGAGGACTAGCTGCAGCTGACCTGTCTTGGCAGCTTTCACTTACTGGTTTCCCCGCCTCCTTGCACAAGAGCTCAGTGAACTCGGTTGTGTGCTCGTTGAAGAGATCCGTGAACTTTTGGAGCAGCTCCTTCCGCTTCTCGATGGGCGTGGCAGCCCAAGCGGGGAATGCTTTCTTGCCGGCCGCTACTGCATCTTCGAGATCTTGTTTGCTGCCGATTGGGACGTCCCACAGCTCCTCACCAGTAGAGGGATTGACGCCGTGGTGGATCTCCTTGCTACTGCGTTGCTTGCCATCGACAATGTTGTAAAAAGTGTCGAAGCTGAGGGTGGAGGTTTTGGACGGAGACATTTTGGCTTTGGTGGGGTAAGGTTTAGGGATACAAAGGGTGCGGGGAGAGAGAAGATGGACGAAATGAACGGGCCCCAGCTTCGGTATTTAAGTCCTGAGATGCGGCAGGAGCTATGCGAGAGCTTGGAGCTGAGGGGCGATATAAGGCTGAAATAATATATCGAGTCAGGGTTGTAGGTCGGGGAATTGAGGGGTCTTCCTAGCTATGAGGGGTTAAGACGACCATAGGACCGGCATGATTTCACTGCCTAGCTCGTATTTTTTCTCTACCACTAAACTTATTCCGACCCTAGTCTGGGAACACTGGTATGATGTCAGGAATATCGTTGGAAGAAGCGGTAGCGCATGAAGTTCTTTCAGTGCTCCGGGGCAGAGACCTAGACCCCGGGTATGACGAAACAACAGCCCAATCATTTTGCTAGCAGCCGCTCTCCTCTATTAGTGGATGATTAGTATGCCACAACCGCCCCCGGTAGCCGGACGAGATTAGGAATCTGGGGTACTGATACCGTGACCTTGCTAGAGCTTACACCAGCAATGAGAATATGGGGGTGGGGCGGGCAGTTTGCGTCGGGTAACTTGAGCTTTTGCAGACTTTCTAGTCAAATTTCGCCACCATAATATAACTCAAAGGATTTAGGTTATTGAGCTGAGGAGTGTATTGAAATATTCCAGCCCTGAAAACTCGAAAAAGCATTGCTTGGACTCACGAAGAATCTCGGTATGGGTCTTTGTTCCGAGCATCACGACCCAGCCGACACTAACTGCTCTGTGCAGCTTGCAGAGTTGGTCCGGTTCGCCAGAAGCGATTGGATCCGCTACATCTACCGAAGTTCTGTACCGCCGCGGGGTCTTAGCTATAGCTAATCGTCCCTGGTTAGACCGTCAGCCTTCTCAGCGCCAAGGGCGTTCTGTCGGTATTGATTAGTGCTTCGGGTCCAAAGCTGGTGACATGCCATCTGCCATCTGCTCGAAGGCGTTAATCGAAGACAGCGACTCGTCGATTCAAGACTTCCCATAGAATAGTGAAGAACACGAGGTCTCGCCGGCATTGAAAAGCATTGCTAAGAACGAGCAGTGAGTTGTCGGGAAAGTCGGAAAAGGACTTGGCTTTCCCAAATACTCTAGTGTCCTAGGGTGCTCTCTAATGCGTTGTAAGCAGGAGGCCCAAATGCGGAACAGAAGGCACATGAGATGCGAGTCCCGAAATGTCTCGAAGGTGAACTAAAAGATATGGAAGCTCGGGAAAGATGGGACTCGCAACACGATGGAGGTTGAAGTAGAGTTCTCTTTCCTTCAGCTCGAGATTTTGGCTAGTGGCCGTCAGTCAGCTGTGAACATGCCACAAGTGGCGCAAAGGGAAGGGGATCGATACCATTCATTGGCCCGTTAAATTAGCGAATCGATGCCTTTTTGCGCTCAGCCCTGCCATTCCCTGATATCCTTTTCCACTCTCTCATCCAGGTCTTCAATCCACTTCACGCGCAGGGCCTACTGTTTAAGTATGCATCTCAGTTCCTGTGGTCAATATCTTTCCTCTTGTATGCTCTCGAACGACCCCGAGTGTTCAGTTGAGGGCATATCGGCCTAGTAGCACCACCATTCCACGGCTCGCACTACAAACACGAGGACGCATTTGCCCTGACTAACTTCGTCCTTCCTATCATTCAATATGTGCCGCGTGGAATATAGATCTTTAACAAGGAAAGAACCCATGGCATCCCATCCAACCTGCGCCCTGACTCTCTTTTCATTCCCAGTGTACACGTGCATAGACTTGCGTCACTTTCAGCACAGGATCACGCATCGACGCGTGCTACAATACTATAATTAATTTGTTGGTCAAGTGAATCAAACGCTGCTCGACTCATTGCTGTTAAAGTATGTGATGCGCCCAGGCTTCAGCTGGCTTGGTCTAGGCTTTCATATATCCACCAGTACGTTCAGTAAAGCAGTACGAAGGGATAGGAAAATTTCGACCTACTTCACCTACTACATCAAGACCAGCCGCTAATTTAAGGTTGATTGCCTCGTGTCGTTGGTCCATTCATGCCCCTGCTACTTAAATAACCTCCTCGCTTCTATCACGATCTCGAACATCATCACTATATCCCATAGTGTGCTTTAGACTGGTCGCTTGGCTGATCTACTGGTTCTTGGATACGCTACCTTATCAAAGGATGATTAAGTTTCTATTTCGAGTTGCCCCTGCTTGTTCAACGGCTTCCCGCAACTCGTTTCACCTCGGGGCTAGCTCGGGGGTGCGTTCCTAGCTTTTAGAAACAGCATCGGTAGACTTTTTTTTCTCCCGATACAGCATTTCTGGAATCTCATATTTCCCTACAGGGCGCGTCGCTTGGGATTACAGGTGATTGTTTCCTGTACAGTCAATCAGATGGCGGGAATCAATTTCCTATGACCTTTAACTTCGGAAAGCAGCTTCAATACCTGCGCCTGTCTCCCGGGATTTGAGCATCCGCCAGGCAACTGTGCCTGGGTTGGTGCTATCATCAAAGTACCCAACTTCTCCCCAGCAACTCAAATGCTGCCAATCTGTTACCCGAAATGGATGGCCCGATGGACCGTGCTATAAATCACAGACAAGCAATTAGCATACCGCAACCTTCGGCAAAATCACCACCTTCCAAAAGCTCTTGGACCGGTCTCGATGCCAACTGCAAAGCGATGGCAAGGTTAATTTTCGAGGGTGAACCCAGTCCGATTTCTACCGTTTAAATGTGGACTTCTCCCATCAACGGATTAACACGCTCCTCTGATTCCCTACTTACTTCATCTATTTCCCAAGGTGATTCAAATACCGACGGCCATGAAGGTCGCTCTTGTCACCTTTCTTGCGCCGGCGCTAGCTGCCGCCGTCCCAGCGCCATATTCCCACCCCGAAGTCGTCGATCGATCTGCATCTGCTGCTCCAAGTAGTATATCTATCAATGGCATTACCTACGGCGGCACTGGATGTCCACAAGGAACACTCAATGCATCTATTCGGACGATGGAAAGATACTACCGCTAGTATTCGGGGATGACTTCTCAGCATCGATCGGACCAAATGTTGCCATTACTGAGAATAGGAAGTTCTGCCAACTCAATTTCGACATTGACTTCTCGGCCGGCTTTCAATACGCGGTTTATAGTGCCGACTACCTAGGCTATGCCAATTTGGACTCTGGGGTTCAGGCCTCCATCACAGCGCTTTATTACTTCTCTGGCCAAACTGCCCAGGTAATTTCCAATGCATCCAAATTTTCGTTGTCACTTGGCTAAAATCATTCATAGGCGACTACCGAGGCCGATATCAATGGACCATTCACGGGATATTTCGACAAACATGACGATATCGCCATCGCAACATGGTCTCCTTGTGGTAGCCAGGGGCTTCTGAACATCAACTCACAGATAGCACTGAATTCCGATAGTGACAGCCAGTCAGGTGTCATCAGCACTGAAAAGATCAAGTCCTCGTTCGTACACCAATTATACATCAAATGGCGGAGCTGCTAGGACGGCGAGGCATTAGCTGGGGGAGTCGTTGGAATGAACTGTTCGAAATGTGGCTATTGTTAGGAGACAATTTTCTCTGTATAGTTTACTTCGTGTTCATAGTTGTATACTTGATGGTATATATTCGTGTCCTGAAATGCTCCGATGCAGATTATTTCTTCAAGTGCGTGACGTTTGAGCAGAGAGAAATGAACCCTACCCTCTTTACTACATATCCTTCTCTTTCGGGTTACATAATGCATAGCGGACACTGTGCTCATATATGCTTGTTTATTAGAGGAGTAATGTCCATCCATGCGTGCCGCACCAACCCCCGTGCCGCAACAAAGGAGGGGTACATGAACTTCAAATAATCCGCTCTCTATGGGCACGTTGATATTTCTTATAATTTCGTACAGGTCATGTGCTAGGGCCACTATACAGACCTTGGAACCCCCCATAAGGAAAAAAAACGTGAGCGTTTTCGCCATTCCACCTGATTTGCGGAGAGCCCTGTTTCAAGGCATAACAGAAATCCTCCACCACAGCACCGTTTTTGAGCTCCTGTCCCTCCTGATGCTCATAAAATGGTCTCATCATAGCTTCAGAGCCTCAATACCGTATTAAAAAGTCGTTATCAGCCTTGTGGTTGCTATCGCACCCAAATTCATGCAAGATCGCCACCCTGGTCGGTACTTCCGGCTGAAGCAATTGCCAATTCCGGCTAGGACAAAACGACCCTCAAAGTCTTACATAATAACGTAATCCACAAGTTAGTGGCCCGCACAAGCTAGTGGCCCACCCAACTCAACACGCGACGCGTCGTCCAACAACCACCCCAATGGCAGCACCACAACAACAAGAAG